GACATGTTGGTGTGTGTGTCTGAGGTGGCCATTGTGTTTCTGTGACATGTTGGTGTGTGTGTCTGAGGTGGCCATTGTGTTTCTGTGACATGTTTGGTGTGTGTCTAAGGTGGCCATTGTGTTTCTGTGTGACATGTGTGTGTCCGAGGTGGCCATTGTGTTTCTGTGACATGTTGGTGTGTGTGTCTGAGGTGGCCATTGTGTTTCTGTGACATGTTGGTGTGTGTGTGTCTGAGGTGGCCATTGTGTTTCTGTGACATGTTGGTGTGTGTGTCTGAGGTGGCCATTGTGTTTCTGTGACATGTTGGTGTGTGTGTCTGAGGTGGCCATTGTGTTTCTGTGACATGTTGGTGTGTGTGTCTGAGGTGGCCATTGTGTTTCTGTGACATGTTGGTGTGTGTGTCTGAGGTGGCCATTGTGTTTCTGTGACATGTTGGTGTGTGTCTGAGGTGGCCATTGTGTTTCTGTGACATGTTGGTGTGTGTGTCTGAGGTGGCCATTGTGTTTCTGTGACATGTTGGTGTGTGTGTCTGAGGTGGCCATTGTGTTTCTGTGACATGTTGTGTGTGTGTCTGAGGTGGCCATTGTGTTTCTGTGACATGTTGGTGTGTGTGTCTGAGGTGGCCATTGTGTTTCTGTGACATGTTGGTGTGTGTGTCTAAGGTGGCCATTGTGTTTCTGTGACATGTTGGTGTGTGTCTGAGGTGGCCATTGTGTTTCTGTGACATGTTGGTGTGTGTGTGTCTGAGGTGGCCATTGTGTTTCTGTGACATGTTGGTGTGTGTCTGAGGTGGCCATTGTGTTTCTGTGACATGTTGGTGTGTGTGTCTGAGGTGGCCATTGTGTTTCTGTGACATGTTGGTGTGTGTGTCTAAGGTGGCCATTGTGTTTCTGTGACATGTTGGTGTGTGTGTCTGAGGTGGCCATTGTGTTTCTGTGACATGTTGGTGTGTGTGTGTCTGAGGTGGCCATTGTGTTTCTGTGACATGTTGGTGTGTGTGTCTGAGGTGGCCATTGTGTTTCTGTGACATGTTGGTGTGTGTCTGAGGTGGCCATTGTGTTTCTGTGACATGTTGGTGTGTGTGTGTCTGAGGTGGCCATTGTGTTTCTGTGACATGTTGGTGTGTGTGTGTCTGAGGTGGCCATTGTGTTTCTGTGACATGTTGGTGTGTGTGTCTGAGGTGGCCATTGTGTTTCTGTGACATGTTGGTGTGTGTGTCTGAGGTGGCCATTGTGTTTCTGTGACATGTTGGTGTGTGTGTCTAAGGTGGCCATTGTGTTTCTGTGACATGTTGGGTGTGTGTCTGAGGTGGCCATTGTGTTTCTGTGACATGTTGGTGTGTGTGTGTCTGAGGTGGCCATTGTGTTTCTGTGACATGTTGGTGTGTGTGTCTGAGGTGGCCATTGTGTTTCTGTGACATGTTGGTGTGTGTGTCTGAGGTGGCCATTGTGTTTCTGTGACATGTTGGTGTGTGTCTGAGGTGGCCATTGTGTTTCTGTGACATGTTGGTGTGTGTGTCTAAGGTGGCCATTGTGTTTCTGTGACATGTTGGTGTGTGTGTGTCCTGAGGTGGCCATTGTGTTTCTGTGACATGTTGTGTGTGTGTCTGAGGTGGCCATTGTGTTTCTGTGACATGTTGGTGTGTGTCTGAGGTGGCCATTGTGTTTCTGTGACATGTTGGTGTGTGTGTCTGAGGTGGCCATTGTGTTTCTGTGACATGTTGGTGTGTGTGTCTGAGGTGGCCATTGTGTTTCTGTGACATGTTGGTGTGTGTGTGTCTGAGGTGGCCATTGTGTTTCTGTGACATGTTGGTGTGTGTGTCTGAGGTGGCCATTGTGTTTCTGTGACATGTTGGTGTGTGTGTCTGAGGTGGCCATTGTGTTTCTGTGACATGTTGGTGTGTGTGTCTGAGGTGGCCATTGTGTTTCTGTGACATGTTGGTGTGTGTGTCTGAGGTGGCCATTGTGTTTCTGTGACATGTTGGTGTGTGTCTGAGGTGGCCATTGTGTTTCTGTGACATGTTGGTGTGTGTGTCTGAGGTGGCCATTGTGTTTCTGTGACATGTTGGTGTGTGTGTCTGAGGTGGCCATTGTGTTTCTGTGACATGTTGGTGTGTGTCTGAGGTGGTCATTGTGTTTCTGTGACATGTTGGCGTGTGTGTGTCTGAGGTGGCGATTGTGTTTCCGTGACATGTTGTCTGTGTGTGTCTGAGGTGGCGTAAGTTTGTGTTTCATTGTGACATGTTATGGTGTGTGTCTGAGGTGGCCATTGTGTTTCCGTGACATGTTGGTGTGTGTGTCTGAGGTGGCGATTGTGTTTCCGTGACATGTTGGTGTGTGTGTCTGAGGTGGCGATTGTGTTTCCGTGACATGTTAGTGTGTGTGTCTGAGGTGGCGTTTGTGTTTCCGTGACATGTTAGTGTGTGTGTGTCTGAGGTGGCGTTTGTGTTTCCGTGACATGTTAGTGTGTGTGTGTCTGAGGTGGCCATTGTGTTTCTGTGACATGTTGGTGTGTGTGTCTGAGGTGGCGATTGTGTTTCCGTGACATGTTGGTGTGTGTGTCTGAGGTGGCCATTGTGTTTCCGTGACATGTTGGTGTGTGTGTCTGAGGTGGCCATTGTGTTTCTGTGACATGTTAGTGTGTATGTCCGAGGTCGTCCGTCATAGTGTTAATGGGAGATGTTTGTATGTTGATTATTCCTGTACCCTCTGTGATGCAACTATGTGCATTTATTATCTGAAATTAACTCACTGAGAAATCACTGACACACGCCCCTAAACATCTACAGCTATAATGTCCATTCCGTGCTAGTGTGTACGTGCGAGAGAGAGAGAGAGAGAGAGAGAGAGAGAGAGAGAGAGAGAGAGAGAGAGAGAGGGGGGTCACCCATATTGTTCTCGGGGAGAGTCATCAATATTTGTACGGGGGGTCATTGATTTTATTTTAGGAAAGGTCATTCACATTAGTGTAAATGCTTCTCTATAAAAAAATCTCCTCCCTCTCTCTCTCTCACACACACGCACGCACACACATATACACCTCCCAGCCATAACTGGTCCCTTACCGGCTACTTGGAGACATATTTATAGGCGTGCCCTTCATTATTCGCACTCACACGAACCAAACCACCGACTGAAGACGAGTATGTGTCAAGCAATGTCCGCACCAGATGAATATTCGCAAGTGCAAATGTGAAAAACAGATTTAATCAACCTGTAAACACCTTGTTATGCGAGACGAACGCGGAGAAAAGCGTTCGCAGACATTGTCACTAACAAAGCACGGCAATACGGATATTATTTTTGATAATTATAGCAATATGGAACAATATCGCGCACAAGAAATGTCTGACACTAAAATAATATTATCCACTTTTGGTAAACGATGGGGACGCTGATACATATGTACATTTAATTAAATTACAACTGAAACCAGATTCAATTAGTGTCGAAGGAAAATATCTCTCGTATGAACCATACTACATGTACGTGGAGTAATTTAGTTTATACTTTGTTTTGTTTGTTTAATGTTTAACGTCGCACTCAGCAATATCCCGGCGATAGTTTTTACTGATTTGTCATGTCAAAACGTTTACTTTTCCTATGTATATTTGGGTTGTGCTGTCGGGTTCAAGTGCTTGATTGACGGGACAAGTCACGTACTTCTTGGATTCCCTGTAGTGCAAGTCACAGTCTGTGCCTGTAAAACCACAAGATGTTATTACATCAGGGCATATCAATAGATGCAGCACTTTACTCAAGTTTTATTTCTCTTTCCGAAAACCAGCGTTGTTAAAGTCACGTGATTTTCTTTGTCACCACAGTCGAGGCACGTGTACACGATCTTCGGGCAGGGGTCAGGGAGGAGATGGTTGTAGTCCATTGAACGTCCTATAGTGCGGTTAACTCGATATAAGGTGACGTGGGTTGGGGGCGGGGGGTGAACTTTGTACACATGTGTTGGTGGGTCAGTAATTTTGTACATGACATGCAAGCAGGTGACTTACTTTGTATATATATTGTAGGGGGTCATTTACATTGTGCCCCCACCCCACCCCCCAGCCATGAATTATGAACTGGCCCTAAGCACGGAGTATAGTTCTAGAATACTTTCACAAGAACAGCAGCTTCTTGGCATGTCATCTACTTTCATTTTCAAATATATTCAGCACACACCCAGAGTTAGGGTCTTCCCCTGTTCTCTTTTGAAATCACAATCGTCTCGCTAAGATAACCCTTCCAAAATACCCATATTACATAACGGTATTCGCTGATAAAGCTAATGTTACCAATACCACGAAGAACATGGATATGGTATGCCTATATTTTATGTAATGTCCAGCGTGGTACCTCGATGCACATGCTGTCAATCACTAGACTGTCTGGTACTAACTCATTTTGCGGAAATGTTGCAGAGTGAGGTCCTAAGCAATAAACTTACTTTCGTATCAATGTTTTGACCACTTTCTGTTGTCATTAATCCTTAAACAGTTGGTCTGGAATTGTCTGTAATACCCATATTTCATCCCAATGTACGTTTACTCAGACAATTATGACATGTTTATAAATGTATCTGGTTTACAATGGCTGCAATATATTCACGACATTTCTTCAGACAAGTCACACCCGTCTCTCGGATACAGCTGCATCACACGATTATCCTTTCATTTTACAGCCGCTTCTTTAAAGATCGGTACTTGCTGTCAGAAGGTACCTAATATGATCGAACATTTTACACGAACGCTGGTACCAACATATACCATTATAAGCATGAAGCTTAACACACCTTCCCCGGAGCAGGTGTAGGTTCTGCCGGTCCATCATAGGGATCAAAAGTTGCTTCATCAGCAGTCCACCTGCAGTGGTGCAACTTGAGTGCAACCGTCACTCAGATTCAGTCAACATAAAACATTGAGAGTGAATAGAGTTTAACATGTGAGTCAGTGGTAGATAATGTTAAGATCAGATTTTTGGGTTTGGTGAGGAAACAAGAGAGAGTTATTTTACAGTATTGTTTTTACTGGCGTTTTAAAAATATCATAAAAACCTTTATATAACAGATCTGAAAAGAGGGAGAACAAGTGTAAGCTTGGTGATAAAAATATGCTTGGTCACTTAATTAAAATGTGAATCCATTCTCGGGAAATGAACAAATAGTGAGTGAGTGAGTTTTGCTTTACACCGCACTCAGCTATATTCCAGCTCCTATATGGCGGCAGTCTGTAAATAATCGAGTCTGGACCAGACAATCCAGTGATCAACAGCATGAGCATCAACCTACGCAATTAGGATACGATGACATGTGTCAACCAAGTCAGCGAGCCTGACCACCCAATCCCGTTAGTTGCCATACAATAAGCATGGGTTACTGAAGATCAATTCTAACCCGGATCTTCATTGGTGCATGAACAAATAATAGAAACAGAGCCACCCACTGTTTATAATACATTAAACATGCTGATAAATATGTAAAAAATGTAACTGGTAAAACTAAAATAATTGGTATCATCCACAAGTATCTTCAATTTCATTGATGTCATCCTGTAAAAGAAGGTAATCGACTAGAATACGTGGTAGTGGTGTTTCCTTTAATGATGAGCGGATACTCCTGCCCTGCACACAGTATCCAATTCTGCGGCGAACACGTGTCCGACACAAACACATGAGACTCGGTACAGTCTCCCGACTAGACTGCAGCCAGTGTTGGAACATCTCCTGGTCCAGGTTACTGGCCAACTTGGGCACCACTGTCCCAGCATTCAACAATCTGTCCTTGTGGATGTTATACCCAGCAACTGTCAACATGTCCAAATACTTCTTGCCATGACTGTGAAAATGTTTGCACTTTGCAATCAAATGTGGAAAACTGGATTTCTGAAAACACAAATGATCAATAATTGTCAAACAGAGATGTGGAACAGCTTGACTTATGACCTTCACTATGGCTTCCTGTAAGTCACATAGGAAATTAACAAAATATACCAACTGAAATTTGAGTTTTCCCAGTCCTAAACCGGTAAAATAGAACAGACTACTAATACCTTGGTACAGGGCAGGTGGTCATCATCTAAAGCACTGCAATTTGCTGAGCAGAGTTGTGCCTATAATGGATGCCCGAAACCTGCTTTCTATGTTGGGTTCGGCTTCAAGCTGATAGGCCATAAGGTGAGGTGAGGTGAAATTGGGTTTAACGCCATGCTTGAGAATATTTCACTCATATGACGACGTGCATGTGTGTGTATGTGCAGCTGCTTGTACTAGCCCAGACTTAAGCTGGTTTTATAGTGCTAGCCCACTGAGATACCATGCCACAGTGAAGCATGAATATCTCACTCCGACACATTATACTGACTCCGAGCCGACCAGTCCTTGTTGTACCCATTAATGCCGAGCTCCAGGCAGGAACCAACAAGTACCATATTTTAACGTCTTTTGGTATGACGCGGCCGGGGCCATAAAATAATACTTTATTGAGAGAAGCATTAAACCAAAACATGTTCCCTCAATAATATCCTGTGAGGTTGTCTTCCAATCCATGTATGTTGATGGGCGAGTGAGTGAGTTTAGTTTTACGCTGCACTCAGCAATATTCCAGCTATATGAGACAGCGTACCTGTGAGCCCAGGTTGACATCAGCCCCCTCCACAATCAGGTACCTGGCCATCTCAAAGTGACACTGCAGCAGAGTTTCATAAAGTGGAGTTTCCCCGGTCTGAAAACAAGTGTTACAAACCAACATTATTCAACCCAAGGTCCTGGCAAGTCATACCTTACAGTAAAGAAAAAGTATGACTGGCCTTACACTGTTCTAGTCTGCATGATTCAACAACAGCATGCATGATTCAGGCCCTGGCCAATCTACACCACAGTAGTTAACCCTGGCCTTGGCCTGGCATACCTTATATTCCAAGATGCTTCCCTAAAAGATCCAAGGTGCTGATAAGCGATAAAGTACACTTTTTCTATCACATCACACTGTATTACCATCAATATGCCATTCTAGTCTGCCCCCTCGTAATCAAACATACCCTTGGTAACCGATGTCATTGCCTTGTACAGTCTCCTACAGTACACATCACTCAGTAGCACCCTGTTTGTTGGTTTGCAGTTGCTTCAATCAGTTAACAATTATAACATCACTGGTGGAAACATTACGGTCAACTGTTTGGACGGAAGAAATGTCTGAGCTCCACTCCCAATTACAATGTAACATTCATATTGCACCATATGGTTTACAATAATCTCAGTTTTAATTAAAATAAATAAGAAAATATATTTAACCCGATCGATCGTAAACAGTATTCAAACTTTCAATCTTTTCTTGGTAACATGTGTCTTAAGGTAGGATGGCAGACACATGAATGTAACAGCACATCAGTTAACCTTGAACAAGGAGTGTTAATTAAGGTCACAGACATTGTCGCCTTTCTCCTTGTTTTCTGATTAATTGTCGGTAAGTATTAAATTTGGCATCTTAGAAAAGAAATACAGTTCACTGAACCCCTATGTACAGTGTAATAAGTACACTTTTGCCCTGAAATATTATAACCCTAAAGACCCGTGAATGTCCGGGTTAGAATATTGATCTTCAGTAACCCATGCTTGTCGCAAGAGGTGACTAACGGGATCGGGTGGTCAGACTCGCTGACTTGGTTGACACATGTCATCGGATCCCAATTGCGCAGATCAATGTTCATGCTGTTGATCACTGGATTGTCTGGTCCAGACTCGATTATTTACAGACTGCCGCCATATAGCTGGAATATAGCTGAGTGCGGCGTAAAGCAAAACTCACTCACTCACTCAGACACAAGCGTCCTCAAGCATTAACGATAACAGTTCAGGGCAAAACTGCACTTTATTACACTATACATGGGGGTACAGCAAACTGAAAAGTATATAATTGTATGATTCGCCTTAGCCTGTTCTAGTCTGTATTATACTACAACAATACCATGTATATATCAGTTCCTGGCCAATCAACACTTCAGTGTTTAATCCTGGCCTCGGTATGTCATACATTACCATGATTACAGTATAGCAACAGTATGACTGGCCTTAGATTGTTCTATAATAAACATACAACTTTATGGATAACAACTTCTTGTTTATTGCACAGAGCAATGTTTCGGCATAGATTCTTACAACGATTTCAAGCTAAAAGATTCCTACATCGAAATGTGGCTCTGTGCGATATACAAGGAGTTGTTATCCATAAAGTTGTGTGCTTTATTACTGACTCAGCAACTTGTAGAATGTCAGTCAAACAATTAGATTGTTCCAGTCTCAAGCAAACCTTGGCTTTGTAGTTGATTGCAGCCCCATGTTCAACCAGCAGTTTAGCTATGCCCATATGGTTTAGCTTTGCTGCCCATCTCAGTGGGGTCCATCCATCCTACAGACATGAAAGAGGAAAACATCTTTAATCATGAGACAAAAATAGCAACCCCAGATGGTACAACATTGATCAAGTTATTGAGGTATTGCAAATCAAAACATACCCCTTACAAAATGTAAGCAAAACATAAAAGTTTGCAAACAGAGAAAGTTGCAGTTCCTGACCCTCTTGAACATTTCATTTTGCAGTTGTGAACTGGTTGTGAGGGGAATATTTTCACCTGACATTCATACCACAACCAAATGTCAACAGTTTCCAGAGACTAATTTCAAAGGTAACAATGCTGACAACTTGAGTAAACTGAACCTTCTCTTGCACACCACTTTAACTAGGAAATGACAGACAAGTTTTCAAATACTGCCAGGAACACTTACATTACTGGAAGGAGAACGTCCTCCTCATGTCAGCAAGGGTCTACCTACAAATAACATGCCTTCATACCTTCAAGTCTCAGTCAAGTACTGTTCCAAACACAGCTCATGGCCAGCACATTACCCAAATCATCTGCTGCTAAACCTTTTATCAAATGTGTATGCAAGGACAAAATGAGTAACTGAACAATAATACAATACCCACATATATCTAGGAGATTAGATCTATCATTAATATCCTTTTGTAGAAAATAAAAGGAAATACTCTTCATTGTACATAGTGTACATCCCACTAACATGCATCCAGACTGACCTTGCTCTGTATGTTGACCTTGGCACCAGCTGCTAGCAGCTGGCGGACCACCTCTTCATGCTCCCGCCACACAGCAAGGTGGAGGCTGGTGTCCCCATCCTGCAGACAATACTGTCACTTCAACAAATGTCTCAGTATGCATGGTGTGATTTGTGTGATTTCATCTTTTTTCACTACTTACAACAGGTGTAAACAAGTGAATAAATCAGTAGCAGTATGTTTCAACATGGCTCAATACACTTCTCAACACCAACATGTATATCAATACATGTCTCAAAGTGTCTCAGTACTTCTCAAAGTGTCTCAACTTACACATCAATACATGTCTCAAAGTGTCTCCATACATCTCTCAAAGTGTCTCCATACATGTCTCAACATACATATCAATACATGTCTCAATACATGTCTCAAAGTGTCTCCATACATCTCTCAAAGTGTCTCCATACATGTCTCAACATACATATCAATACATGTCTCAATACATGTCTCAAAGTGCCTCAATACATGTCTCAAAGTGTCTCCATACATGTCTCAACATACATATCAATACATGTCTCAATACATGTCTCAAAGTGTCTCCATACATCTCTCAAAGTGTCTCAATACATGTCTCAACATACATATCAATACATGTCTCAATACATGTCTCAAAGTGCCTCAATACATGTCTCAAAGTGTCTCCATACATCTCTCAAAGTGTCTCAATACATGTCTCAACATACATATCAATACATGTCTCAATACATGTCTCAAAGTGCCTCAATACATGTCTCAAAGTGTCTCCATACATGTATCAACACGTCTCAACATACATATCAATACATGTCTCAATACATGTCTCAAAGTGCCTCAATACATGTCTCAAAGTGTCTCCATACATGTATCAACACGTCTCAACATACATATCAATACATGTCTCAATACATGTCTCAAAGTGCCTCAATACATGTCTCAAAGTGTCTCCATACATGTCTCAACACGTCTCAACATACATATCAATACATGTCTCAATACATGTCTCAAAGTGCCTCAATACATGTCTCAAAGTGTCTCCATACATGTCTCAACACGTCTCAACATACATATCAATACATGTCTCAATACATGTCTCAATATATGTCTCAAAGTGTCTCCATACATGTCTCAACAGGTCTCAACATACATATCAATACATGTCTCAAAGTGTCTCCATACATGTCTCAACATGTCTCAACATACATATCAATACATGTCTCAATACATGTCTCAAAGTGTCTCCATACATCTCTCAAAGTGTCTCCATACATGTCTCAACATACATATCAATACATGTCTCAATACATGTCTCAAAGTGCCTCAATACATGTCTCAAAGTGTCTCCATACATCTCTCAAAGTGTCTCAATACATGTCTCAACATACATATCAATACATGTCTCAATACATGTCTCAAAGTGTCTCCATACATCTCTCAAAGTGTCTCCATACATGTCTCAACATACATATCAATACATGTCTCAATACATGTCTCAAAGTGCCTCAATACATGTCTCAAAGTGTCTCCATACATCTCTCAAAGTGTCTCAATACATGTCTCAACATACATATCAATACATGTCTCAATACATGTCTCAAAGTGCCTCAATACATGTCTCAAAGTGTCTCCATACATGTATCAACATCGTCTCAACATACATATCAATACATGTCTCAATACATGTCTCAAAGTGCCTCAATACATGTCTCAAAGTGTCTCCATACATGTATCAACACGTCTCAACATACATATCAATACATGTCTCAATACATGTCTCAAAGTGCCTCAATACATGTCTCAAAGTGTCTCCATACATGTATCAACACGTCTCAACATACATATCAATACATGTCTCAATACATGTCTCAAAGTGCCTCAATACATGTCTCAAAGTGTCTCCATACATGTATCAACACGTCTCAACATACATATCAATACATGTCTCAATACATGTCTCAAAGTGCCTCAATACATGCCTCGATACATGTCTCAAAGTGTCTCAATACATCTCTCAAAGTGTCTCAATACATGTCTCAACATACATATCAATACATGTCTCAATACATGTCTCAAAGTGCCTCAATACATGTCTCAAAGTGTCTCCATACATGTCTCAACACGTCTCAACATACATATCAATACATGCCTCGATACATGTCTCAAGGTGTCTCAATACATGTCTCAAAGTGTCTCCATACATGTCTCAACACGTCTCAACATACATATCAATACATGCCTCGATACATGTCTCAAAGTGTCTCAATACATGTCTCAAAGTGTCTCCATACATGTCTCAACACGTCTCAACATACATATCAATACATGCCTCGATACATGTCTCAAAGTGTCTCAATACATGTCTCAAAGTGTCTCCATACATGTCTCAACACGTCTCAACATACATATCAATACATGCCTCGATACATGTCTCAAAGTGTCTCAATACATGTCTCAAAGTGCCTCAATACATGTCTCAACATACATATCAATACATGTCTCAAAGTGCCTCAATACATGCAGAAGGAAAATGTCTCAAGTTTCCAACTACATCTCTTTGTATTTGCCTACTTATTCATGAATCCTTTTTATGAAACATTATTTCAAATCAATTGCTTTAACTACAGTCTAAATCACAGTTCAGTTTAGTTTTTAGAATAAGTAAGTTCTTTCAATCATTACTAATTAACTAGATTTCATATTACACAAACCACACAGAACACCTGCAAACGGAGAGTTGTGTGTTGAACAACCAACAAGCAAGATAACAATAGCGACATGAAAAAATCAGTTGTTTCAGCTTCTTATGCAAAGTGAATGTACTGTGTTCCTTACCAATATGCGAGCATCTATTCTAGCTCCAGCTTTTAACAGATGGATGACTATGTCTGTGAAGCCGGCTCTTGCTGCTATATGAAGTGCTGTTCGGCCATCCTAGCAAATATAATACCATATAAACAATGTTTCTGACTTCACTCCCTTGTATTTTCTTCAGTGAAGAACTGGGTGAATTAAACTGGCTCTACCAACTGTCCTACAATCAACCAAGTCAATGGCTCTACCAACTATCTGGGTATGTCCTACAATCAACCAAGTCACTGGTTCTACCAACTGTCTGGGGAAGATGTCCTACAGTCAACCAAGTCACTGGCTCTACCAACTGTCTGGGTATGTCCTACAGTCAACCAAGTCACTGGGTCTACCAACTGTCTGGGTGAGATGTCCTACAATCAACCAAGTCACTGGGTCTACCAACTGTCTGGGTGTGATGTCCTACAGTCAACCAAGTCACTGGCTCTACCAACTGTCTGGGTGAGATGCCCTACAATCAACCAAGTCACTGGCTCTACCAACTGTCTGGGTGAGATGTCCTACAATCAACCAAGTCACTGGGTCTACCAACTGTCTGGGTGAGATGTCCTACAGTCAACCAAGTCACTGGGTCTACCAACTATCTGGGTGTGATGTCCTACAATCAACCAAGTCACTGGGTCTACCAACTGTCTGGGTGAGATGTCCTACAGTCAACCAAGTCACTGGGTCTACCAACTGTCTGGGTATGTCCTACAGTCAACCAAGTCACTGGGTCTACCAACTGTTTGGGTATGACATACAGTCAACCAAGTCACTGGGTCTACCAACTGTCTGGGTATGTCCTACAATCAACCAAGTCACTGGCTCTACCAACTGTCTGGGTGAGATATCCTACAGTCAACCAAGTCACTGGGTCTACCAACTGTTTGGGTATGTCCTACAGTCAACCAAGTCACTGGGTCTACCAACTGTTTGGGTATGACATACAGTCAACCAAGTCACTGGCTCTACCAACTGTCTGGGTATGTCCTACAGTCAACCAAGTCACTGGGTCTACCAACTGTTTGGGTATGACATACAGTCAACCAAGTCACTGGCTCTACCAACTGTCTGGGTATGTCCTACAATCAACCAAGTCACTGGCTCTACCAACTGTCTAGGTGAGATGTCCTACAATCAACTAAGTCACTGGGTCTACCAACTGTTTGGGTATGACATACAGTCAACCAAGTCACTGGGTCTACCAACTGTTTGGGTATGACATACAGTCAACCAAGTCACTGGGTCTATCAACTGTCTGGGTGTGATGTCCTACAGTCAACCAAGTCACTGGCTCTACCAACTGTCTGGGCGTGATGTCCTACAGTCAACCAAGTCACTGGGTCTACCAACTGTCTGGGCGTGATGTCCTACAGTCAACCAAGTCACTGGCTCTACCAACTGTCTGGGTGAGATGCCCTACAATCAACCAAGTCACTGGGTCTACCAACTGTCTGGGTGAGATGCCCTACAATCAACCAAGTCACTGGCTCTACCAACTGTCTGGGTGTGATGTCCTACAGTCAACCAAGTCACTGGGTCTACCAACTGTCTGGGCGTGATGTCCTACAGTCAACCAAGTCACTGGCTCTATCAACTGTTTGGGTGTGATGTCCTACAGTCAACCAAGTCACTGGGTCTACCAACTGTCTGGGTGTGATGTCCTACAATCAACCAAGTCACTGGGTCTACCAACTGTCTGGGCGTGATGACCTACAGTCAACCAAGTCACTGGCTCTACCAACTGTCTGGGTTAGATGTCCTACAGTCAACCAAGTCACTGGGTCTACCAACTGTCTGGGTGAGTTGTCCTACAGACAACCAAGTCACTGGGTCTACCAACTGTCTGGGCGTGATGTCCTACAGTCAACCAAGTCACTGGGTCTACCAACTGTCTGGGTGAGATGTCCTACAATCAACCAAGTCACTGGGTCTACCAACTGTCTGGGTGTGATGTCCTACAGTCAACCCAGTCACTGGGTCTACCAACTGTCTGGGAGTGATGTCCTACAGTTAACCAAGTCACTGGGTCTACCAACTGTCTGAGTGAGTTGTCCTACAGTCAACCAAGTCACTGGGTCTACCAACTGTCTGGGCGTGATGTCCTACAGTCAACCAAGTCACTGGGTCTACCAACTGTCTGGGTGTGATGTCCTACAGTCAACCAAGTCACTGGCTCTACCAACTGTCTGGGCGTGATGTCCTATAATCAACCAAGTCACTGGATCTACCAACTGTCTGGGCATGATGTCCTACAGTCAACCAAGTCACTGGCTCTACCAACTGTCTGGGTTAGATGTCCTACAATCAACCAAATCACTGGGTCTACCAACTGTCTGGGTGAGATGCCCTACAATCAACCAAGTCACTGGGTCTACCAACTGTCTGGGTATGTCCCACAATCAACCAAGTCACTGGCTCTACCAACTGTCTGGGTGTGATGTCCTACAGTCAACCAAGTCACTGGGTCTACCAACTGTCTGGGTTAGATGTCCTACAGTCAACCAAGTCACTGGCTCTACCAACTGTCTGGGTGAGTTGTCCTACAGACAACCAAGTCACTGGGTCTACCAACTGTCTGGGCGTGATGTCCTACAGTCAACCAAGTCACTGGGTCTACCAACTGTCTGGGCGTGATGTCCTACAGTCAACCAAGTCACTGGATCTACCAACTGTCTGGGTGAGTTGTCCTACAGACAACCAAGTCACTGGGTCTACCAACTGTCTGGGAGTGATGTCCTACAGTCAACCAAGTCACTGGGTCTACCAACTGTCTGGGTGTGATGTCCTACAGTCAACCAAGTCACTGGGTCTACCAACTGTCTGGGCGTGATGTCCTACAGTCAACCAAGTCACTGGGTCTACCAACTGTCTGGGTGTGATGTCCTACAGTCAACCAAGTCACTGGCTCTACCAACTGTCTGGGCGTGATGTCCTATAATCAACCAAGTCACTGGATCTACCAACTGTCTGGGCGTGATGTCCTACAGTCAACCAAGTCACTGGCTCTACCAACTGTCTGGGTTAGATGTCCTACAGTCAACCAAGTCACTGGCTCTACCAACTGTCTGGGTGAGATGCCCTACAATCAACCAAGTCACTGGCTCTACCAACTGTCTGGATGTGATGTCCTACAATCAACCAAATCACTGGGTCTACCAACTGTCTGGGTGAGATGCCCTACAATCAACCAAGTCACTGGGTCTACCAACTGTCTGGGTATGTCCCACAATCAACCAAGTCACTGGGTCTACCAACTGTCTGGGTGTGATGTCCTACAGTCAACCAAGTCACTGGGTCTACCAACTGTCTGGGTTAGATGTCCTACAGTCAACTAAGTCACTGGGTCTACCAACTGTCTGGGTGTGATGTCCTACAGTCAACCAAGTCACTGGGTCTACCAACTGTCTGGGTGTGATGTCCTACAGTCAACCAAGTCACTGGGTCTACCAACTGTCTGGGTGAGATGTCCCTACAATCAACCAAGTCACTGGCTCTACCAACTGTCTGGGTGTGATGTCCTACAATCAACCAAGTCACTGGGTCTACCAACTGTCTGGGTGAGATGCCCTACAATCAACCAAGTCACTGGGTCTACCAACTGTCTGGGTATGTCCTACAATCAACCAAGTCACTGGCTCTACCAACTGTCTGGGTGTGATGTCCTACAGTCAACCAAGTCACTGGGTCTACCAACTGTCTGGGCGTGATGTCCTACAGTCAACAAAGTCACTGGCTCTACCAACTGTTTGGGTTTGATGTCCTACAGTCAACCAAGTCACTGGGTCTACCAACTGTCTGGGTGTGATGTCCTACAGTCAACCAAGTCACTGGCTCTACCAACTGTCTGGCCGTGATGTCCTATAATCAACCAAGTCACTGGATCTACCAACTGTCTGGGCATGATGTCCTACAGTCAACCAAGTCACTGGCTCTACCAACTGTCTGGGTTAGATGTCCTACAATCAACCAAATCACTGGGTCTACCAACTGTCTGGGTGAGATGCCCTACAATCAACCAAGTCACTGGGTCTACCAACTGTCTCGGTATGTCCCACAATCAACCAAGTCACTGGCTCTACCAACTGTCTGGGTGTGATGTCCTACAGTCAACCAAGTCACTGGGTCTACCAACTGTCTGGGTTAGATGTCCTACAGTCAACCAAGTCACTGGCTCTACCAACTGTCTGGGTGAGTTGTCCTACAGACAACCAAGTCACTGGGTCTACCAACTGTCTGGGCGTGATGTCCTACAGTCAACCAAGTCACTGGGTCTACCAACTGTCTGGGTGTGATGTCCTACAGTCAACCAAGTCACTGGATCTACCAACTGTCTGGGTGAGTTGTCCTACAGACAACCAAGTCACTGGGTCTACCAACTGTCTGGGAGTGATGTCCTACAGTCAACCAAGTCACTGGGTCTACCAACTGTCTGGGTGTGATGTCCTACAGTCAACCAAGTCACTGGGTCTACCAACTGTCTGGGCGTGATGTCCTACAGTCAACCAAGTCACTGGGTCTACCAACTGTCTGGGTGTGATGTCCTACAGTCAACCAAGTCACTGGCTCTACCAACTGTCTGAAGTGATGTCCTATAATCAACCAAGTCACTGGATCTACCAACTGTCTGGGCGTGATGTCCTACAGTCAACCAAGTCACTGGCTCTACCAACTGTCTGGGTTAGATGTCCTACAGTCAACCAAGTCACTGGCTCTACCAACTGTCTGGGTGAGATGCCCTACAATCAACCAAGTCACTGGCTCTACCAACTGTCTGGATGTGATGTCCTACAATCAACCAAATCACTGGGTCTACCAACTGTCTGGGTGAGATGCCCTACAATCAACCAAGTCACTGGGTCTACCAACTGTCTCGGTATGTCCCACAATCAACCAAGTCACTGGGTCTACCAACTGTCTGGGTGTGATGTCCTACAGTCAACCAAGTCACTGGGTCTACCAACTGTCTGGGTTAGATGTCCTACAGTCAACTAAGTCACTGGGTCTACCAACTGTCTGGGTGTGATGTCCTACAGTCAACCAAGTCACTGGGTCTACCAACTGTCTGGGTGTGATGTCCTACAGTCAACCAAGTCACTGGGTCTACCAACTGTCTGGGTGAGATGCCCTACAATCAACCAAGTCACTGGCTCTACCAACTGTCTGGGTGTGATGTCCTACAATCAACCAAGTCACTGGGTCTACCAACTGTCTGGGTGAGATGCCCTACAATCAACCAAGTCACTGGGTCTACCAACTGTCTGGGTATGTCCTACAATCAACCAAGTCACTGGCTCTACCAACTGTCTGGGTGTGATGTCCTACAGTCAACCAAGTCACTGGGTCTACCAACTGTCTGGGCGTGATGTCCTACAGTCAACCAAGTCACTGGCTCTACCAACTGTTTGGGTTTGATGTCCTACAGTCAACCAAGTCACTGGGTCTACCAACTGTCTGGGCATGATGTCCTACAGTCAACCAAGTCACTGGGTCTACCAACTGTTTGGGTATGACATACAGTCAACCAAGTCACTGGGTCTTCCATTGAGACTATCACCCCAGTCCAGTTAGTGTAGTACTATGTGTGCCAAGGATATTGTCTAATCCCAGTTCACACAGGGCCCAGTAGCTGAAACCAAACGTCCAGTGTTGAAGACATTGACAAGTGAAAAACAACTTTCCCTTTGAGGACCATTGACAAATGTGTTATTCTAATAATGTGTAACTACATTATTTGCAGCAAGCAAGGGGACTCATGATGGTATCTACACAGAGCAATGAGTTTGTGTACCTCATTTGTGGCTTGTACCTCTGCCTTAGCCTTGATGAGAGCTTGGACAATTGAGACACAACCCACTGACACAGCTTCCAGTAGCAATGTACTGCCATACTGAAACAGATGGGATACTTGTTACACACACAGTTTTCCCAGAAATTATTGAGAAAATCAAGGCAAGGAGATCCCACAAAGAACTGAATAGACACTTAGACTTAAGAGAATCATATCTCAACATATTCATTTAAGAAAAACCTCTATAGTTTATATACATGTATATATTAGATATTTGCAAAAAAACTTTCTCAATTTCTGGGAATACTATATATATATATATCTTAGCTATGACTTGGAGTTGCTTTCATTGCTGAATGTTGCTGCAATGTTCAAAACAACTTCATCATGGCACCTTGTAAATTCTGGTGTATGATCAAAACAAACAAACTTAATCGTAGGAAACCCTATTCATTCCTTAGGAATACACGAATTTCCTAGGTTACAAAATGAATGTTTCTTATGAGTAGTAATGGGGTAACAGCAGAATTATCACTTCCAAAAGAAAATGCAACTGGCATCTGAAATATCACTGCAAACAGGTTTGTAAAGTTAGACAAGTGTAATGAATATATAAAAAGTTACAACATCATGGACTATAGATAGCATTTATTGGAGCTCCAATTGAATTCAGCACTACAAGTTTCTGTGATTATGAACTCTACCATAGCTTATATGTCACTCACACAAACAAACAGTTTTAAGTGAGAATACGTCAGACTTGACTTAGTGACCAACAAGCAAACCAAATGAGCTACGTCCACACTTTTATACTACCGGTAAGTGGCAATGAACCTAGTTTTGCTGAAATAGTAAGACAAATGAACAGAAAGGGGCGAAGTACTAAAAGACACTTGCAAAGTTTAGCCATGGTGTTACAAGACTTCTAGTTCTACATCTACAAACACTTTTGAAGAAACATGATACCAGTTTGCATTTCCCATTCTGTAATCAACAAAATCCTAAGTGATAAAGAATGAACTGGGTAACATTGTTCCTGGTTTAAGATGCTATGTTCATAAATTCACATGAATGAGAGGGTGAAATTTTTCAGTCAGCTTACAAGGAAAAGCACAGCACTGAAACAGCTCTTCTCAGAGTTCAGAATGACATCTTGACTCATATGGACAAGCAAGAGGTTGTGCTGCTAGTACTACTTGACCTTTCAGCGGCTTTCGACACCGTGGACTACACCATTCTACTGCAGAGGTTAGAGCACACTATTGGCATCACAGGAACAGCACTACAATGGTTCCAGGCCTACTTGTCAAATAGAACAATAAGAGTCAAGGTCCATAATGCAACTTCATCCATCAGAGAAACCAACTTTGGTGTACCACAAGGCTCTGTGCTTGGTCCGATTTTGATTTTACTGTACATTCTTCCAATAGGCAATATCATCCGAAGTCACAATATAAAATGCAGATGATAACCAACTCTACATTGGAATTACACCAGCTAATGTTGAACACGCAAAAGATGTCATGGAGAGCTGTATCGCGGATATCAAGATATGGATGACAAACAACTTTCTTAAACTCAACAACAACAAATCTGAGTTCATGATCATTGGAACTAGGCAGCAGCTTCGCAAAATAGGCGAGTGTAGTCTCACAGTTGGAGATCAGTCTATCTGCCCTGTGCCCCAGGTGAAGAATCTTGGTGTTGTTTTCCGTTCTTCAATGTCACCAGAATCACAAGCCTTAACAGCAGCAAGATCAGCAACCTTTCATCTCCACCGAATAGGAAAAATCCGCCGCTATTTGAACATTGACACAACCAAACTTTTAGTACAGTCATACGTCATCTCACGCCTAGACTACTGTAACTCCCTTGTGTCAAGAGCAGCAGCAATCCAACATCTCCAGCTTGTACAAAACAGAGCTGCCAGGATCATAACCAGGACAAAATGTCAGGAACACATCACCCCTGTGCTGAGGTCGCTGCACTGGCTCCCAGTAAAGAGGAGAATACAGTACAAAGTAATATGCATCACCTACTCAACCCTCTATGACATCAATTCACCTGCTTACCTCAAAGACAACATAGAAATTTATCATCCAACTCGTGTCTTGAGGTCTGAAAAAAGAGTCAGCCTGAAAATGCCAGCAACAAAAACATCCATGGGAGACAGAGCTTTCAGTGCTGCTGTCCCAGCTTTGTGGAACTCTCTGCCAGTTGAACTGAGATCAGTATCTTCCCTGGAAACATTTAGGAGCCAACTAAAAACTCATCTCCTTCTAGATACCTACTAGTTTCTCCACTTTCTCTGCACAGCGCCACTGAGCAGCACTGGCGCATTTAGGTGCTTAAACAAATGCATTATTATTATATTATTATTTAATAAGCATTGATTCTTAAACAGCATGGGTGAGTGGATGTGTGAATCATATCTTAAGGTGTGAAATGCAGATAGAAAATATTCTAGTTGCAAAAAGGATCTTATTATAAACCTGTGCTGCACATTTCTCATCAGCTGACACTGTGAACATGGAAGTAACGGTATTATCAAATTTTACGTTTTCAGACAACATAGGTTTCTGAGGCCATTTTTTCTGGATTTCTCATGCAGTGAACATGGACAACAATAGTATCATCAGAATATATAGTTTCTGACATCATATGTCTCCAAAACATGCATAGAAATACCCATTTTTATCGTGAGTTCCTCCTTTAAAACAAGGAGTTTGACATCAGAGACTTTGTAAATACTTGACAATGGCTTGTTTTTCTCATAAAGTTTATATTTTTAGGTACAGATGTTTGACACATGCTGATATGATCAGTGGTAAATTCTTAAGCATCTGCAAACCAATAACTGGAGGATATATCGAAAAGAATCAGATCTGCCTGAATCAATTAGAGATGGGAGTAGTACACTTTACCAGGCAAAGTTTTATTGGATTTGAATTTGTGCTGCATGGAAGATTAACCTCACTGTGCCATCTTGAAGTTAGTTTAAGAAATGAGTTAGTCAACACTTTACTGCCGGACCACAAAAAATCTTTGATTAGCAGGTAACAACTAACCCTTCGGATCGTGGACATTAGCGGCAATTAACACTAATTCATATAATCTGCGCCAGATAAATTGCCAGGTCGAACTGCACTGTTGCCATGAAACTGCAGTCTCCCAAGAGCCCACTCACGCCCTGCAATCATCGTAACAGTATATCGAAAACAGAACACACGATGTAGACTCAGCTAATGCTTGACTGTAAAACAAATGCATATGAAAAAACATAAGGCACCCAAAATCTCTGGTTCACATCTACACCCCCTTTAACCAGTCGCTGCACTGTCTGTAAGTCTCTACATCCTACAGCCTTCTTGAGACGCGATATCATAGCTCGATCATCGAGACCTGACATTTCTGTGTTTGTTGTGTATAACGTGCACATACTATATGGTGCACTACTATAAACAGTACATTTTTTTTCATAACCTCTGCTTCATTTGACCAACATCTGTGTACATAATCTTTCCCGATAAACCGAACATAGGCGGATCCAGAGTGGGTTGGTGCAGGGTGCGCCCCCCCCCCCCCTTTTGTGTGCTGAAAGTTTGTTAAATGGGTGCCAGTCAAATCGCCCCAGCTACAAAACGCCCCAGCCAATTTGGTCAAAATGCCCCAGATTTTTGGTCACATCGCCCCAGGTTTGGTCAAATTGCCCCAGGGGGGGTAGTCAAAATGCCCCAGTGTATTTAAAATGATTAAATATATGCCATAAATGCATAGTTTTTGTCAACTTCCATATTATATACTTCGTATAATATTATATAGTAATATTTCTGATAGATTTTCTATTAGTATAAACTGATAAGAGCAAAAGTAATATTCATGTATAAACAACACTATAATACCAATTATTTGCATGTTATTAATGCTTTTGTAAAGAATTACAAGAATAAAATGAAATGTTTGTATAAAATGTTTATTGGCCATAAATGCATAGTTTTTGTCAGCAAGTATGGTATAATACTTATCAAAACAATCTAGTGCTTTTGTTAATCAATCTTGTCAAAAGGTGAGGCCGTAAATGCATAGATTTTCTCAACAAGTATGGTATAATGCTTATCAAAACAATCTAGAGCTTTTGTTAATTAATCTTGTCAAAAAGTGTGGATAAAAACAGGCTATTAAAACATGTTCACTAATTGACATTCAATGCTGTGTTTAGTTAAAGGAAATGTTGAGGCTCGAATGTATGAACATTTCAGGCTATAAAAACATATTCACTAATTGACCATCACCTATCGAGATTCAAACGTGTAATTTTGAACGATTCTAATATCTACAGTCATTTTGACTTAAATTTCGGTAGCAGATTTTGTCTAATCATACATTCTCGTCTCCAACTTGAATGTAGTGACCTTAATGCGCACAAGTATGAAAGATTTATATCTCCGACATCATCTTGCTCTTGTGGCCATATCTATGAAGACTCTGCTCACTAGTTCTTTTCATGTACTCTTTACAACCATATACGTCAAATTATGTATTTTTATACTAAAAGGATTTGACTTAAAATCAATTTTGTTTGGAAACCAACGCTGCTCCTCAATAGTAAACAAAGAACTTTTAATTTCAGTACACTCTTTTATAAATTTAACAGGCAGATTTGATCCAAAATATTTTGTTTATATGACATATACCGTTTAACAATGATAGGCGTTATTTCTCGTTTTTGCAACATTTATATATCATTCACATTGTACATTCATCATGACGAGTTTATTCTTCCTTCCATTGTATCCCAGAGCGGTATTCATATAAGCGTATGCTTGTTTACCAATCCGGTTCCTTTCTTTGGAAATAAATATGTTTAAATAATAAATGTTATACCATACTTGTTATGATTACATAATGCCATTTGTTGACCAAAAACTATTTACAGCCAATAAACATATTATACAAACCTTTCATTTTACTCTTGTAATTCTTTACCAAATAATTGGTATTATAGTGTTGTTTATGTACATGAATATTACTTTTGGTCCTATCAGTTTACTAATAGAAAATTTATCAGAAATATCACTATATAATATTATATATAGAATATAATATGGAAGTTGACAAAAACTATGCATTTATGGCATATATTTAACCAATTTAAATACATTGGGGCATTTTGACTACCCCCCTGGGGCAATTTGACCAAACCTGGGGCGATTTGACCAAATTGGCTGGGGCGTTTTGTAGCTGGGGCGATTTGACTGGCACCCTGTTAAATGACCATTGAAACTCGAGTGAAAATGAAGTGTGCACCCCTCCTTTTCTCAATAGTGTGCACCCCACTTTCTCAAAAAGCTGTATCCGCCCCTGCCGAATATATCTAATCACTAAATGTAGATGCATGTTTTCAGTTTTTATTACATGCTTTATTACAGTTATTACATGGCGAGAACTGCGATTTCAAATACGATATTTCCTACCACATTTGTATAGATATTTTATGCCAGTTTCACACTTTGTACTTACTCCACATACCATGGCCTGAAAGGAAATTTGACATATCTACGGCGATGAAAAAGGGCAAAAGTTACGATCATTTATCCTTGTGCTTTTACAAAATTGTACGAGGGAGAATGTATGTTTCCTTGCTGTCATTTCAATAAAATTAACTTACAGGTCATTTGTAATGCGACAGTTGTTTTACGAATAACGTATATAATACGTGGCTACGAAAATAGTATTTACTGCCAACCCGGTTGCATATCGCTTAAACCGGTTTTGGTTTGATGATGTCCAAGTCTCGAGTTTTCTCACAACGTCTCGAACCCATCGCAACAACATGTCGGACACAGAAATGTGCGAGGCGGATACAATGCAAACAGAAGAGGAAGACGGTGTCTATATGACAGAAGAAGAGTTGAGTTTGGTTTTAGTCAAACCCACTTTGAGTTAGCCAAATCGAAAAGCATAAGAGTTTTCATTATGTTTTCATAAATACATGTTCACGCACGTGTGAAAAAAACGAAAGTGGAATTTTTAAGATGTTCTGGAATATTCTAAGTAAACACTTATCACTAATTGAGTATGCAAACATAGAAATCTTGTAGAATTAAAGATCTACCTCGATCACTTATATTTTTGGTTCATTTGCTTCTCATATTCAGCGGGATTCGATGAATTCGTACACAGTCCAAAACCGACTGATTTTGAATGTGATCCGCTTTTGTGTGATTCTATGACTGCATAAATCTCTAAGAATGGCATTGGTACTCATTATAGTAGAACCAGGATCTCTTACGGAAGTTCAAGACAGTTGGTGTTCACATTGTAGTGAACTGGTTGATTGTGTGCTTAACCAGGACTGAGGGAGACTGATGTCAATATGTAGTTACTCTTTAAGTTAAACAGGCTATTGTTGTGTGGTGCTGTAGAAGTGCCATGTGCTGCATAAAACAAAATGCACTCACTTACTCATGAAAGTGTATTTGAAACTAACAGAACCCAGGAGGAAATTTTCAAAATGGAAGGCTCAAACAAGAGATGTATCACATGAGCATGATAAGTTGTAGGGCATGACATATGCAACATGTTATTTTCCTTGCCCTAAAAGTTACTTAGGTTAGTATGTGTTGTGATCCAAATGTACTGGCTGGCGAAAATTATCGCCAACACCTTGGTGTAGCGCTTGCGGAGATAGCTTGACTTGTACTTGCCTAATACTACTAATATTTCACACATTAGACATCACCAAATCAATAGGCTACGAAAGTTAAATCAACTGTAAGTATTTTACATTGCAGACGTTACAAGTATGAATCCCCTTGAACGACTATACACAAACACATCATGGGATGTCACGTGATATGATAATGAAATTATATTATCTAATATTAAAGTAATGTCAAAATCTGACATTTTCTGTGATGTGGTTTCCATTCACTAAGACTTATGCACATAGTACATTTCATATCATCCATTCAGTTAGGATTTGACAATTACAAACAAATTAATTGAGGTGAATAAAACGTCCATATATCAGCTTATGTCACCATTCACAATGAGAGTGAGTTTTCTTCTTTTTAATTACTTTTTAAAACAAATTCCAGTTATGAAATTTGTTCAATATGTCAATATTTTTATTAGTATATTACCAAATTTATGTCACATCTGGTGAAAAACATGAAATATTCAGAAGTTTTGACAACTGCTCTTCTTAGTTGTTGGGAAAGCACAATATGTACTACTGCACTTCCTGTTGGCTGAGTTTCAGAAAAAAAACATGATCGACAACTGTAATCAGGTAGGAAACATAAGCGAATGGCTATCATCAAGATACATTTTATTTCATTATGTTAAGAAATAATGGCAATCATGAAAAACTGCTAAAAAATGGCGATAACTGTTCGCCAGCCAGCATACCTGAACATGTAGTGCAAGAGGCCATCGATCTAACCAATCCAGGAGTTGAATGTTGCCATTTCCCCATTACCATGGTACAGTGATTTTAACAAGTCTGATAAGCTGTTTCACTTTGTCCTGGTCAAGTGACTGGTGAAACAAACATCATATATCAGATTTTTACTTATCCTCACTCACGCTATATGCTTATCTCCCTTTCCCTCGAACGGTTACGTGGAAATTTGAATCCCTTTGCTCCCTGAAGCAAACATAACATCATTCACCCAGTGGGTGACCTCCCTTTTCCTGACAGTGTCCCACGAGACCTTGACACTGGCATGCTCTTGCCACTCTCTCCCTCATCACCCAAATATAAATTACATGTTTATCAGTTGACCGAAACCAAAGGTGGTAGAAAACAGGAAAAGGGTTATGCAGAATTTCTATGACTGCACAGTGTTACCGATATATCACAAGCGATTAGGCGTTATATATTGCAATGTTTTTTACTTAATATGTAATTTCTGAACAGAATCGTGGCAGAAGCAGAAAAGAAGAAAGCTGAGGGAAATACCTTCTACAAACAACAGAAATATACAGAAGCGCTGTCCCACTACACAGAAGCAATCAGTGAGTATTGTCACCTCAGTATCACTAGCCACTGCAAACCACAACAGGGTACACAGTTGCTGTGTATGAAGGGTTGGTAGTGCTAACGTAGGGTACACACTACAAAGTTGCTGTGTGTGAAGGTTGGTGGTACCACCACAGGGTACACAGTTGCTGTATCTGAAGGTTGGTGGTACCACCACAGGGTACACAGTTGCTGTGTGTGAAGGGTTGGTAGTACCACCACAGGGTACACAGTTGCTGTATCTGAAGGTTGGTGGTACCACCACAGGGTACACAGTTGCTGTGTGTGAAGGGTTGGTAGTACCACCACAGGGTACACAGTTGCTGTGTGTGAAGGGTTGGTAGTACCACCACAGGGTACACAGTTGCTGTGTGTGAAGGGTTGGTAGTACCACCATAGGGTACACAGTACCACCACACAGTTGCTGTGTGTGAAGGGTTGGTAGTACCACCACAGGGTACACAGTTGCTGTATTTGAAGGTTGGTGGTACCACCACAGGGTACACAGTTGCTGTGTGTGAAGGGTTGGTAGTACCACCATAGGGTACACAGTTGCTGTGTGTGAAGGGTCAGTAGTACCACCACAGGGTACGCAGTTGCTGTGTGTGAAGGGTTGGTAGTACCACCATAGGATACGCAGTTGCTGTGTGTGAAGGGTTTGTAGTACCGCCACAGGGTACACAGTTGCTGTGTGTGAAGGGTCGGTAGTACCACCACAGGGTACACAGTTGCTGTGTGTGAAGGGTTGGTAGTACCACCACAGGGTACACAGTTGCTGTGTGTGAAGGGTCGGGCGTACCACCACAGGGTACACAGTTGCTTTGTGTGAAGGGTTGGTAGTACCACCATAGGGTACACAGTTGCTGTATTTGAAGGTTGGTGGTACCACCACAGGGTACACAGTTGCTGTGTGTGAAGGGTCGGTAGTACCACCACAGGGTACACAGTTGCTGTGTGTGAAGGGTTGGTAGTACCACCATAGGGTACACAGTTGCTGTGTGTGAAGGGTTGGTAGTACCACCATAGGGTACACAGTTGCTATGTATGAAGGGTTGGTAGTACCACCACAGGGTACACAGTTGTTGTGTGTGAAGGGTTGGTAGTACCACCACAGGGTACACAGTTGCTTTGTGTGAAGGGTTGGTAGTACCACCATAGGGTACACAGTTGCTGTGTGTGAAGGGTTGGTAGTACCACCATAGGGTACACAGTTGCTATGTATGAAGGGTTGGTAGTACCACCACAGGGTACACAGTTGTTGTGTGTGAAGGGTTGGTAGTACCACCACAGGGTACACAGTTGCTGTGTGTGAAGGGTCAGTAGTACCACCACAGGGTACGCAGTTGCTGTGTGTGAAGGGTTGGTAGTACCACCATAGGGTACACAGTTGTTGTGTGTGAAGGGTTGGTAGTACCACCACAGGGTACACAGTTGCTGTGTGTGAAGGGTCGGTAGTACCACCACAGGGTACACAGTTGCTGTGTGTGAAGGGTTGGTAGTACCACCACAGGGTACACAGTTGCTGTGTGTGAAGGGTTGGTAGTACCACCACAGGGTACACAGTTGTTGTGTGTGAAGGGTTGGTAGTACCACCATAGGGTACACAGTTGCTGTGTGTGAAGGGTTGGTAGTACCACCATAGGGTACGCAGTTGCTGTGTGTGAAGGGTTTGTAGTACCACCATAGGGTACGCAGTTGCTGTGTGTGAAGGGTTGGTAGTACCACCATAGGGTACACAGTTGCTGTATCTGAAGGTTGGTGGTACCACCACAGGGTACACAGTTGCTGTGTGTGAAGGGTTGGTAGTACCACCACAGGGTACACAGTTGCTGTGTGTGAAGGTTGGTAGTACCACCACACCACAGGGTACACAGTTGCTGTGTGTGAAGGGTTGGTAGTACCACCACAGGGTAGTTACACAGTTGCTGTGTGTGAAGGGTTGGTAGTACCACCATAGGGTACACAGTTGCTGTGTGTGAAGGGTTGGTAGTACCACCATAGGGTACGCAGTTGCTGTGTGTGAAGGGTTGGTAGTACCACCATAGGGTACACAGTTGCTGTGTGTGAAGGGTTGGTAGTACCACCATAGGGTACACAGTTGCTATTTATGAAGGGTTGGTAGTACCACCACAGGGTACACAGTTGCTGTATTTGAAGGTTGGTGGTACCACCACAGGGTACACAGTTGCTGTGTGTGAAGGGTCAGTAGTACCACCACAGGGTACGCAGTTGCTGTGTGTGAAGGGTTGGTAGTACCACCATAGGGTACGCAGTTGCTGTGTGTGAAGGGTTGGTAGTACCACCATAGGGTACGCAGTTGCTGTGTGTGAAGGGTTGGTAGTACCACCATAGGGTACGCAGTTGCTGTGTGTGAAGGGTTGGTAGTACCACCACAGGGTACGCAGTTGCTGTGTGTGAAGGGTTGGTAGTACCACCATAGGGTAAGCAGTTGCTGTGTGTGAAGGGTTGGTAGTACCACCACAGGGTACACAGTTGCTAGCACTAATTACGGTCAGACAGTTGTATGTTATCATTGTTAACAGTGAGTAGTCACTCAAGTCACCCAGTGTTCAGGTTTATTCAGAATGCTAAGTGAATCACTCTGATAGTTTTGTTGAGATTCCAGGTAAATCTCCTGTAGCCCATACTTGTTGTAAGTGGGGATCAGGTTGTTGGATCAGTTGGTTGGGAGAACGTTCAGCAGTTTGAAAAATCCAGGGGGAGATGACCCTAGTGTCTGCCGAGTGTAAAGTAGACTAGATGTTCATGTGTTTCACTATGTGTAGCCAACACATAAGTTTGAGTGGAAGTTTCTCAAGTGCATCCAGCATCATGGCATTTCCAATGCCAAATTTGCAACATTTGTGGTTCCTTGCCTTTCAGATTCATTTATCATTGTTTTAATCCATGACCAAGAGGAAACTGACATTACACAATAACTGGTGCACTTTTCCTGCCATTGTCAGAGGCCCAGATAAGCTGCGTATCCGGGTAAAATACGCATAGAAAATTTCCAATTACGCATTGAAAAATAATTGTTGCGTACCAATTACGCATTTAAAATGTTAGATACGCAAAGAGTTTAAAACAAATGCGTACGGAATATACTTATAAAAATCGCTTGCGTAATGAAAAAGACATCGATTGCTATCAAGTTGTACTGTTAGTATAGGACAAGTGTTGTACTGTCAGTATAGGACGACTGATTTTTTATGAAATCATTTCCCTTATATTTAAGTTGGTTTTGATTAGGTATGACATAAGGCAGAACATACCTGCTTAGTAAACTTACTCAATGACACAATACTTAGGTGTGTAAAATGACTGAAATACGCACATATCTGAAAGCAGTGGGTAATGGAAAATGAAATACCCACTCAACATTCATAATACCCACTCCAATAAAATACAGTGGGTACAGTACCCACATGAGCTAAATCTTATCTGGAGCTCTGATTGTCATGACGTATGAGAGAAGTATTTTCCCCAGTTGACATGAATTGTTTTCTCCCAGATCTGTGTCCTTCATGTTCTGCCTACTATGGGAACCGTGCTGCAACCTACATCATGCTGAACAAGTACAAGGAGGCGCTGGAAGACTCCAGGAAGGCTATACAAATTGAACCCAATTTTGTCAAGGTGAGAATCAATTTTGAGGAGTAATTCATGTGAATGTTTCATGTTTGCCGCAGTGTATTACTATTACTCACAATTTGTTTTACATATTATATGTAGATAGAGATCAAGTAAGTGCAAGAGTTATCATGTCAACCATACCTCATCACACATATCATGTTGCAATGAGGCTTTTTGATCTATTGCCATTAGACATACTGAAAGTTAAGGTCACATCGGATTCAAGGTTAATACATTATCAAAACCATTCAGACCAGTTGATATTAAGGTGTCAACATGGAACAATGAAGCTTGTTATAAAGGCCTTTTGTTGTTTTGTAATTTTTATGGGTGATGTTATGGTCAAGGTACAAGACCTTTACTATCAGAGAAGCACTTGATACTTTGGGTAATGTTCGTTATGTATTTTGTTGGTATATTTTTGGCAATGTTTTGAACCTGGCCTTTTTATCCCAAGCTCTTAAAATTTTGCCTGTGTAAACTTAGGTCTGCCCTGATATTGCCAGATTGAGCAAGGGACCTGAACTTTGACATGCGTGTTTCACTCTCTGATCATCTGTTCCATTTGTTAATGTTTGGTGTCTGTTCTTAGCATCTGTTCTGTGTCAGTATTTGTTTATTCAAACTGTTCACTGCATATGCAGGTGAGCAACAGTGCAGTAGTTTTACTGTCTCAGCCTTATGTATACAAGCATAGATAATACTTCAAAAGCAAAAAGATGACAAGATCTGTCTGCCATACAAGTGAAACTCTTCAAATATTATCTTTTTATTTATTGAGCCATTTGTCTAAACTGAGCTTTGAACTGCTTGTCTTTGGAGTTTGGTTGAGTTTATTGCCATGTTCTAACTAAGGGTTATTGGCTTGTGTGTGTTCATCAGGCACATCTGCGTGAGGCCAAGTGCCACCTGGCTATGGGTGAAGCTTCCGCCGCTGTACGCAGCTATCAAGAGGTGCTGCAGAGAGAGGAAGGAAACACAGTCGCTAAAAATGAGGTATGTACTTAATCAGCTGTCCCCAGTCCCATAGATCACACGTTATTTCTATCAACCAGTCAACCAGTAAACTAAAACTCAAAATTGGATTTGAACCAGGGCTCCAGATTACTTTTGGGGGTGCGAGTGTACTTACACATCATATTGCAAGTGAAGGTGTACTGAGAATTTTGAAGGAGTACTGACATGTTTTTGTGTGAGCGAGTTGGTGACGTGGTTTGTCTGGAAAATTCATTGATCACTATTTCCAACCATGTATTTGTATTTGAAGACGCGTGAGAAATAACTGAGCGACCGTGTGATGTGGGAAATGTCAGGTCCGACTGGATAAATAGGAACAGTGTAGTTTTTAGCCAATCGAAAAATAGTGACGCATATCGTTGCATGGCAACGCAAGTGTTTCCTACTGTCGGGGTTTCCTCATGTGTCAAATCGTGTTTCGCAAAAGAAACTTGACAAGTATTTATCCGAAACAGATTTCCATTTGCACGATACGCACGGAAATTAAATGTTAGACGTACAAAAGTAATTATGTGCGTACACGATACGCTTGAAATCTTATATTGTGCCGTACTTAATTGATTTTGAGGCGTACATTACGCCTCTACGCCCCTTATCTGTAGCCCTGTTGAACTATCTGTAGAATTGCTCAGTATGGTGCTGTTTACAGTGGAACCAGAAAATGTCAGATGTTTTGTATATGGGTAATGGAATACGTGAACCCAAATGTGTCAGGAGTGACCTCCCTTGACTTTGATCTACAGCAACAATGTGATACGGTTCATGATGTGTCAAAGGAGAGATTTTGTTGTTACAGTTGCAGTCAGCACAGGGAGTGCAGGAGTATGAGGACAGAGCAGACAAAAGCTTTGAGAAAGGAGATTTTAGAACGGTATGTGGTCATATTTTTGTTTCATTTTACATCTGATTTGAATTGTCTCCATCATAACACATGGAAACATTGAGATTTTCATGCACATTCTTTGCTGAAGGTAATTTTTTGAGGTAATTTAAATGAAACATTAATGAACATACTGTTTCAAACTGCCGTATGATTCTATGATTGCAGGCTGTCTTCTGTATGGACAGATGTATAGATACATGTCCTGCATGCTACAAGTTTAAGATCAGAAAGGCTGAAGCCCTGGCGTTGTTAGGTCGCTACCAGGAGTCACAAGAACTTGCCAAGTAAGTTGATTGTGTTGTATGAGACAGATTTGGTATTCCCAGATGGCAGAATTTGTTTGTATAACATCATCAACTTTTCCAAATTCTCATTGAAATTGGAGGAAAATCACACATCCACATAGTTTAGCTTGATAGTGAGATAGTGAGTGTGGTCTTTCATGTTTAGCTCATAGACAATTCACATACGGTCACAAGGTATGCTTGCAGGGTCGGTCAGTGGAAGGGAGGGAGGGATGTTGTGACCAGGTCTCTGTAGGCTGTATGTTTGAATGTTCCCTCAGTGACATCCTACAGCGAGAGGGTATGAACGCAGATGCCCTGTATGTGAGGGGGATGTGTCTCTACTACCAGGACAACATAGAGAAGGCCTTCCAGCACTTTCAACATGTACTTAGACTAGCACCCGATCACCAGAAGGCCAAAGATATTTATAAGGTGAGAAATAATGCTTTCTTTTGGGGAGGAGGTTCATAGTGCCACATGGCCATGATGGAACTTTACCTGGAGCTATGAAGCTAACTTTCAAATTAAAATGTCCATATCATATCAGTTATAATATTGCTGTCTTCTTTTTGATGGCAATGGATATGAAGAAATTTAATCACATTTATCTGTCTGAGGCTACATGGCATATACACCATCTACATGTTCTTCTCTGGAAGCCTAAAGGAGGCTTGTCCAGAATTTTGTAGAGGCAGAAACCTGTTTCACATCTTGGTTAAAATCAACATGCAGATACATACTTGAATGGCATCTTATATTTTAGTCATATGTAATTTTTCCTTATCCTGACTGATGCTATTTTGCTTGTACTCTTCTCCTTGCGAACATTAGTGGAACACTTGAATCCCGTTTTTGAAGCTCCCTTCAAAAAAGCAGACATAAAATCACTACTCACCAAAAGTTATGTCCCTTTTCAGTTTTGGGGGGTAACGACGCCACCCGTCTCCCAGCTCCTCACTCTCTCCTTCTTCGCCCTAGTGGACGGGAGGAAGGGAGAGCACCTGAGTCCCCTATACGGCACTATATCCTTTCTAACTTAGATATTACCCTCTAAATTAGCTGTATAAGGTTTCAGGAAGTATCCTTCTACAAAATGCTTTGAAATTTATTATCAAATTTGACTGTTTATTCACGTTTTTACGTGATTGTTCAGTTTTGTTTACATTTCATGAAAACCTGTTTTCGTTGCAGGTTTAGGTTCTCTGCTGCAGACCCGCATTTATTGTGCCCCAGTTGCACAACAACATGTACTTCCAGCTCTGGCTGTAATATTTGTCAGCATTTATCAGATTTTAATTTTAATAATTATCAATTTTCTCCGCTTAGACGTGCTAAGGATAGATCCAGACGCCTGTTGCAAGTCATGGCTAAACTGGCTGAGTCTATAAGGAACCGTTTGTTGCTGTCAGACGAGATGCTTCCTTCCAGTGATCTCCCGGAGACCTCCATTACATTGAGGAAGAGGTCGTCTACTTCGGACAACTCCTCAGCCCATACTAAGAAGAAGAGGCCATCATCATCTCAGAAGAAGCCCTCTGCACTTAAGCCTTCATTGAAGTCTTCCGGGGGTTCATCACAGAATACGAGGACCTTTTCTACTGCGATCGTCCCCGATTGATGAAATAGGCATATACGATGAACGTCCTATCCTAATCCCAGAAGTATTGCCTAAAAAGAAGACGAAAGCCTCAGCTACGGTAACGTCGGCAACCTTATCTACGCAGTCCGAGATACCCTTAACGCAGACATCACGGACCCATGAGGTACAGCGATCCTTGGACCATATCGCTACCCTCTCAGATGCGTCGTCACTACAACAGTCGTCGCAGACGTTCAACCCCGGGACCTTTATGCAGCAATTCTCCCAACAGATGATTGACCTGATGGAGAAACGGTTCACGCAGGAAAGGACCTTGCATGATGGACAGCCGGGTGGCTCTCATGCTCAAGTCAACGACCAGCACTCGGACCAAGGAAAGACCTGCACTGCACGACTCGAACGAACCTGCACAAAGGAGGAATGAACGTTCACCGGACCTAAATAGATCATCATCTGAGGAAGAGAATTATGAAGGACCTTCACGCAGGGAATCTACAACGCAGAGAAGGAAACATACACCTCCGAGAAGGTGCAGAGAGACGTCTCAGGACTCTGACCCTCATCAGAATCACTCACCTGCGCGCAGGTCTTCGGGAAGGTCGTCTAGAGCGTCAACATCTCCACGCAGGTCTCCACGAAGGTCACAACAGAGGACCATATTGACTTCAGGAAGGCAATCACGGAAACGAAGGTGCACACCTTCAGGCAGGTCTCCATGCAGCTCTCCTTATAGAACTTCTCATAGTTCTACATACACATCACCACGCAGGTCTCCACGCAGATCTCCATGCACGGAGGACACTCAGCGACGATATTCAACTGGACATGATACAGAGGACGATGGCGGAATCATATTTTCCGATTCAGAGATCAAGTATTGGATGGCTAACGGACTGGACCTGGCTTCACCCTCAAAGGAGGAGAATGAAGCACTCACGTACCTAATGACGGATGATGATGTGGACACCATCACCCTGCCTTCAGTTGACCCTGTCTCGGACATACCTGAGGACCTTGATGCAGCCTTCAGGAAGGCAACAAAATTCCAGGCTCCAAGTATTCCGCGGTTCAACGCAAAGAAGTTCTCACTACATCATATGGACCCCTTCATGAAGGCACCAGAGATAGATGAGAACTATAAAATCATCAACGACTCCCGGACCAAATCTTATAAGATTGATGACAAAAAGCTGGCACAGATAGACACTACGACCAGAAGGATGTTCTTCGGACTTACCAGATCAAGGGCAATTAATAAGACGCTCATCTCCAAGTTCAGGAACTCAACTTCGGAGGAGGACCGGATGATTTATTCTGCCTTACTAACGCAGAAAAAGGACCATCGGTTTATGTCGGAGCATTTGGCATCCATATCAGCAGCATTGACGCTTGCCAGAAGACAGGGACTTTTGTCTTCATGCAACTGGAGCGAGCACTTTACTAAGACTCTCTATAGAGCGCCGTGGTCTACAACATCGGTCTTCGCGGGAGAGATTGACGAGGTTGCCAAGGAAGTCACGAAGGAATCCAGGGAGGTGATGATGATAAAGTCTATTGATACACTAGCCAGTGTCATCAGGCAGACGTCCCAACACTACTCCGGCAAATCTAAATTTGCAGGCAACCAAAGAGCAAGAGAAAAGAAATATGGGACCTCCAGAGGAGGAAAGGACTCTTTTTGTCGCTCATCCGGGACCTATAGAGGACGATCCGGACGAGGCAGGGCACCCAGAAGTTGCCAGAGGCTCTAGACGATGAAGGACGGGTTCGGAACGACTGGAGTCTTCCACCCCCAGCCGTTCCTGTACAACCTTCTGATGTGGGTGGACGTCTACAACGCTACTGGGAGAATTGGGAATTCTTCAGGACCAATTTGTATCCAACATCCTGTGCTCAGGATATCAAATCCAACTACAAGCAGCCCCTCCATTGACAGACAGACCTCAGGGCTTCAAGATCGCGGCCCATCGGATAGAGAGGCTGCGCGAAGCTGTCACATCTCTACTAGAGAAGGACGCTATAGAAGTGATAGATCAGGACCAGATCTCACCAGGGTTCTACTCCCCAGTTTTCCTTGTACCAAAGAAAAACTCCAAAAGAAAAGTTCCGACTTATATACAACATGAGGAAATTCAACAGAGATTATCTACGCAGACCGGCAAAATTCAGGATGATTCATCTGCCTCAACTACTACATCTCGTTCGTCCGTCGGACCATCTGGCCAGCATAGATCTACAGGACGCATACCTGCACATCCCTATACATCCGGAATCAAGGAAGTACCTAAGATTCCTCCTAGACGGACGACACTACCAATGGAAAGTCCTTCCATTTGGAATATCATCGGCCCCCCTGGTTGTTTACACGAGTGACAAAGCCCATCATCACATATCTACATCATCGAGGTCTACGCAGTGCGTTCTACCTGGACGATGGGATTCAAGCTCATCAAGATCCCAGTCATCTCAGACTGCAACTAGACTTCACCATCAGGCTTCTCACTCAACTAGGATGGCTAGTGAATCTCCTCAAGTCGGAACTAGAGCCTACACAGGACCTGCAGTTCCTAGGAATTTGGCTCATCACAACAGAAAACCGCATAGCGGTTCCAGAGGACCGTTGGCTGAAGATACAACACATGGTATCTCAAGCTCTACTCTCTCCGTGGCCACTACGAGATTGGCAAAGCCTTTTGGGTCTCCTCACGTCAGCGCAGGACATGACCTGCAGAGGGAAACTACACCTACGCCCACTCCAGGTCTTCGTGAATGCCCATCTGACGATCCGGACCCCTTCGGACTTCCGGACAGACTAAAACCATATCTACTATGGTGGACTCAGAGATCGAATGTTTGCGGAGGGACCTACTTAGCAGAGCTGGAGTGCAATACTCATCTCTACGTGGATGCATCTCTTCAGGGATGGGGAGCGCACCTCGACAACGAAGTGTCAGCTGGGAAATGGATGTACAGGAGAAAAATCTGCATATCAACATGCTAGAAATGAAAGCAGTCAGAAACGCCATACTCCACTGGACCAGCATTCTAAAAAATGCTCATCTGATGATACATACGGACAACTCCACAGTGGCGTTCTACATAAACAAACAAGGATCGACAAGGTCGGCGAACCTTCTGGACCTTTTCTTTCATCTGTTCAGCATAACGGACGATCTGAACATCCACATAAAAGCATGCCACATTCCAGGAGCCAAGAATGTGATAGCAGACGCACTATCTCGTCCAACACAACCATCCCCAACAGAATGGATGCTACATCCAGAGATCTTCAAACAGATCATACAAGAGATAGGAGCTCCGCTCATAGACTTGTTCGCCACAAGATTCAACAATCAACTGGCAACATTCGTCTCTCCAATACCAGATCCACGAGCATGGGCAACAGATGCTCTAAGCATCTCTTGGGAAGGACTAAACGCTTACACGTTCCCGCCTCCAGCTCTAATACCGCAAGTGTTGCAGAAAATCAAGCAGACGAGGAACCTGCAAATGATTTTGGTCGTGCCTTATTGGCCAGCGAGAATGTGGTTTCCCATTCTCATACAAGAACTAGGACCTCCTAAACTGCAACTACCAGAGTGGACGAACTTGCTAGTACATCCACACACCAAGCAAGCACACGGGAACCCCACAGTGTTCACCTACACGCATGGACCGTATCAAGGCTTGCTTGAATAAGAGAGGATACTCCGCCAGGGCAGCGAAAGCGGTCACGCTAGCTCTACGCAAATCAACCCGCAACTTGTATGACGACAAGTGGCAAAGCTTTGAGACCTATGCCTTGAGGAAAGGCTTCACAGCCATGAAAGCGACACACCCTCAAGTGGCAGACTACCTTTGTCATCTAAGACAAACAAAGCGGTTAAAAGGTTCAACGCTCTCAACATACCTAGCGGCATTGAGCTAAGTTATCACCATGAGGACGAGTGTAAAACTGACTAAGGTACCAGAGATACTGGCCTTATTACGGTCCTTCAAGTTGGAAGACCAACAACAGAGATTTAAAGCTCCGGCTTGGGACCTCAATATAGTTCTAAAGCATCTCACCAGTGACGCTTATGAACCACTAGATAGGACATCTTATGAGTTCTTGACACAGAAAACTCTACTTCTGATTGCCTTGGCAACAGCAGCACGGATGTCGGAAATACATGCTCTGGACTTTGAACGGACACGATTTGATGCGCACCGCAACATCGTACATATGGGACTAAGATGGGACTTTATAGCAAAGAATCAACTGCCAGGTCAACCCGACAGACAGTTCCACATCCCAGCATTATCATCAGTCCTTGGGCCTCAGGATACACAGGACCTATCCTTGTGCCCAGTAAGAGCATTAAAAGTCTACCTACAAAGGTCTAGGACCAGGAGACGAAAATTCAAGCGCCTTTTCATCCCTATATCGGCAGAGACACCTACGGAGATCTCTCACACAACGATATCAAAATGGATGAGAGCTGTCATCCTAAGGGCCTATAAAGCAGCAGGACTTGATCCTCCACGAGCCTCCAATCCACATGAAGTTAGAGCTCTGGCATCAACACTCGCTCTACATGGAAACTGCTCCATCACCACGAAAATGGAAGGCTGCTTCTGGAAATCAGACATGGTGTTTGCCAACCACTACCTGAGAGACATCGCCACCGAGGACGTCTCCTGCATTCACCAGTTTGGGCCTCTTGTTGTAGCACAACAACTGACAGTTCCACAAAGGCGCTGAGACAGAGTCTCGCCCTTTTTTCACGTGACTTGCAAAAGCCAACACTCTGGGGAGTTAGAGCTTTAGAGTCCATGTGCACGTCTAAGACAGACCAACATGAGTGATAGACCCTGTACTTGTAAGGACGTACTCGTACATAAGAAGGGTCGCTTCTCCACTTGATGCAAGCATCAAGAGATGGAGTTGCACAAATCCACACATAATGTTAGCAGAAGAAAGGACCAAAAGCTGACAAGTTGTGGTCCCCCCATCAGAGAAAGCTGGAAGATAAGGTCAGCAGCAGCAGAACCTAGCAGTAAATTAACAGTGCTACCATGAAGTTCCCATAGGGGGGTATGCAGGACGTAAATCACCAAGCTTGGAATCCAGAAGCGGCATGACCCACCACCAAATCCGTCGGATTCTACAAGCAAAATAACATGAGTCAGGATAAGGAAAAATATGTAATTTTCTGAGTAAAATTGATATTTTATACTATTCCTGACTCATGAGGTCAGCCCTCCCAACCTCCCCTCAAGGCACTTTTGGATTTCCCAGCAAATCTAAGTGTCGGGCTTGATATACGGAGAGAGTGAGGAGCTGGGAGACGGGTGGCGCCGTTTCCCGCCAAAACTGACAAGGGACATAACTCTTGGTTAGTAGTGATTTTACGTCTGCTTTTTTGAAGGGAGCTTTAAAAAGGGGATTCAAGTGTTCCACTAATGTTCGCAAGGAGTAGAAGACAAGCAAAATAGCATGAGTCATGATAAGTATAAAATATCAATTTTACTCAGAAAATTACATTTTTGTTAAACTAAGAATGTCTGTATAACTTAAGTTTCTAAACTTGACAACAACAAAGTCCATAAGTCTGCCCTGTCACTACTGGCAAATGAGACCCGTTGACAACTATTTTCAGTCGATTAATGAGCTGTATTGCAGTTTGTGGTGTATGCCGACTGTGTGTGTTCCAGAAAGCCAAGTCCCTGATAGCCAAGAAGGAAGAGGGGAACACCGCGTTCCGATCTGGGAAGTATGATGAAGCATATAACCTGTACTCAGAGGCCCTAGCTATAGACAGCAATAACAAGTTCACCAACTCCAAGCTGTACTTCAACAGAGCTACTGTGTGCTCCAAGGTACCGTCCAGTGCTTATGTTGCTATACAGGTGAAAAGGAGGAAGAGAATCTGTCGTGTCCTCTGTGTATCATTATAGCTGCACACTCTCATCAAAAGTGGGTCATATTTTGTGTTCTCAACGCACAATTGTTTTTGAACACTACACTCAGCATTATTGCAGCAGTCTGTAAATAATTAAGTTTTAAATGGACACTCGCACAGACTTTAAATTGCTACTAGTTTCTTTTATGATGTTAATGCAGTATGCATTGGTGGTTTTGGAAGCAGTGGTTGTTATCTCTGAGAAGTCCAGACTCCACCTGAATCTGTCCCTGATGTACAAATCAGATAACCTTTCATGTAACAAGAAACTATGTATGGTTATTTTTTGTTTCAGCTGCATAAACTCGACCAGTCTATAGAAAACTGTTCCAAAGCAGTAGAGTTAGATGACTCATATTTAAAGGCTTACCTTCGCCGAGCCAAATGGTATGTGTGTCCATTGTTATCACACAATTATGACTGGATAATTATGGGTGAAAGCTGCATTTCATACCCTTATTGAATTAAATAATTTTGTGTTTGGACAGTAGTATCAACCACTGGTTTGTCCATTTCCAAGCCATCATTATACACATGGAAAAACAATCAACCACAATAAAATAAGTTGGCAGCCTGATCCTGTTTGTTCAATTATCCCTGTTGATGTCCATGTCTAATTTCTTTAATGACTAAGTGATGAAAATAATTCCATCATTTACGTATGTGTGTAGACTTAGGGAATGGCATTGTCCTGTCGGCCCAATTTTGTGGCTGTAGTGTGTTGTGTTGTTGCAGCTACATGGAGACAGAGCAGTACCAGGAAGCTGTGTGTGATTATGAGAAGATTTTCAAAATGGATAAGACAAAAGGTAGGGAACACATTTCAAGAACCATATTCTTTGTATACATGATTGTTTGCTTACCTAACTATGCTTCCACATGCCAACATGTATCCCATATTGTAACTTCAATGAATACCATGACGTACTGCAGCTCCCATGACACTTGGTACATGTAGCTTATTTAATAACTGTGACAAACACCCATGAATACCATGACTTACTGCAGCTCCCATGACACTTGGTACATGTAGCTTATTTAATAACTGTGACAAACACCCATGAATACCATGACGTACTGCAGCTCCCATGACATTTGGTACATGTAGCTTATTTAATAACTGTGACAAACACCAATAAATACCCTGACGTACTGCAGCTCCCATGACACTTGGTACATGTAGCTTATTTAATAACTGTGACAAACACCCATGAATACCATACTGCAGCTCCCATGACATTTTGGTACATGTAGCTTATTTAATAACTGTGACAAACACCAATAAATACCCTGACGTACTGCAGCCCATGACACTTGGTACATGTAGCTTTTTTAATAACTGTGACAAACACCCATGAATACCATGACGTACTGCAGCTCCCATGACATTTGGTACATGTAGCTTATTTAATAACTGTGACAAACATCCATGAATACCATGACGTACTGCAGCTCCCATGACACTTGGTACATGTAGCTTATTTAATAACTGTGACAAACACCCATGAATACCATGACGTACTGCAGCTCCCATGACACTTGGTACATGTAGCTTATTTAATAACTGTGACAAACATCCATGAATACCATGACGTACTGCAGCTCCCATGACACTTGGTACATGTAGCTTATTTAATAACTGTGACAAACATCCATGAATACCATGACGTACTGCAGCTCCCATGACACTTGGTACATGTAGCTTATTTAATAACTGTGACAAACACCCATGAATACCATGACATGCTGCAGCTCCCATGACATTTGGTACATGTAGCTTATTTAATAACTGTGACAAACACCCATGAATACCATGACGTACTGCAGCTCCCATGACACTTGGTACATGTAGCTTATTTAATAACTGTGACAAACACCCATGAATACCATGACGCACTGCAGCTCCCATGACATTTGGTACATGTAGCTTATTTAATAACTGTGACAAACACCAATAAATACCCTGGCATTACTGCAGCTCCCATGACACTTGGTACATGTAGCTTATTTAATAACTGTGACAAACACCCATGAATACCATGACGTGCACTGCAGCTCCCATGACATTTGGTACATGTAGCTTATTTAATAACTGTGACAAACACCAATAAATACCCTGGCGTACTGCAGCTCCCATGACACTTGGTACATGTAGCTTATTTAATAACTGTGACAAACATCCATGAATACCATGACGCATTACTGCAGCTCCCCATGACACTTGGTACATGTAGCTTATTTAATAACTGTGACAAACACCCATGAATACCATGACATGCTGCAGCTCCCATGACACTTGGTACATGTAGCTTATTTAATAACTGTGACAAACATCCATGAATACCATGACGTACTGCAGCTCCCATGACACTTGGTACATGTAGCTTATTTAATAACTGTGACAAACACCCATGAATACCATGACATGCTGCAGCTCCCATGACACTTGGTACATGTAGCTTATTTAATAACTGTGACAAACACCATGAATACCATGACGTGCTGCAGCTCCCATGACACTTGGTACATGTAGCTTATTTAATAACTGTGACAAACACCCATGAATACCATGACGTACTGCAGCTCCCATGACATTTGGTACATGTAGCTTATTTAATAACTGTGACAAACACCAATAAATACCCTGACGTACTGCAGCTCCCATGACACTTGGTACATGTAGCTTATTTAATAACTGTGACAAACACCCATGAATACCATGACGTACTGCAGCTCCCATGACATTTGGTACATGTAGCTTATTTAATAACTGTGACAAACATCCATGAATACCATGACGTACTGCAGCTCCCATGACACTTGGTACATGTAGCTTATTTAATAACTGTGACAAACACCCATGAATACCATGACATGCTGCAGCCCCATGACATTTGGTACATGTAGCTTATTTAATAACTGTGACAAACATCCATGAATACCATGACGTACTGCAGCTCCCATGACACTTGGTACATGAAGCTTATTTAATAACTGTGACAAACACCCATGAATACCATGAATGCTGCACTCCATGACACTTGGTACATGTAGCTTATTTAATAACTGTGACAAACACCCATGAATACCATGACATGCTGCAGCTCCCATGACATTTGGTACATGTAGCTTATTTAATAACTGTGACAAACACCCATGAATACCATGACGTACTGCAGCTCCCATGACACTTGGTACATGTAGCTTATTTAATAACTGTGACAAACACCCATGAATACCATGACGTACTGCAGCTCCCATGACATTTGGTACATGTAGCTTATTTAATAACTGTGACAAACACCAATAAATACCCTGACGTACTGCAGCTCCCATGACACTTGGTACATGTAGCTTATTTAATAACTGTGACAAACACCCATGAATACCATGACGTACTGCAGCTCCCATGACATTTGGTACATGTAGCTTATTTAATAACTGTGACAAACACCAATAAATACCCTGACGTACTGCAGCTCCCATGACACTTGGTACATGTAGCTTATTTAATAACTGTGACAAACATCCATGAGTACCATGACGTACTGCAGCTCCCATGACACTTGGTACATGTAGCTTATGTAATAACTGTGACAAACACCCATGAATACCATGACATGCTGCAGCTCCCATGACACTTGGTACATGTAGCTTATTTAATAACTGTGACAAACATCCATGAATACCATGACATGCTGCAGCTCCCATGACACTTGGTACATGTAGCTTATTTAATAACTGTGACAAACACCCATGAATACCATGACATGCTGCAGCTCCCATGACATTTGGTACATGTAGCTTATTTAATAACTGTGATGAATACCATGACTTACTGCAGCTCCCATGACACTTGGTACATGTAGCTTATTTAATAACTGTGACAAACATCCATGAATACCATGACATGCTGCAGCTCCCATGACACTTGGTACATGTAGCTTATTTAATAACTGTGACAAACATCCATGAATACCATGACGTACTGCAGCTCCCATGACATTTGGTACATGTAGCTTATTTAATAACTGTGACAAACATCCATGAATACCATGACATGCTGCAGCTCCCATGACATTTGGTACATGTAGCTTATTTAATAACTGTGACAAACATCCATGAATACCATGACGTACTGCAGCTCCCATGACATTTGGTACATGTAGCTTATTTAATAACTGTGACAAACATCCATGAATACCATGACGTACTGCAGCTCCCATGACTTTTGGTACATGAATGTGCATGGGTGGTCCAGTCGTCAAATGCACACAAAAATTGCCGTTCAATGTCACCTGGGCACACCAGAAAGATATGGTTTTGGGTTCAGTAATGTTTTCGTCAACACTATGGCAATGTTCATAGGTTTCCCCTGTGGTAAATGGCTGAAACCTGCATCACTTTGGACTTTCCTCCTACATGTAGCTGATACACGATAAAGCTGAAATACTGTTGAAAACAGTGTTAAGAACTACACATTTCATAAGTCTTATCACATGTAGCTCCCTTGACGTCTGTAAGATGTTAGTATTGTGACATGCTGCATGTGACTCTTGTTACAATGGCTGACTAGACCTTTGCCACTTGTAACTCATGTGACTCTCATAATATTGCAGAAAACAAACGACTTCTGCAGGAGGCCAAGCTTGAACTGAAGAAAAGCAAAAGAAAGGATTACTACAAGATCCTTGGTATCAACAAGAGTGCTACTGAGGATGAAATCAAAAAGGCCTATCGCAAGAGAGCACTTATACACCATCCAGGTATATGCATGTCTTGTTTCCACTGACTATGGATAGCGATTCATTTGCTGATGCTGCATTAAGCAACGTTGATTCTCACTAACTTATTCAGATAGTTATTTACCACTCAAATACCACCACAATCCAGTATGGCATTAGGATCAGCTGTGTTAAGAGTAATTCTGTACTGCAGAATCTGTTGTGTTGGGTATAATCCCTTGCTACAATATCAGTTGTGTTAAGCATAATCCTTTGCTGCATTATCAGTCATGTTAAGGGTAATCCCTTGCTACAAGAGTTAGTTAACTGTGATCCTAGCTGTAGGATCTGTGAAGTGTCATCCAAGGTACAGGATCAGTTCTGTTCAGTGTGATCCTGTTCTGCTTGGTTAACTGTGCGTAACATGGTTGTTTAATTGGTTGCTGCAGGATCAGTTGTATTAAGTATAATCAGTTGCTACACGATCAGTCATGTTATGTATAATCCCTTGCTACAGGATCAGTCATGTAAGTGTAATCCTTTGCTACAGGATCAGTCATGTTAAGTGTAATCCTTTGCTACAGGATCAGTCATGTTAAGTGTAATCCTTTGCTACAGGATCAGTCATGTTAAGTATATAGCCCGTGCTACAAGATGTCATGTTAAGGGCAGTTCCTTGCCACAGGATGAGTTCTGTTCCGTGTAATCCCTCGCTACAAGATAAGTCATGTTAAGTACAATCCCTTGCTACAGGATCAGTTCAGTGTGATCACTTGTTACAGGATCTGTTGAGTTAAGCCTGATCACTTACAGCAGTATCTGTTATTAATTATAACCCCTTGATGCACAAACTGTTGAAGTGTGACCTCTTCCTGTGATTGGAAGATACTGAATATTGTCTAATTGCACTTTAGCAACAAACTAGCACATGATCCTCACTATGACAAGTCTGAATATGCAAAGTGATTAAGAGACATATTTCAGTGACTGAATATGATAGAACTATGCTTAAATATGAATAGTTGCATCTAAGACAGCTGAATATCTTTCCGAAAAATGTCCCACCTTTGTCTGTCTTCAGACCGACACTCGCATGACACCACTGAGAAACAAAAGGAAGAGGAGAAGAAGTTTAAGGAGTTGGGTGAAGCGTACGGTGTCCTATCAGACGCCAAGAAGAAGATGCGCTATGACAGTGGACAGGACTTGGAGGAGATGGATGGCGGAGGGTTTGGTGGTGGGTAGATTACGGAGATGTCTATTTCTATCACCAACATGAAACAGTGTTGTGTCAAGAACTCTTAATCAAGCTATTCATATTAACGACTTTCAGTATATCTCACCAGGTAAAAGTGTTTTGAGTGGTGGGTCCTCCCACCTGTCAGGTGGGAAATCATATAAAATTTGTCCTTTGAAGCTATATTTATTAGGTTGTAAAAGGCTTCACTATTATGTTCAGTAACAGTAGAAGAGACATTACTCAGTACAACTGAAGTTCTAGAGACATTATAGCTTTGTGTATCAGTTTTTGTCAAAAGTATTGGTGTTTGTGTTTTTGGAAAAGAAACTTGGCAAATACTATATATACCTAGTTTGGAAGAATTAGGGAAAATATTACCAACAAAGAGCTCACCAATCAATGTTTTCCTGTTGATAATGTTACAATAAATCTCAGAGAAAGAAACATTCAATTTCTACCATTTGTCTTTCAGATATTGACCCCAATCAAATCTTCCAGACATTTTTTGGTGGAGGTGGTGGCGCTGGTTTCCAACAGTTCCACTTCGGCGGTGGAGGTCATCCTGGATACACCTTCCAGTTTGGTTGACCTTAACCTCATCATAGTCATCTTTTATTAACGAAGCTAAAATCAACAACACAGTGACATGAATGTTCTGCTGATAGCAACTTAAGCATAACAGACATTGCCATGTGTTGCTGCAGCCTGACGGAACCATGTCATCAGCATCTTTTTAATAATCCCACAAGTCCCTAATCTCTTCACCTCTCCAGGATCAGTGTCGGTGTGTGACTATTGAGTGTGTGGACGTTCAACAATACATTGTACAGATGAATGAAAGATTATCAAAGGAACATCTAATTCGAGGCTTAGAAAAGGAAATATCTGTACCCTGACTCTTGTTCCTTCAGTGTTCGCGACTTGTGTGTTTTAAGAGGACCTCATCTGGGTAGATATATAGTTATTTGTGCAGCAAATGTTGCTGTGGAAGATGTGTGTCAATTATAGAGGCCTCTATACCATCTGGGTGTGGACTATCTGCAGATGGACCTTCAACAGGCTAAAGATACACACGACAAGAAAGCAGGATATTTGCAGCTCCCAAGTTATGTACCAGACAGTTGAGATGTAGGAATCCAGTACTGTTCCCAGAGGTAGTTGTAACAGACAGAACTGCGACAGCTCAGGATTCAGCCCAGCCACGTATACAAGCATTCAATGTAGTTACTCATAGGTCACTTTAGTCACATTGATACATGTCTATTCACAATGTTAATGTTTGTTGCAAGTTGGACACAAGTGTGTATTGTAAATTAGATATTCAACAATTTGTTCTTACTTCAGCTGGGAAAACAAAGCAAGGTGCCATTGTTCTATCTATGCGAATTGACATTTGTCAAATATATTTTCATAAAGGTAGTAGGGTATCTGTTAATGTAAAAGACAAGACTATCATTGTTTTCCCTGTGGGTAGCTGAGAGAACATGATAGGCATGTGCCATGATTGCAAACTTTAGAAACTCGCTCATAAGTTTGATTTAGGAAACAAAACATAATATGGCAACATCATTTCAATGTTGAAGCATTTCTTGTATATCATTGGTGTTGTAGAGTTTTGTATATATCTGTAGAGGGAGACGACATCATGTGAATCATGCAAGAGCTTCAAACAGGATTGTACCTCCATCATATTGTATTCAGTACAAAACAGCTGTAATGTTAATGTAATGATTTTTACACATTTTCTGTAACGGCATGAAATAACACTTGCAGTCGCTGGAGGTTTAGTGCTGCCAATTTCACCTTTCGTTGCCGTGTTCTGGCGAGCTAAGAACTGGGGCTAACATGTTATAGTCACTGCATGTTCTGTGGTAAGCCCTGGTGAGCTTTCAGATAGCACAGGAACAAAACACAGTGGTCCAGAGCGTTCTCACAGAGTTAAACAAGGTGTACCATGTTGAGGTTTTAGTATATGGTAACACTAAGCTTGGGGTAGACATGAATTAGTTTGTCTTCACCAGTACACATGCATGTGAAGAACATGGATCATGGGTTATCTTTTCTTATTGTAGTGCCAAATGAAAGCAGTTATTTCATTCAGTTAGTGAGAGACTAATGATGTTGTTTCAAATTTATTTGGTCCAAACTTCACTCTTCTCGTGGTAGTTTGAGGTTTTGTTTTTATGTAAACACTTCTTTAAATGGCTAAACCAGTCTCCACTTAAAGGGGGCAGAAGATTTCTGTACCTGCCTATACCTGGCTCACACTGGTCACCACGAAACCAGAAATTTCATGAATTTTAATTCATTAAAGCTGTGTTGAACAAACGCATACCTAAAAACTGTACATTCTGAATATTTTTATAACGATTCTGCAACTGGTAGGACCAAATTGGTAAATATTAAGATGATGAAGGCTGCTTTATGAAGGAAAGCAGCTGATGTCAGGTTCTAATAGATTTTCTTGTTCTGTGTATCATGTCCAAACTAGAGGTTCAGACAATCATTGATAAAACAAAAACATTCATAGACTTTTATTTTAAAAGGTCTGGTTTAATGACATGGTGTTTTATGGTGAGTTCTGTCATGGTTATAATGTGTATGTTTTTTATGTGTTTATTTGACAAAGATATGTTGATACATTTCCCATCTCTTTTCAAGCATTTTTTGTTGATGGTTGTAAGCAAACTGGGAAAGCCATATCAAAGATGTTCAGTAATTTCTGCAGACAGATAGGAAGATAGGTTTTAAGCAGCTAAAAGAATAATTAGGGAGGGTGTATATTTTTAATATTTATTGAAATAAATAAAAGGTCATCTGTCACATGTATTTGTAATTGGTCACAAAGATCTTTCAATAGTCTCATGTTGAATTGTGATGAAGTAAGGATGTAATTTTATTAGAAGATGGGTGAATGTTGGTTTGGAGTTTCTATGTGTTATAAACTGTACTCGAGCGACACTATCACAAGCCTGGGACAGATCCAGATCCTGTAGATCCCTTGGGAGCACCACTGTCCAGGACCATTGCATACGGGTAAGCTGCCTACGTAAATGGGTGCCCAGAATATCAGACTTGAATTACCTACACAAGACAGGTATTCGTGCAAGACGACCTGTTCATTTTGGAATCTTTATGACACAATATGTTTATGTTGGATATTTCATCCATGACCGATATTAATAGATATTTAAATATCCCACTAACTCATAATGATCTTAAAGGAGCAATCTCTGAAGCTCACCTGGAGCAGATAAACTGTGTTAAGGTGTTTGAGAATATGCATGATACTGCTCTTAAAGTTATTCACGAGCCTAACATGTGCTGGCCTTCTGTAAAGGTTCCAAAACTTCGAGACGTCTTAAAGGTATTCATGGATGACAATACTAGACACCTTCGTTCTTGCCCATTTGCAGAACAAAGAAATCGAAAAAATTACTATGGCCCACAAGAACACCAATATGATATGAAATAAATGCCATCATACATGTGTGGGACTATCCTGGTTCTTGCTAGAGGTCTTCCTGTTCTGCAGGCACATCATGAGGATTGGCAGAAGATTATGATACTGAGAATCTGATGCTTTATTGCCAGTATGAGAGCTGGCTATACTAGATTGTGTGAACCACTACCTGTGACCACACAATCATTATTTGAGGTCAGATTGGTGGTGTAGTCACAGTGACCTTACTTTTCACCATTGTTGATATTCACGTTACCTATTACTGAGTAAGACATCTGCAAAAATGTTTCCAGTACACCATCCAGCAAGCACCTCTCTACAACAGATCAATATATACTGAGAGAAACAAATAAAAGATCACAGGAAAATTAAAGCGTTCCTTTAATATTTTCCAGTTTTCATCACCAGCTTTGTATAACGCTGCGGTGATATAAACTGGAAAATATAAAGAAACTCTTGAATTTTCCTGTGATCCTGTATTTGTTTCTCTCCGTATATTTAATGACTTCACCACTAAACACAGATTCGAACTACAGGAATGCTTCTCATACAACTGTTTCCACAAGGGATTCCTCAATGCAGTAAGAACATATCATACACTGCGGTAGAGACAAAGAACAGACAGGTGCCGATATGATTCATCATTTATTACATACGAAATGATTCAGATGCTGAAATGTGTAGCACACAGGGCTGACCGGTCCACCAAAGAAATAGACATGTGACCATTATGTTAGCAATACTGTCACAGTGTGAGAAGAATATTTACACTTGAGTCTACTGCTACAGGCTAGTGAGGGAAGGGCAAGCATATGGTCAGGATACGACACATCAGTCACTGGGACAATGGGGATCGGTACATGATATGTGGCTGGGAGGAGTCATGGTAATCTTACATTGGGGAACTGCACTTTTGATATGTGATGTAACTAATATGAAATGCTGATTGGGTAACTGGGAAGGGGGACACAGTTGTTGATATGTGAGGAGGGAGGGACACTTCGGTGATTCAGGTGGTAATGAAATGGTAAAACAACTTCCTTGTAATCTTCTGGAACAATTGGTGTAGTGCCAGTGGGCTGGAGTCCTCACAGATGGTATATCGTTAGTGCTGTGATAGATGTATGCAGACAGTAGTGTCAAGAAATTGCTGGAATAATTTTGGCCTGTATGCAGTGTGCTGGGAACATGAGGTAGGCGTACAAAGATTCATGCATCCATGCCATAGCATGGCAGCACTTATATAAACCTTCACATCCTGACAAGAGCAGGCTAAGTGTGACCTGTATAGTCTAACACATATTTTGACATAACATAATTTATATATATCTATAATTTCTATCCAAAAAACATGTTTGGCACATATAAAATGTGTAGTATATTAAAAGTTAAAACATGTGTTTGGCATTCAACCTCAATACTGTTGAGTCAGCACTTGTACAAACTTTGTCATCCTGACCATAGCAGAATAAATTATACTTAAATAGTATAACACAATTTTGACAAATTAAAAGACCTTAAAATATGAAAAACGTGAACCCCTTACACAATATCACATGCTACTCAAGCCATGGATGCTCTGTAGCACATTTGAGATAAAACGCTGGGCTATTCCATATCAACAACCAAGGCCACACGTTTCTCATTCCCTGGTTTACAGACTTTCTGCTGTTACATTAGCTGGAGAAATTCTTTCATTGTACAAGAAAAGTTGTATATTGCTGACTCAGCAGTCAGAGCTCAGATGTTACCTCTGTTTTTATAGTAGGGTGTTAAAAGTCCACACAATAAAATGTCCACTTCTAACTTTCCTTATGTCTTGAATCTTTATACATCTGTAATATACAGCAGGTTTTAATGACATTGTGGAGTTACTATTATCCTTGTGTGCACATAAGGCAACATAATCCATGCTTTATATTTCCATAAACCAAAAAATGAAAAAAAGTGTAGCCTTTCCATGACAGAAGTGAAAAACATCAACTAGACTCTGAATACAAACAGCCTCTATAACTCTTTCAACAATAACAATACCATTAAGACATTTGATATGTGTACATAGGAAAAGCTGCTCTATCACCTTCCCACTGCCACCATGGTGGGCCTGTTCTACAAGAGCAAGTAACAACATATGGGACATAAATTTACAATAGTAAACATATAAACAAGACATTTTCATTTGAGGATAAACTGTTACTTTGAAATATATTTGATTCAATTTGGTACAAAAAATGACCTTTTGATATGACATGAATGACTATTGAACAGTGTTTCTTAATGGGTTGAGTTTAACGCATCCTCGGTAATCTCCAGGGTATACTTTCCACTAGTATCCTGGATGCATCTACGGCTAATTGTATTTCCTCCCTTTGCTGGATTTTCATCCAATAATGTGTCTAAGCTGGGATGTTTGAGTGGACCAATCACAAGACTTCTATCATAACTCACTTCCGCTTCTTTTATCTAACCGATTAAACACAATTGTTGCAGAGGCACCCTGAAAGAGGTAGAATTATTTCTTGCATATATGTTTTGAAGGTTTCAGACCTGTCAATTTGTCTGTATGATTTTTTTCCCCTAAATCTGAGTCACACAGCAAACCTTCATGGCTTCAGCTGCCATCTTTGTTCACACTGGCAAGCTCGGTTGTGACGGCGCATCTGATTGACTACTGTGAGAAGGCGGAGGCAATCCAATTATTGGGCCGTATATGCATACTACTAGTGGAGATTTATCGGAGCGTATATCTTGGAGATTATCAAGGATGAGGTTAACAAGAACAGTACGTGAGTTGTATCATGTCACGTCAGCTTGAGGTGGGAGGCAAGTGCTGTAGTTCCCACAGCTCCACACTGTTGTCAAGCCACTGGCTGTCCTTGACATGTAGTGACCTAGCCTTGTGTGGGGACTTAGAGTAAATCACATGTCAACAGCAGTGTTCCAGCACCACTTACATGGCAAGGCCTTACCCAAGTGGCATGACGACATTGACAAGACAGTTGGCACGGCAACAGTGACATGTCAACATCAGTGGGATGACAACAGTACATCACAGGTGGGAAAATATCAGTGGTTGATCAGGTTTGGTTGCTTGTGATCCTTGAGCATCACATACATGGGTCAGTGAGAGTTAGCTCTACAGTTCATAACAACACTGACATGACAGTGATAAGACATGACATGACAGTGATAAGACATGATTAGAGGGACATCATTTCTAGCTAGCAGACTCACCAACATGCCAAAGTATTTCCTAGACTATAAAGGTTATGTCTGAGAAAGAGATTTCCAGGAGGGTGACCACTGACAAGTTGCTGGAAGTAACTCCCCTCAGTAAGCACCAGTACAAAAATTGATAAAAGACAGGGACAAGAAAGCAAAGCTCATAACAAAGCGAAAATAGATACCACTGCATCATGAGCTGTCAGATTGCTGACTGACCAGGACAATCAATAATCTTGGTCATTGTCAAACATATGGCCCCTGAAAGTGTAGTGTTTGTCTATTCAGACATCCTACCTCAGCATTGTTTATCAAAACAAAAACATTACCATCTGTACATTAAGACTGTCCTGCATGCATGTTCTGACTGGAGAGGCCAGTATTTCTCCTGCCATGGCACCCAAGGCTACAAACAATGACAGTCACAAAGTAGCTTTGGCTATGGTTTGGCATGTATTTCAAGAAATAATGGAAGATCATAGTGGGTTCCCCTAGTACCAGTTATAAAATTCTATACTTTGGTGCAAATTCTGCTTTCTCATGTGCATTCTATGAACAATTCAAATCCTGTGCCACAGCTCTGTAGCTCACCTGTACATGTAGTCAACAGATAAACAGTTCATTGAAGACAGAAACTAAACCAATGCTGACATCTGCATTCACAGTGATACATAGAGAATACTACGTGAGGTCTGATAACATATGAATTATACGAAACGAGTGTCCTTCCTATGATATCTGACAGAACGAAAGTGAGGTCAGAAACCATAGGAAGGTCACGAGTTTCGTATAATTCATATGTTATGAGACCGAGTGTGGTATTTTATTTATTACCCACGTCGTACATGCTTTAAATTGACAATATAGCATATTTTTGTTATTTTTATGGTTTCAGACCGAAACCGGTTTCATAAAGAGGTTGCGGAAGAATGTTGTTCTGTAGTACACTTTTGCAGGACGTCACACTATAATGACGTCACTACGCCTTGGTAACCGATGTCACGATTCATGTCAGTTGTCATTGCCTCGTACAGCCTCCTAGATCAAACTACTCCGTAGCACCCCTGTTTCTTAGTTTGCAGTTGCTTCACTTGGCTGACATCACTGGTGGAAACTTTGCGTTTATGTTTTTCGACGCACATAATGTCTCAGTTCGACTCACAATTAAACAGCGATACGGCAACGTTTGCAATGTTTGCATTCCCACAATGCATTGAAGTTGTAGAATGAATGAATTCACGTGTTTGTTATGAATGAAAAAGTAGTTCCGTGACAACGTGACGTACTTGAGAGGTCATCGGTTATCCAATCAAATCGTTAGAATCTCAGGTCAAGTCGTTACGACACACATCAACGCGATACGAAACTCGTGTGACGTACGAGATTAGTATGCAACTACCCATATGTTGACCACTTTGGTAATTATGATAAATACGGAAGATTGTATTGGCTATATTAAAAATCAGATTTCAGCCTGTGAAGTTTCTGCTTCACTATACTAGTATTATTGGAGGAGATGACATTTACACAGCCCAATATACATCTTTAGCCATGAAAGAGAATCCTCCAAATCAAAGTCACTAAATGCATACCAAGCATATGGGATGGGAACTGAGACCCTACAACACCTGTCAGCAGGGTCCTGGGTACACAGAAACAAGCTAGGGGATGGGAACTGAGACCCTACAACACCTGTCAGCAGGGTCCTGGGTACACAGAAACAAGCTAGGGGATGGGAACTGAGACCCTACAACACCTGTCAGCAGGGTCCTGGGTACACCACAGGGTCCTGGGAAACAACAAGCTAGGGGATGGGAACTGAGACCCTACAGCACACCTGTCAGCAGGGTCCTGGGTACACAGAAACAAGCTAGGGGATGGGAACTGAGACCCTACAACACCTGTCAGCAGGGTCCTGGGTACACAGAAACAAGCTAGAAACAAGCTAGGGGATGGGGAACTGAGGGATGGGAACTGAGACCCTACAACACCTGTCAGCAGGGTCCTGGGTACACAGAAACAAGCTAGGGGATGGGAACTGAGACCCTACAACACCTGTCAGCAGGGTCCTGGGTACACAGAAACAAGCTAGGGGATGGGAACTGAGACCCTACAACACCTGTCAGCAGGGTCCTGGGTACACAGAAACAAGCTAGGGGATGGGAACTGAGACCCTACAACACCTGTCAGCAGGGTCCTGGGTACACAGAAACAAGCTAGGGGATGGGAACTGAGACCCTACAACACCTGTCAGCAGGTGCTTGGAAACAGCCATTTGCCAATGTGATTTGCTAAACAAAATCTGATTAAAACTGTTTTATGTATAAAATCATCTAAACCTAAAATCAATACCATTATCAGGCAATACTGTTTATATTCTACCCAACTTTTGCCAGGAAAGTGAATGCTACAATGTGATACATCCACGCACAACATCCTCTAATTACAGGCATCTAAGTTCTGAATCAAATCATCATCATGTTTCTTGGACACACAAGTATCTCATTATGCAGAAAATATACTGGTGTTACTTGTGTAGATTAAAAGCAGTTGGACAGTCAAATGCATTGTATCACTTTCTAATTGTTCATAGTCTTATCTGTGTTTTCTGACCATGCATGGGGTGCTTTCTTATTTAGATCACATTACAATATTTACTCAACTTCAGACATGAAACCTACAGTAACCTAGGTGTTTACATGATTTCCTTAGCAAAAGTTGAGCAATATATAGATATATATATTTGTATACATATATATGCATATATACATTGGATTATACATTTAGCCCAAATTTACTCTCAAATCATAGAAAAGTTACTTTCAACAAATACAAACACATCAGTATGTTAAACATTTACAAGAATAATGGCAAAAGACCATCATCAACCATAGTGAGAGATATATTCTGTATCTTGTATATATAATAATACTTTAATATCAGACTTAAACAGGTGTCAGTGCAACAGGTATGGGACGACTAGATGCAAAGACAATGATATTCTGATAACATTATCTTTGATAACAGAATCCAACAACACAGAAATATTGTATAAATAGTACATAATAACAAGTTGCAATCCATTGCACGTATCCTGTGACACAAAACTCACTGCTGCACACCTGGCATTGAACTACATTCTTGCGATACCCCAACAGCTGGACACTGTCACTCAACATATTGCCTTGTTCTGCGATCAGCAGCATACCAAGCTGTCGGCACCAGAATCTAAATATTTGCCAAAATTGAAGTAGGAATTGAAATCCTTGAAATAATTTTTAAAAAAGACAAAGAAAAATAAGAGAAATGTTAAGAATATGCCTATTTTCACAAAAGGAGCCTTTACATATTTTTGAATTACTTTTATCAGCATCAAGAAGATTGACCTCTTCGCAAGGTCCCATACTCTGCTAAAGTGCCTGTATATATCCTATGTATTTGTGTAACATTGTAGACACTATTGTTAAAGACAGGTGGATATGCTGCTCACTAACTCCATCAATTCAACATGACATGAAAGATTGAAAAGGGAAATTGTTAAAAAATGATAATCACGTATTGTCCACAGTTCAATGATAGTAAAATAGCTCTTTACAAACAATTCCACCAATAAAATGGGCTGATGACTGATGTCCACACAAACATGGGTAGGAAGTGTGCTAGCTCATGGTGCTGTTTATTGCCATATTAACTTAGCTGAAGACAAGAACATATAATCAGGTAATGGGTTCACTTCAAGGACCATTCCCCTGCTGCAGGTATACAGCTCCGGAACACAGAATTTATATGTACAACTTTCAACATTTCTGTCTGTCTCTCTGAGTGTGTCTGTGTATTTGTGTCTCTCTCTGTCTCTCCGTGTGTGTCTGTCTGTGTGCATGTATGTATGTATGTATGTATGTATGTATGTATGTATGTATGTATGTATGTATGTATGTATGTATGTATGTATGTATGTATGTATGTATGTATGTATGTATGTATGTATGTATGTATGTATGTATGTATGTATGTATGTATGTATGTATCTATGCATGTGTGTGTGTGTTTTGGCAAGCTGAAACATTGTGACAAAAGGACACCTACAGGACAAACACATCCTGCCTCCTCAATCTGTCAATACAGCAGCACATGTACACTTCATGTTGAGCCACAGCAATCATCTTATCCTCCAGTCAGATCACAGATAAAACAAATTCAACCAATCACAGTTGACATGGCCAGGATCAACTCTGGCAACCAACACAAAGTGCAGTCTGACCTCGAATGTAATTCCGACATGGACACAGTCGCCTCAGATCATGACGTCCACCAACACAGCTGAACAAGAGTTCTTCCCCTTGAAGTGTGCACTCTTTAGTATTTACATTAAATGCAGGGTAGTAAATGTTTGCTGAACTGTGTTTGCTGGAACACTGCACATATAGTTTTTCTATTTCCTCTAATGAGTTTAACTCCATGAAGTGGCTTGGTTCACATATTAGATCTGAAACAGAGAAAATGTGGTTAATATTCACTCAAAATATCATAAAGTTTCTTGATCAGGTAGGTCTATGAAAGAAGCTCAATAGAAAAATACCACATAATGGTGTGAAATCTACCTTCTGCTAACATGCCTTCTTCAAAGTTCTTCAATGTTCATTTGAGCTGTGTATAATTAAACCTGGGTTTATATTACTTATATAGTGACATTGGCAGACCAACAAAACGGATATCTCCACAAAGTTCTACTTCAAAGCATCTATAAGCCACATACTCTGTTCCCAGCAGGCATCTTTACAACTCTTCCCTGGGGAGCCCAGGAGCAGACGTACAGCATCTGAGGGCGGCCATTGTGCTATCTGTTTCTGGAACTTGCAGAAGTCCTGATGTTCAATGTATGCATTCATCCTCTGCAGCATCCCCTCCTCAGAGTACTCGTAGGGCAAATATGGCTCAAACTGGAAACATAAGGCTTATATCACCTGATGTGGAGTTCACGGCAGTGGGAGCAAAACAGGAGATCTGCCATATCACTTCATATGTTGAATAATGATTGGAGTCAATTAAAGACAACTCTATTTAACAAAATCCCAGCCCTGCAAAAGTGACCTTCCCTCAAAGTACTAGCAGTGACTAAAGCTATTTCATTACATTCATTAGACTTGTTCGAGTTCAGTTTCATCCAAACCCATAAAGTAACATCCACATTATTCAGCCTTGAAGTCATGTGTTCAAAGTTTTTATTAAAGCAGTAACTGCTGTATACAGGCTACACATGATATAGATATATGGAAAACTTACTGTATTATTGTGCAGGATTTCTTGCAAAGCTTTAGTGACCTCATTTGTATCTTTGATGTTTATGGTGTAAACATGAGGCTTTCCGATAAACATTTCTGCATATGGATGCTGACTAGTCAGCTGAAAAAGATTAAATTAAACATGTTTTATTTCTCATATATATGCATTAAATGCAAGGAGTTAGAAAGAGCAGCATTTCACACAATGGCATAATTTCAGTTATAGCATAACATTTCAGCAGGTGATGAAGCCTGAAGAGATGCAAACCATTAGAGAGTTTACCTGCTTGGTAGAACCCATGACAGTGAGGGTTGTGCCTACAAAATAATGAGTAGTATAATAAAACTATCACAGGATCTGGGTACATCAAGAGGGCACAATTCCAGGATTTGTAGTGCGTTATGAAAATGCCCCCACTACATGTGTTAAACAATGAGCTTTTGTGACAAACCATAGCCTTTCAGCTATATCCTTCTTATCGCTCCATTTCTGTCAAACTGTGCATGCTATCCTAGTACACACATTAAACCTGCAAGAGAGTTCACATGGAACTCACCTACACCATATCCAACTAATAGTACTGAAGAAATACAAATAGTACTACTTGTGTCCAACTGCACATACCTCTCGCTGGGTGGGCTTCCCCTTAAACACAGGGTCATTCTTGTTGCCGTGGGGTGGATCAAACCTGGCATTGAGGAACACTGCTCCATTTGCAATAGCTTCCAAGGGAGCAGGGCCCTCGTACGGGAAGCCCATCCCGATAAACACCTGCAGCAAACACACATGTAAACATAAACCTTTATATCATCATATGTAACAGACTGAAGCATAAAGGACTAGGTGAAGGAAAACCTTGGAGACTGAAGCATAAAGGACTAAGTGAAGGAAAACCTTGGAGACTGAAGCATAAAGGACTAAGTGAAGGAAAACCTTGGAGACTGAAGCATAAAGGACTAAGTGAAGGAAAACCTTGGAGATTGAAGCATAAAGGACTAAATGAAGGAAAACCTTGGAGACTGAAGCATAAAGGACTAAGTGAAGGAAAACCTTGGAGATTGAAGCATAAAGGACTAAGTGAAGGAAAACCTTGGTATGCCACTAACCATGCATATCATAACCAACCACATCACCACATTATTCATCAATAATGACATATCTCCAAATTATTCATCAATAATGACATATATTCACATTATTCATCAGTAATGCCATATCTCCACATTATTCATCAATAATGCCACTTCACATTATTCATCAATAAAGTCATATATCCACATTATTCATCAGTAATGCCATATCTCCACATTATTCATCAATGACATATCTCCACATTATTCATCAATAATGACATATCTCCAAATTATTCATCAATAATGACATATCTCCACATTATTCATAAATAATGCTACATCACAACATTATTCATCAATGACATATCTCCACATTATTCATCAGTAATGCCATATCTCCACATTATTCATCAATCATGACATATCTCCACATTATTCATCAATCATGACATATCTCCACATTATTCATCAATGACATATCTCCACATTATTCATCAATCATGACATATCTCCACATTATTCATCAATCATGACATATCTCCACATTATTCATCAATAGTGACATATCTCCACATTATTCACCAACACCTGCAGAAGGGCTGTGATGAACTGTGTGTCACAAATCAAATAAACATTCTCCATTATAACCAGGTTCAGAATGAATGAAGAAAGGTCATGAGTGACAAGGTGACCCTAACACTGATATCATATCCTTTCCTTGTCTGTGGGGTCATAAACACAGATGTCATACTTATCTTGTCAGTGAAACTGTCAGTTCAGTCATAACAGATAACATCCTTACCTGGCAAGTGAAGCAGTATATGGGGTCATAACACAGATGTCATCCTTCCCTGGTAAGTGAAACAGTGTGTGGGGAGTAGTATACACAATAGGGGTTCTGTGACATGTCCTTCCCAAGGCCTTAATTTGGAAATTAAGGCCTTGGTAAGTCTCTAATGCACTTCCACCATTGTGTATACTACTACTGAGGTGCATGCAAAATTTGATGAAAATCAGTTGAATAGTTTCTGAAATATTGACTTTTAAGTGAGCATGGGGTCAGTCAGGAAAAGGCAAAATGTCCAACTTTTTTTCGTAATTAAGTCTTAATTAATCTAATGAAGTCATCGAGAGTGTTCCCAATGAAAATCGGTCAAATAGTTTAGGAAATAATCACTTTTTAGTGAGCATGGGGTCGGTCTGGCGAAAGGCTAACAATCCAACGTATTGTTGTACTTGTTATATATTATTGAGGCGAGAGGTGTTTTCAGCCGAATGAAACGCAGCTCTTGGCAGTTCCCCTGAGCTGCCTTGCTACCATCTCGTTAGGACGTACTTGTAGCGATGTGTGAGCTGTCTGAAGGTGAATGAAACACAGGTCTCGACAGTCATCACCTCACTACAGATTCGGGGGTTGCTTTGAGCGAGCGCCGTGGATGAGTATAAGTGTGTGTGCGTGTGTGTCTCAGCTCGGCTATGATGATGCACGTCCGGCTAACAAGCGAGGCTACAGATGTCTGAAGGTGAATGAAACGCATCTCTTGGCAGTTCCTCCCAGGGAGTCGCCTCGCTGCCGTCTCGGTATCACCGAGCGAGAGCTGTGAGCCAGTCGCAGTGTGTGTGTGCGTGCGTGCGCGCGTGCGCGCGTGCGCGCGTGTCTCGGCTCGGCTATTATTCACCATGTGCAGCTCGCTGTAGAGCTGGCTGGCTGTTGGCTACATTATGTAATGATAGTTTTGGACCAGATTTCTCAATTTTTTTACGATCCATTGCTCCTGCAGGAGTAAAAATATGGTTAAAATGATGGTGGGTCGTCTCTCTCTATCGACAGTGGTACAGCTTAGATCGATAAGTAATTTCATTTGCAAGTGCTATCAGCGTCCTCAGGGTTTAATGGTTACAGAGCTGGGCTCACTATTCTGAGGTCCAGCGTTCGAATCACACTTTGAAATTGATGGCTGATAACATGAGAAAATACAACTCTGACATATTGTTGTGTTAACTTACCACGACCTAATAGCACACACAAATAATCATGAGAATTATCATACAGTGGGTGATCTAAAAGGGACTGTGTCGTGAGGTACGATCATCAACTCCTCTCTGACGAATGCTCTCGGCAGTCCCTCTTTCAAGTAGTACAAGTTCGGTTCGCCGTGTTTGATGTCGATGTACGTTTTCATGGACCATATTGGATCGGTGGCGCATTTTCTGCTGTCTCCCTCGTATTCTCCCAGCTGCTACAAGTACCTAACGCTGACCCGGTCCAGTAATGTTTTCTCTGTTTTATCGCGACGTGCTGCTGCCGACGACGATTCGACAGATTTCATTTTGATGGCTTCAACGGGTCTCTTGACCAAGAATCTGGTGACTTCGTTGTTGATGGCATCCAACACTCGCGGTAAGCGTACGACCCATTCTGTGTTTCTGTTTTTGGGTTTCATTAAATCCTGCGAGTACTGATGTGAGAACAGACGTTCGGCTAAGGTGCGATTGAATCTCTCGACTATGGTTTGGCTTCGGTGAGCTGCCACACCTCGTCTCACCTGAACTTTGTTCTTGGCCAGTAGTTTTGGCACGGCTCCCATGAACTCGCGTCCGGGATCGATTTGCAATACGGCAGGCCAGGTCAAGCGACTGCGTTTGTATATGCGTTCTAAGGCTTTGGAGACTTCGTTCAAATCTTTGGTCATCAACGGTTCGGCTTCCTTGTAGTGACTGGCGACGTCAATGACTGTCAGGGCGTACTTGTAGGTTTTACGCCTGACCCTGTCGTGAGGTAGAAACAGGAGGTCGGCTTGGTGAACGCGATTTGGCGTTGAAATGTCGAATTTTCTTCTCGGATGTACCGAGGCGCCGGCAGGTAAACTTGCCAGATGGCTTGTTTTTTAAGGCCAAGCTTTGGCGACGTCTTCCGTTGACAAATTTTAAGACTTTGTCGTTTTCGGTTGGCATGTTGATTCGGACCACCATCTGTCCCACACCTCGGCAATCCTCCCGGTGCGATTCCAGCAGGTCGGCTCGCGTGAAGCCGTGCAGGCACCGTTCGCAAAAGTGTTTTTTGTCCGTCGTATTTCGATTGGTCATGCAACAGTCGGCTCAGACTTTTAATCGCCGTGCAGTGATGCTCACCCTCTTTTCCGGTCAGAAATAAATCAAATCTGCGCACATTGTTGGACATGGAGCTGATTCGATGGTTTTATTGTCTTCGTGTCCAAAGACTTTGAGGGCAAAATTGTTTACTTTTTTTAATCGCGTCCAGTAGGAGATGGGAGTTAAGCGTTCTACGCCCGTGAAGTCGAACACGGATTCCTCGATCGATGGATAGCTGGAACGCCTGCACGGATTGCCTGTCGGTTCGTACCTGGCGGCTATCATAGCCACCACCGCGCAGTAATTATTAATATCATCGTCGTCTTTAGTTTTAGGGTTAACGATGGCCTTTTTATTTTTGAGGTACGGTGGCAGGTCCATGTACGTTCCGGCTTTGAACGGCACATAGTTCGCCACGTCCAGGTAGACCGTGTCGATAGTGTCCACGACCAAGCCCGACCCATGTGGGTGTAGCTCTCCAGGGATTCTCGTATTTTTGCAAACGAGGTGTTCATGGACATGTCAACGGACTTGGGCCGAGTTGCGACTTCTTGCTTGCCTCTGAAGTAAGGCTGGATGTGCTCACTGGTGCCGTCCATCTGCTGTTTTTCCAGAGACATTTTCACCGTGAGTTGAAATTTGAGGCTTCCCAGATCATTCAGTTCCTCGTCGACTTTGTCGGCGAGCAGCGGTTTTTATGTCATTGACGTCCATGTTTTTGCCCGCACGAACCGTAGTTCGACGGGTTTGTGTTCCTCCAGCAGTTCGAGGAGCTTGGCTTTCCTCGTCCGCGAATAACCTCTGAGCCCACATTCCTTCGCTTGGAGTTTGAGCTGTTTCACCGTGGGTTGTAGTTGTTCGTCGACGATGCCGAGCAATCATAACAGCAGAGGTCTCCTCAAACGGGAGTAACCGATCACTCCGCGTTTTTTGGCAATCCTTTTCAGTTCTGGAACGTTATCATTGTTGCTATATCAATGTGTGAAAACTTTTTTCTAAATGAAAAATAATTATATTCAGATGGGAAATCAAATCTCTAATAGGTTGTTCGCTATAGTCAGGTGCGAATTCAAATCTCTAATAGGTTGTTCGTTTTGGGTATTTTTTTAAATTTTATTCTGAGCAGTCGGTTTTGTTCGTTCTCTTTTCGTCAAGTAGATGAGATGGCCTCGTACCACATCCGCTCAGTGGGCTTTGCAACGATGATAAAGGCATTTCACACCCACGCCACCCTTTCGTATGGACATCATGTGTATGCCGCAATATTCGGTGGTGCATTTCCAGCTGCAGGTTTTGGTTTTTCCTAGCAGCACGTACTTGCAGTTATACGGTGCACGTCTTCCCATCTTTATGTATATACACGTAAATATATTTTAGTCTAATTGTTTGGCGATGAACACAGTTGCCGCTAGACCCAGTGCCAAGATAATCAGTTCTGCGAGAAGGTGGGTTCGTTGCCGAGAGGTTCGAGTCGTTTGCCAGTGAGCAGGTAGTATTCTCGCATGGCATTGTCGATGTTTGAACGGCGTGGTTTTCTCGCGAGAGTTGGTCGTTGATGAACTGTATTCTCTGCACACGTTTTTAGGAAGACGGCTACTACAGCGTGCGCTCGCTCAACAAAGAAATCTTTAAACCTGTGGGAGCTGAACTCAAAATGAACGACTCCAACGGCACGGTCATGTTAGCCAACAACAACAAAAACGACTTGAGACTCAGTGAGCTGTTGGCTAAAACGAAATTACCCGATCTCGTTCCATATCGTGAACTGTCCATTCATCTCGATCAGCTGAGCACGGCCGACAACGTCCAAGGCGAACGACCTTCCACACTGCTGAGAGCCGTGCCGGTGAAAACGGAAAAGTACAACGACGGCAGAACCGAATCGTTTTCGCCGCGGCAGCACAAGAAATTAATCCGAGGCAACATCACGGAATTGAAAATATCGGTTTTAGACATTAAACATTATCCCGTATGGATATCTCAGCGCGACGCTGCACATACGACAATGACGGAGTCTCAAGGTCCAGGAACAGGCGTTAAAAAATGCGCCAACATAGCGATCTCGGGGACACGCGCGGATTCGATGAACCCGGAGTCGACGGCAAACTGTGCGCCTGGCAACTGAAAAACAACATTTACAAACGCGTTGAACTGCCGACCTCTACTGCTGCTGGTGGTGGCAAGAACAACGACCTAGGTGATTTCGTCGATACCGAAGGAGCGGTCAACAACACGCTATACGACCTGATCCGCAACGACGAGGACGAATGGACGATAACCCTAACGTTCCGCGGCAGGCTGTTCCACCTGGACGACGTCGAGACCACAGCTGTCTCCAGAAACACTTAGTATACTTCAATGACGATAACAAATGGGTATTAGTGCCATCCCAATTTGAATGGAATCTCAACATCACGCTCGACTCTCTCCACGTTTTCACGGACAACAAAGATCACTACCCGGCGTAAGTCATGAACAATGGAATGCTTCTCGTGGCTTACATCCCTACGCAAAAACGCCAGCGTGATCGTCAGCACGTTGAGGCAAAGAGTAGCCCACATGCTGTCGCGCAAACCCGGGACTCAAAACGTGGGATTGCAGATGGTGTCGGAATTCGACAGCGTGGTAGACGTCCTGGAAAATCTGCTGGCGAAATCCAGGCTGTACATCCAAGTATACCTCGGCGAACCGCCATCGGCACGTGACGTCGAAATCGTGAAAGGGATCAAACTCCGCTGGGCCAAACAACAACAATACCAAGTTTGATCCGTTTACGTGCGGGTGCACGTTAACGCCTACACCAGTCTGCAGGTAGTCACGTGGAAGACACGATATCGCTCACCAAAATTTTCCTACTCAGCAACATACATCTCATGGGTTTAAAGTGCACGTCCGAGGATTATCCGATAACCAATTGAAAACCATTTCGTAATTTTGTATAAAACAACCGATGAACAACCATCATCCCAACGTAACGCTAGCATCGGGGACACGCAGGGATTCGATCTGCCCGGCAAGGAAAACACCTTGTACGTCCTGCACTTAAAAGACAACGTATACGAGCGGGTGTCACTAGCAGACTTCAAACAGCCCGACTGGTTGATCGACATGACCCTCACCTCACCCCACATATCTTTAAATAACAATGGTTACGTCTCCAAAATTACGAACAACGGGTTCCTTCTCACGTCTTTCACTCCAGAGTTTGATGTACAAGTTTTACGAATACCAGGTCACACGGTCACATGTTAGCTTCAAACAACGTGGCTTCATATTTACGGTTTGACGTACCAGATTACCAACGGGATTTTTTCGATTTCAAATTTGACTATCAAATCACACACCACGCTCGTAGTAGATATCTATCTCGCTGACGCTCGTGGGTCAGAACGAACACTTTTGACTGGGTTGACAATACGCTGGTTCACCAGACACAATCACCAACGGTGTCGTATCGTCATAAGACCTGGATCGACACCCTTAATAAGCCTCGACGGAGTGCGTGTTATAGAAAAGAAATTGATTCATGTCTCAAATATTTACGTGTACGATAATCTAAACCTTATGAGCCTCAAATACATCGATCGGATATTAACTGAAAACCAATTAAATATTATTTTATAAAAAATATATATATACACACAGGATGGGACTGTACCCAGTCGTGGATGAAGTAGCAAAAACACTGGAAACTGGACACACACACACACACACACACACACTGCGACTAGCTCACAGCGCACGCTCAATGCTAACGAGATGGCTGCGAGGCGACCGGGGGAACTGCTGAGAGCTGCGGTATAATTTAGTGGAAATCAACATAACGTAGCCATGCCAGCCAGCCAGCCAGCCGATCGGCTGTACATAAAGCCGCCAAGCCAGCCGATCGGCTGTACCGAGTCGACACACACACACACACACACACTGCGACTAGCTCACAGCGCTCGCTCAATGCTAACGAGATGGCAGCGAGGCGACCCGGGGGAACTGCCGAGAGATGCGGTATAATTTAGTGGAAATCAACATAATGTTGCCAGCCAGCCAGCCAGCCAGCCAGGTCGGCTGTACAAGCCGAGCCGAGACACACACACACACACTGCGACTGGCTCACAGAGCTCGCTCGGTGATACCGAGACGGCAGCGAGGCGACCCCTCGGGAGGAACTGCCAAGAGATGCGTTTTAATTCACCTTCAGACATCTGAAGCCTCGCTAGTCAGCCGGCAGTGCATCATCATAGCCGAGTCGAGACACACACGCACACACACACTTATACTCATCCACGGCGCTCGCTCAAAGCAACCCCCGAGACAGTAGTGAGGTAATGACTGTCGAGACCGGCGTTTCATTCACCTTCAGACAGCTCACACATCGCTACAAGTACGTCCTAATGAGATGGTAGCAAGGCAGCTCAGGGGAACTGCCGAGAGCTGCGTTTCATTCGGCTGAAAAGACCTCTCGCCTCGATAATATATAACAAGTACGACAATACGTTGGATTGTTAGCCTTTCGCCAGACCGACCCCATGCTCACTAAAAAGTGATTATTTCCTAAACTATTTGACCGATTTTCATGAACATTTGCATGCATCTCGGCAGATGGTTACGCTATAGCAAAACAGCATTGGGAACACTCTCGGTGACTTCATTAGATTAATTAAGACTTAATTACGAAAAAAAGTTGGACATTTTGCCTTTTCCCGACCGACCCCATGCTCACTTAAAAGTCAATATTTCAGAAACTATTCAACTGATATTCAACGGTGGAACTGCATTAAGGCCTTGGGAAGGACATGTCACAGAACCGCTATTGTGTATACTACTGTGGGGTCATAACACAGATGTCCCGCTGCCAGTGTTTTCCAAGCACAGGTCCACTACAAATACCCACCAGTATAGGCTATCTTCCAAACAAGCGAATCTTCCCTTGTCAAACACTTGTTGTAATTCTGTCAATACACTTATGAATCTAAATCATGGAATCTAACCTTTGACTCTCTCAACAGTTTGTGGAGGTCCGCTCCATTGAGTAGACCATGGTTCACCACATAGTCCGGGAGCTTGGCCTGCTTCTCATCATAATAGACTGTACCATGTATCTCAAGAAAGTCCTTTATTACATTGAGGTAGCTGTCTTTTTTCTGAAAATGGTAAATAGAAACATAAAGACACAGTCTTACAATGTTTAAAAATTCTTTAAAATAACTTCACCAAAGTGACAAAGTCATTGCTATCCCTGCAGTGGATAATACTTGTCTAAACTTTAACTTGTTATTGCCTTTCAAATGTAATGGTAGTTGTGGAGTAATATTCTTCCACAATGAAAATATTAGAAAACATTATCAGTTACAAAACTAATTATTATTTAATCATATTTTCAATATTCATCCCCAATTTAGCAAAACATCTTTAGCTTTTCCCAATATAAACTCAAGAGGAACAAAAATCTCTCATTACAGAAAAGCTTAATAACTGTTGGCAAATCCATAAAGCAAATCATAAAGCCAATGTAGTGCCTTGCACAGAAGTAAATGACTGACATACCTCCCACATGTACTCCTTCTTGCCGTACACAACAGCCTTGTTCTGCCTCTCCAGATGCTGCACATGGGAGTCGTTGAGGTGCTGCTCAACCACAAACCCCATGAAGGAGTTGTCGGGGCTGTGAGCTGCGGAACAACACAACTCTTGTAAACAGTGAGTGAGTGAGTATGGTTGTGACTGTTATCAGCAATATTCCAACAATAACACGGCGAGGGACACCAGAAGTTGGCTTCACACATAGTAACCATGTGGGGACTCGAACCCGAGTCTTCGGCGTGACGAGCGAATGCTTTAACCACTAGGCTACGCCACCACCCCGAGTGAGTGAGTGAGTGAGTGAGTGAGTGAGTGAGTGAAATCTGTGGTGAATGCATACTACTGCAACATAGAAGACTGTAAAATGCAATCAGTTCTGAAGCAGGTACAGAGGCAGCAAACTGATCCACAAGTGGATTGCACACTGCAATATATATGTGGAGCAACGAACTTGATTTTAAGCTGGCCACTGTCACCGTATGTGATGTTCATGCTGGTGGAACATGGTGACCTTGAGTGAAGCTCATGAAAGTGACTTTCATGAATCAGGAAAGCTGTCATGAAGACCATTCAACATGGATGATGACCTAGTGATGATTCAGGTACCCCATGTGAAAACTCCCCCACATGTGACAACATGTACCTGCTCTGACTAAACCCTACCACCCAGGTGGAGCTTCAACATAGTGACCACTGGAGCAGTCACTGATACTTACGGAACATGGTGAAGAACTGGCGAGGCTGCAAGTCTTGGCCTCCCCATGATGTGAGGATCTTGTTCTGTTTGGCAAAGCTACGATGGTTGTAGGCAGGTTCAGTGCCAAACGAATCAACAATCCGGAATAGACAACTGAAACAGTAGGTATCTAGTCAGTAACACGGAGGTATCAGGTCAGTCACCAGGCTGTATTTGATCAGTAAAGTGTGTGTGTCAGTAGTCCCAGTACAATGGGATACAACTGTACAGACCCGAGAACAAGTTAGCACACTTCCCTACCTGAACTTGCCATAGCCACCCTTGACCCGCTTCTTAAACTGGATGAGGCCCATGATGTCTGTGTAGATGATGTTGACTGGTAGCTCCTTCCGACTCTGACACGGAGACTTGGCTGCTGGGAGTCGAGACAGGATCCTGCCGACAGAAATGTCGTGTGAGCAACAGCAGCAAGCACGTTACCAACACAGCTTGTCAGGGTGACCATAATCTGATACAACTTGTGCTGGCAATGTATTGGCTTACCGAATACCAGCCAGTATACACTCTGTCAACATACGTGATGTCAGCCAGGTATTACTCTACAAAGTATCCTCAGTGACACAATCTTGAGGAGTTATTATCATGATTTGGACTTGAAAAATGGAATATGAACTCTTGGTATCATTCAACTGTACAGTACTGTAGTCTGTTTGGGTCAAAATGATACCAATGAATCACAATCTAACTCCAAATTGGTTCATGATCAAACATTCATTTCAATGCAGAATGTAATGAAAACATTAGACCAACTCTGGAAAAAGTTTCATAATGTTTGTCTCCAAAATAAAAAAGTTACTTTACAAACTATCATCATTTTGTTTTGATTTTCCATGTGGGGTTTTACGAGGGTAAAGTAGCAGTAGTACTGTTGTTGGAACAGCCTCAAGGGCGGGACGCATGTGCAATTGTGATTCATCGATATCATTTTGACCCAAACAAACTGTACATACAGCCAAAGGGTGCCTCAAGAAAACATTGTGATGTCTTGCTTCTTAAGGACTGAAAGTCTACTGAAAATGAAGCCTTAAACAATTTTGGCTAGACTCATTATGAAGACTTGTCCATTCATATTTAAACAAGAAAAACCAAACTTCATAAATTCATGTGATACTAAAGGCTGAATCTCCTATCACACAATTGTGTATTACTATAACAACAACAGTTCTGCTGAAACTGTCATGGTGACACTTACCCCACCAGCTGCTCAACCTCACTAGTGATGGTGAGGTCATGGCCCAGGAGGAACAGGGTGGTGATGAGGTCACTCCATTGCACCAGTTCACCCAGGGGGCCACCTGTAACATAGAGACAGTTAACACTTATGTGCTGACAAGTACCTGTAACACAGAGATAGTTAACACTTATGTGCTGACAAGTCCCTGTAACACAGAGACAGTTAACACTTATGTGCTGACAAGTACCTGTAACACAGAGATAGTTAAAGGTCACATGCAACCAAAAAATCAAACATAATTAAAACACAATTATCACTTATTCATGACATATAATATACATTGCTGGTTACGACAAAATATATAAACAAAATTATAAGCGTACAATCGCAAATCGAAAGTGCAAAATTGTGTACTTCGGTTTACTTCCCAAGAAACGAAGCAGCCGGGATACCGAACCCAGTCAGAACGGGTGGGTGTGCACTCAAGTGTAACGGCTGGTTCATTTGCAGATGCCTTCACGGCTAATTGTGTGTGTATATATATATATAGAGATGTTGGGTTTTGTAAATACAGGCTCATTTTTTGTGTATAACATTTTGCAATCAACAGACATCATAACATGTCATGTGTTCAAGTATCACACCTGCCTGTCTGTGCCATTACATAATGTGACAGAGACCGAACTCGGGCCATAAATCAATGCATTTTGTTTATGGTGTATAGCCTGATTGGTGTTAAGTTCAAATTGCATGTGGTCAGTGATAGCAGCTGTGTATTGAATAGTCATTAGCAGACAGGCAGGCAGACACACAGGTGTCAATAAAACAAGACATTGAGTTTAGTCTGTGACAACGACATATCTAATACTTGATGTGCTGACAAGTCCCTGTAACACAGAGATAGTTAACACTTATGTGCTAACAAGTCCCTGTAACACAGAGATAGTTAACACTTGATGTGCTGACAAGTACCTGTAACACAGAGATAGTTAACACTTGATGTGCTGACAAGTACCTGTAACACAGAGATAGTTAACACTTATGTGCTGACAAGTACCTGTAACACAGAGATAGTTAACACTTGATGTGCTGACAAGTACCTGTAACACAGAGATAGTTAACACTTGATGTGCTGACAAGTACCTGTAACACAGAGATAGTTAACACTTGATGTGCTGACAAGTACCTGTAACACAGAGATAGTTAACACTTGATGTGCTGACAAGTCCCTGTAACACAGAGGCAGTTAATACTTGATGTGCTGACAAGTCCCTGTAACACAGAGGCAGTTAATACTAGTTCTGTTCATTTTCTTTTTACTGTAGTCTACTGAAACAGATTTCTATAAAGTATGAATTTGGAACAGTAGTTGATGACAGCACCATGTTCAGATTTCAGACAAATCCGTCTCAGAAATAGTCAAATACAGTAATCTATGGTTATAACAAACTCAAATGGACCACTAATTTCAGTTCATTCTAATCATAATTTGAAATATGCGGTTTCATGAAAATATACTGGAAGTGGCAAGGAAAACAAAAATTCCCCCAGTACATTATACGTGTGTTCATTGTAGATTTAATGACATTTAGCATTAGTTGCTAAATGGGTTTATAGGCAGCATTTACATTCGCACAGCTCTAACACTTCTCTGGCAAGTGAAATACACTCGGATATGTAACGTTTAACTTCACCTTGAATTATGTCATTTCTAATCATCTTCGTTTCGGCATGCAGCTAACACACAGTCGGCAGTGTAGTTCGAGAAATATCTGTCTTAACCTTTAGGTACTAAGGCGGCATATTTTGATAAAATGGGGGATGGGTAGAATATACAATTCTTTGCATAGTATTCATACACTTAGCTTATGATAAGTATCCAGTGTTGCAACGCACGTGGCAGTGTATTATTTCCGCATTCCATAATAGCAGCTACGTCACTTCGGAGTGATGTCACATCCGCAGGCATACACGTCACGTCCGTTTCCTTTCTATTCTGCATGCTGTCCTGACAGGTTCACCATCTTGCTTCATCACTAATAATTTTTCGATTCTGGCTCAAATTTCGATTATCTCGTCAAAATTCTGTATTAACTTAATACTTAATTCGCATCCGCTATCGCTTTCCGTCCTTTTCATCTGCATTCTTGATTGTTTTAATAATTGTACAACTTTCTTTCCGAGTTCATCATGCCACCAAAGCGTAAGGCAGCCATCAACCACGCTGTGGTCAGGGGACGCCCTAAGGTTGCCGAAGCCAGGCAAAGGGGCACGCGCTTCTGGTGTTGTCCCTGGGCGCTGCCCCTCAGGCCAACCAACCCGCACCACCCTCTGTGTCCACACCACATGAGGTTCCCCCGACAACCATCTATGTGACACCCCCGCTGGAGCCAAGCTTCATCACCCCGATGGCTCCGTCATCCACCAATCAAGGTAGGTCTCACTTTGGGCATATTAATATTTCGCCGGAGTTGTTGATTCCAAGCTGTGATAGGCCTGATATAGAGTTACAGCCACCGCAGGTCCCCACCGCTATGCCAAACTTCTGTATACAGGGGCAACCCTTCTCTAATCCGGAGTCACTGATTAATGCAGAGACACTGTCAAATCAACAGCTGAACTTCAGGGCGGAGACTATAAGTTTCCATGTAAAGCAAGCAGTGAGGGAAAAGATCCATCGTGGGGAATTTGTAGACATGAGGTCCCTCTTGCCACCTGAGAACCAGGCAGCACAGGAGAGTTCCAACTTCACAATGGAGCTTGACATTTCAGGACAGGTAGTTTTTAAACCCAAGCAGCAGTCTGTCCGTCAGTTAAACATTGGGGCTTGGACATCTGCTTTCTTGACCTTTATCAGTGTGGTAATAGAGCGTCAGGCGGATGTAAACAAGATACAACAATTGCTCATTACATGGAGGCGATCAGCGGTGCGCCTCACGATTTGGCGGTGACTGCTGGTCTCAATCACGATGTCCAGTTTAGGCAAAAATGGAGAGGGACCCATCTCGGTCATGGGGTGCCATCGACGGACAGCTGTGGCTGCAGTTAATGCTCCCCAGCCACAAGCAGCAGGCATTTGCCTACCCAGCCAGATCCTCCACCTACACTCAGCAGCGCACAGAGGTATGTAGAAACTTCAATCGTGGCACTTGCGAGAGGGGTCAGATGTGCCGTTATGCACACAGGTGCTCGGCATGTAACATAGGTGGGCATGGCGCCATGTCTTGTTTTCGCGGCAAAAGAACACAGTTACCACCGGCGCAATCTCTTAAGCGTCAACCTACCCTGCCAGGCAGAGCTATTTCACACGGCCCCAACTCCAATTAACATCGCTTGCTTGGAACAATGGTTGCGGCAATATAAATTGAGCAATCCAGCAGCAGCTCAGTTACTACAGGAGGGTTTCAGTAAGGGTTTCAGCTTAAACTATGAAGGGCCACGGGTCATTCGGGACGCTGTCAACCTTAAATCTGCCAGGGAACAGCCACTAATAGTGGAACAAAAGCTGCAAAAAGAAATTCTGTTGGGTCGCATGGCAGGCCCATTTTCGTACAGACCAGTGCACTCTCTTATAGTTTCCCCGATCGGCTTGGTGCCTAAGAAAGTTGATTCATCAGTTCATGGTGAGGCTGCCTTCCGCCTCATCCATCATTTATCGCATCCTCAAGGCTCATCAATCAATGATTTTATACCACAGGAAGCATGTACAGTGCAGTACACCAGTTTCGACCAGGCTGTAGCCATGATTCAAAGCTTGGGCAGGGGTGCGTACATGTCCAAATTTGACGTCAAATCAGCCTTTAAGCCTCCTGCCCGTGGTACCATCTGATTTTCAGCTACTTTCGGCATTAAGTTTCAGGAACAATTTTACATTGATAAATGTCTTCCCTTTGGCTGTTCCATTTCTTGTGCCCTATTTGAGTCATTCAGCACTTTCATTGAATGGGCTATTAAGGCCACTACACGCAGCCAGGACATCGCTCATTACCTTGATGATTTTATCCTGGCGGCAGTGGACCTAAGCAAATGCTCCAACATGCTTAACACCTCTTTGCAACTGGCTGATAATCTGGGCGTGCCTATCGCTCACCAGAAGACCGTACAACCTACAACTTGTCTTACATTTCTGGGCCTCACCATAGAACGGCTCGGGGCGAAATCAGGATACCGGAGGACAAGATAGCACACCTGGTCCATCAGCTGTCGCAGCTGGTAGAGTCATCATCCAAGAAAGTTACACTGCATACGCTGCAGTCAATAGTGGGAAAGCTAAACTTTGTATGCAAGGCAATTCCCATGGGTCGTCCATTCTTGCGGCGTCTCATTGACGCACAAAAAGGGGCACGCAAGCCACACCACAGGATACGGGTATCAGCGGGTATGCGTGAAGACCTAAACCTGTGGCTTCAGTTTCTTGCCAGGCACAATGGCACAACCTTATTCTTGGAACAGGGTTGGGTTACAACCCCAATACTCCAACTTTATACAGATGCAGCTGGCGCGCTCAGGGTTGGGGTGCATATTTCCAAGGTCATTGGGCCAATGCCAGGTGGCCAGATCTATGGATACAACAAGGATGGGTGAAAGACATTACATGCTTAGAGCTCTTTCCTATAGTCGTGGCATTGCGCATATGGGGCAGCAGTCTGGCCAACAAAAGGGTACTAATGTTCTGTGACAACCAGGCCGTGGTGAGTATTATCAACAGGCACACTGCCAAAGGGCAAAGGGTAATGAAACTGCTCAGACGAATGGTCCTCATATGCTTGCAAAACAACATACACTTCAAAGCACAGTATATACCAACTCAGGCCAACATAATAGCAGGCGGCTCTTCGAGATTTCAGTGGTCACGGTTTCGAGCAGCAGCCCCACAGGCGGATCATCAGGCCTCAGGAATCCCAGCGGACATCTGGCTCATCTAACAGCGGAAGCAAACAGTCTAGTAGCAAACTCGATGGCAGCAAACACTTGGAGGACTTATGAGTCGGCGGTACAGTCACTACGGCTATTTCGGGTGGTGTACTCCCTGCCTGACATATGGCCTGTACCTTTAGATCATATGCTTCATTTTATAGCTTATCTCTCATTATCAGGTAGGTCTCCCAGCACGGCCCGTTCTTACATTTCAGCATTATCCTCCATACACAAGCTCAATTCCTTGCAGTGCATGTCTAACCACTTCCTAGTGCAGAAAGCCATTGCAGGGATGGCCAGGAGATCGAGGCAGCCAGATACCGTCCAGCCGATTACACTCGATCTGCTAACTTGCATTGTGCAACTCCTCCCCACTGTATGTAGGTCTTCATATGAAGCTTCTATGTTTTCAGCGGCATACCTGCTAACATTTTTGGGTTTTCAGGGTAAGTGAGGTAGTTGCCGGTTCAATCAGCGACTCATCACAGCGGCGTTGTTGCTGAATGACCTATCTTTCGCTAGCAACCAATCCTACGTTGAGGTGGTCCTCACGGGCCTCCAAAACAGATCAACAAGGCAGCGGCACGCGACGCCATTCAAGCAGTCCCTCGGTCCATACTGTGCCCGTCAAAGCTTTGACACGATTTTTGGCAGTCGCGACCGCGTACAGACGGATATTTCTTTATTCACACTAATTCTGCTCCTTTAACAAGATTTCAGTTTCAGGCAGTGCTCAGGAAGACGCTAGCGGCAGCAAAACAACCCATCAATATTAATCTTTACTCTTCTCATTCATTTCGGATAGGGGCAGCAACCACAGCAGCGTTGCAAGGAGTTCCGGCAGTTCAGATTCAGGAATTTGGCCGCTGGAGATCGAATGCCTACCAGGCGTATATCCGTATCCCCCGGCTAAGCACACAAATCTAATTTAAGAATTATGGGTTGCAGGACCATCGTGGCTGATTGGCTCAAGCTACATGGCGAGGCTGCAACAACACCTCGGGCGCGACCGAAGCAGCCTGGGCCTCGCCGGGGTCATCTGGTCGACCAGGGGGCCTCAGGTGGTCGGAACTACGCAGCAGGGTGGGCCGGGCTAATAAGGGCAAGGGGCCCATGCAGGTCGTTTATTGTGATCCACTTGGGTTCCAACGACCTGTGTGAGGTCCCTTCCAAAGTCCTTTACGATGACATGCTCCAAGAGTTGTTGTATATTCGCCTGCGCTGCCCAGCTGCCACCATCATCTGGTCGCAGATGCTGCCTCGGCTCGAGTGGCGTGGAGCTATTGATCTCCAGCCCTCGAGCTGAAGAGAAAGAAATTAAACCGGAGAATCAGCAACATCGTGAGGGGGCAGCTGGGGCGGGGGGGTTGTATCATTCAACCCTGACCCCGCCCATTATCTGGACGGGGTTCACCTAACCAAGCCAGGTATGGATGCCCAACATCAGGCCATCCTGGCAGCATTGAAACATTAAGACCTTTTCTGTGTCCTCTCCCCTACTCCCACCTTTAACTCTTTAACTCGTTGTGGATGGCAGCCCCGCTCGCTGTCCGGCAGTGGGCAGCGTGCGGGCCTGTTGGCATGGTGCCGATGGGACTAAACACTTAATCGGCTTAAAAAGGGGGATACTTGGCTTCTGCTTTCACAGTGGCAGCCCAAACCTTCCTGCCTGCTGTCTCCGCGGGAGGAAGTACAAAGTTTCCAATGCCTTATCAGCCTGCTTTTCCTGCCTGCTGTCTCAGCGGGAGGAGGATATGCTTTGCCTGTCTGCTTTTACAAGGTTTGCAATGCCTTATCAGCCTGCTTTTCCTGCCTGCTGTCTCCGCGGGAGGAAGTGCAAACTTGCCTATGCTTTGCCTGTCTGCTTTTACACAGCGGAGGGCCGCAAAAAGCTAAGCTATATATCCGGTCCCGTCGGCGCCATCCACACCGCGCTCATTGTCATCCACACTTCTGCGTTGTGTAGTCTTTCATTTGGTAGACATACCATCTTAATGTCATCCTCATCAGCCGCATCTGATCGTTATTACAGGCTAAAAGTCTGCATATAATGGACTGTACTCTGAGATCAGTGGACATCCTCAACCAGAACATTAGTGAACAAATACCTTTGAACTGCATTTCAGCAAACTTCCATCCTGACTGTTTGGACAACAACCCCAAATGAACTAGAATCTGAAACAGAACCAGGAAAACAGAATGAACTACAGGATAAGTTGTATGCGCGTGAGTGAGTGCCACAGTCTAAATATTCAATCTGTATATAAAAGTGGAAGTTAATACTGAAATCATGGGCAGATGACATGTTTGCATGCAGTCAAAGCACGATGATACAGTCAGCCATTGTATCCACCTGAACCTGAAGTATGCTCAAAACATACCTACAGGCTGCATTTCAAGTTTGAAAGGAATGTTATACCACTAAATTTGCCACAAGTCTACTGTGAGATGTACCTTTTTCTTCTTTCGGTGCACCAGATTCTGCTTGGCAGCGAGTCTGTGAATGGCAGATGACCATTTGTCCCACATGCGTGTGATGCGCATTCTGATCCATGCATAACCCTGCCTCTCATTGGGATCTCGCAGTAGCACCATCAGGTCCTCCAGGTTGCTGGTGATGTTAGCCTGGAAACACGTTGTAAAATAGGTGTTGAGATTCAGGTGACCAATGTTACAGATCTGTGCCTCCCTCATTACAAACAATGTATAACGTCCCTTGCATTCATAACGTCATAATCCAGGAACCACTGACCGACATTTAATAGTTTGCCACATTCACCCAATCACAGATCAGTTTTGACATTTGCCATGGGAATTGTCCACTGTGCAATAGGAGATACTGAAACAACTCACATAAAGAGGAGCTGCTTCCTTCAGCTTGAGTTTCATGGAGCCACCCCAGGCCTTCTTCGGACACCAGCCTTCAACCTGTAAACACAGTTGCCTCCCTTACACCATAAACACTCCATAAACATGGTACATTGATGCTGGGCACTAACCTTTTAAGATGGACAAAGAGGTGCTCTGCAAATATCTAATTTTATTCACCACGATCATCATCATCATCATCATTATCATTGTCTATCTTGTCCTCATGAAAACACCATCTTTCTTCACCATAGAATGCTCTCACTTTACGTTTTCTGCCCTATGCTAGTTTGTTTCTGTAACATTTCTTAGCAACATACATCGTTACACAACTGTCCTTTTCATTGTTATGTTGGACACTCAGCCAACATGTAAAGTGACAAAAACAAACAATTCACTAATGAGAATGATTCCTAACATCAGGGGACTGGTACTGGGCTAAACTCTTGAATAATGAACTTAGCAGTGAAACATCAGTTACATGTGTGTATGCTCACCTCGCTGAGGTACATAACGTAGGAGCAGTCGGAGCCATCAACACCGTATGTTGCATAGCACGGGTCAGACTTCCACATCTTGCTCATCCACTGAAACATAACAACATACAGAAGGATGTAAACATTGACAGCTGTCAAACAACATACTGACCGATGTTAACATTGACAGCTCTCAACCTACAGACCCACGTTAACACCGACAGCTGTCAAACAACCTACAGACCCATGTTAACACCGACAGCTATCAAACAACCTACAGACCCATGTTAACACTGACAGCTGTCAAACAACCTACAGACCCATGTTAACACTGACAGCTGTCAAACAACCTACAGACCCATGTTAACACCGACAGCTGTCAAACAACCTACAGACCCATGTTAACACTGACAGCTGTCAAACAACCTACAGACCCATGTTAACACTGACAGCTGTCAAACAACATACAGGTGAGGTGAGGTGAAATTGGGTTTTACGTCGTGCTTGAGAATATTTCGCTCATATGACGACGTGCATGCATGTGTATGTGTATGTGCGGCTGCTTGTACTAGCCCAGACTTAAGCTGGTTTTATAATGCGAGCCCACTGAGATACCATGCCGCAGTGAAGCAGGAATACCCCACTCAGACTCATTATACTGACTCCGAGCCGACCAGTCCTTGTTGTACCCATTAATGCAAGCGCCAGGCAGGGACCAACAAGTACCATATTTTAACGTCTTTTGTTATGGCGCGGTCGGGGATCGAACCCGCGACCTTCTGCTCTCCGGGCAGACGCTCTAACCACTACACCACGGAGGGGGTCAAACAAACAACCTACAGACCAATGTTAACACTGACAGCTGTCAAACAACCTACAGACCGATGTTAACACTGACAGCTGTCAAACAACCTATAGACCCATGTTAACACTGACACCTGTCAAACAACCTACAGACCCATGTTAACACTGACAGCTGTCAAATAACCTACAGACCGATGTTAACACTGACAGCTGTCAAACAACCTACAGACCCATGTTAACACTGACAGCTGTCAAACAACTGACAGACCGATGTTAACACTGACAGCTGTCAACCTACAGACCCATTTTAACACTGACAGCTGTCACACAACCTACAGACCCATGTTAACACAATTATCAGACAACCTACAGACCCATGTTAACGCAATTATCAAACAACCTACAGACCAATGTTAACGCAACTACAGTCATCCCTCGCAACAACGCTCTTCGCGATACCGCGGATTCAGTTAAACCGCAGGGTAATCCGTGGCATCCATAAAAAAAGTTGCCCAGTGATCACACATATTCACTTCATCGAAAATAGCACATCAACAAATCCGCTGTTGAGTTCTGGTTAATCACGTTGTAAACTAGTGAAATTCCGTTCGGATTGCAAATAACAGTGTTTATCGTACATATCCATGGTTTTTCAGATGCTTAAAAAATGTAGATTTTTTTTCAATAATAATAGATGAACAGCGAAACATTGTAATAACTTTATCATAAAGACATGTCATCAGACGAGTACTTACAATGTTTTCTGTGATGCAACACACCGCGTAATTGCGCGGGGATAAACACCGCCATCTGAGAATGTATGATGTCAGAAAACACATTTTATTTGATTAAATTCAATCCCATTTTCATTCATTAAAACTGTTTACAATAACAACGCAGAAACCGTGAGTGAAATGGCATTATCTCATTCCATACAACGCCCGCTTACCACATTTTTCTCAGCAATCACAAACAGATTACAGCCTTGTCATCCATTGACCCCAAGACCCACGTTATTGACTCATTGAAGCCATGTTTGACAATTAATTGCCAACATTTTGTTTTTACAATCAAAGTGGCACGTACCGCGGGAAGTCAGCGGTGACTTGTCAAACTGTCTCCTACGTAAAATGTATCCAGCCAGGTAACCCAAAGTGCTTAGCAATGCTAATTATTATGTTAAATATGTTTGTAGAAAACATGCATTATACTTATACGATAGCAATATATAAGATCTCTGTTAGTATAACTGCTTGACATATAAATTATTTTGATAATGGAAAAGAAATTCTTTGATGTTATATTTTCGGATCTTTTTTGACTGAATCCCGGTACATTGGACCAAAACATCGATCTGTGCCCAGCTGATTGCTATTTCCGGTTTAGTTGAATAACAGGTAGCATGACAGGAACAACAATAGAATTATCATGTCTTGTGATGTTTGATTGCAAGTTTCCCGAATACATCTATTTTCATTTACAAAGTTTTTGTGTTTTTTCACCTCCAACAATACGATATAGTTTTGACTGGGCACAATACACGAAATAGCGGTTTTGTTATGTCCATGGAAAATACTATTTACTTGGCCTTTGTTCCGCGTTATGTAATCGTTACTATAACGCAGGTGTCTAATAACGCGGGGGGTCATCCATGGACCCCAAGACCCGCGTTATGGCGAGGGATGACTGTATCAAACAACCTACAGACCGTTGTTAACGCTGTCCAACAGACAGGGAGCAGAGAGAAAACCATATCAGATACATTCTACCTGTCCATGAGCAGGTAAGCTATCAATGAGGCAGGTATGACCTACCATCATCTTGCCCTCGCAATGGGGGAACTGTGCCTTGTCCTCATCAGTAAGCTTACAGTTGATGCTCCTGCCATTTATCAAATCTGTAACAAGTTTGAAATTGCAAACGGTATACTAACTGCAAATGACAAAGGGAATGTTTGCAAAGTCTCTATATCTGTGTTCTACTGGTGCCTTCTACTCACCTCTAGCACTGATCCCAGACTTGGGCAGTTTTCTACTGATGCCTTCTACTCACCTCTAGCACTGACCCCAGACTTGGGCAGTGTTCTACTGGGGCCTTCTACTCACCTCTAGAACTGACCCCAGATTTGGGCAGTGTTCTACTGGTGCCTTCTACTCACCTCTAGAACTGACCCCAGACTTGGGCAGTGTTCTAGTGATGCCTTCTACTCAGCTCTAGCACTGATCCCAGACTTGGGCAGTGTTCTACTGGTGCCTTCTACTCACCTTTAGCACTGACCCCAGACTTGGGCAGTGTTCTACTGATGCCTTCTACTCACCTCTAGAACTGACCCCAGACTTGGGCAGTGTTCTACTGGTGACTTCTACTCACCTCTAGAACTGACCCCAGACTTGGGCAGTGTTCTACTGGTGCCTTCTACTCACCTCTAGAACTGACCCCAGACTTGGGCAGTGTTCTACTGCCTTCTACTAACCTCTAGAACTGACCCCAGACTTCTACTGAACTGTGACTCTACTGACTTCTACTCACCTCTAGAACTGATCCCAGACTTGGGCAGTGTTCTACTGATGCCTTCTACTCACCTTTAGAACTGACCCCAGACTTGGGCAGTGTTCTACTGGTGACTTCTACTCACCTCTAGCACTGATCCCAGACTTGGGCAGTGTTCTACTGATGCCTTCTACTCACCTCTAGCACTGACCCCAGATTTGGGCAGTGTTCTACTGGTGCTTTCTACTCACCTCTAGAACTGACCCCAGACTTGGGCAGTGTTCTACTGGTGCCTTCTACTCACCTCTAGCACTGATCCCAGACTTGGGCAGTGTTCTACTGGTGCCTTCTACTCACCTCTAGCACTGACCCCAGACTTGGGCAGTGTTCTACTGATGCCTTCTACTCACCTCTAGCACTGATCCCAGACTTGGGCAGTGTTCTACTGGTGCCTTCTACTCACCTCTAGAACTGATCCCAGACTTGGGCAGTGTTCTACTGGTGCCTTCTACTCACCTCTAACACTGATCCCAGACTTGGGCAGTGTTCTACTGGTGCCTTCTACTCACCTCTAGCACTGATCCCAGACTTGGGCAGTGTTCTACTGGTGCCTTCTAGTGCCTACTACTCACCTCTAGTCACCTCTAGAACTGACCCCAGACTTGGGCAGTGTTCTACTGGTGCCTTCTACTCACCTCTAGCACTGATTCCAGACTTGGACAGTGTTCTACTGGTGCCTTCTACTCACCTCTAGCACAGATACCAGACTTGGGCAGTGTTCTACTAGTGCCTTCTACTCACCTCTGGCACAGATACCAGACTTGGGCAGTGTTCTACTGGTGCCTTCTACTCACCTCTAGCACTGATACCTGACTTGGGCAGTTTTCTACTGGTGACTTCTACTCACCTCTAGAACTGATCCCAGACTAAGGCAGTGTTCTACTGGTGCCTTCTACTCACCTCTAGAACTGACCCCAGACTTGGGCAGTGTTCTACTGATGCCTTCTACTCACCTCTAGAACTGATCCCAGACTAAGGCAGAGTTCTACTGGTGCCTTCTACTCACCACTAGCACTGATCCCAGACTAAGGCAGTGTTCTTCTGGTGCCTTCTACTCACCTCTAGAACTGATCCCAGACTAAGGCAGTGTTCTACTGGTGACTTCTACTCACCTCTAGAACTGACCCCAGACTTGGGCAGTGTTCTACTGATGCCTTCTACTCACCTCTAGAACTGACCCAAGACTTGGGCAGTGTTCTACTGATGCCTTCTACTCACCTCTAGAACTGACTCCAGACTTGGGCAGTGTTCTACTGGTGACCTTTACTCACCTCTAGCACAGAAACCAGACTTGGGCAGTGTTCTACAGGTGCCTTCTACTCACCTCTAGAACTGACCCCAGACTTGGGCAGTGTTCTACTGATGCCTTCTACTCACCTCTAGCATTGATCCCAGACTTGGGCAGTGTTCTATTGGTGCCTTCTACTCACCTCTAGCACAGATACCAGACTTGGGCAGTGTTCTACTGGTGCCTTCTACTCACCTCTAGCACAGATACCAGACTGGGGCAGTGTTCTACTGATGCCTTCTACTCACCTCTAGCATTGATCCCAGACTTGGGCAGTGTTCTACTGGTGCCTTCTACTCACCTCTAGCACAGATACCAGACTTGGGCAGTGTTCTACTGGTGCCTTCTACTCACCTCTAGCACTGATCCCAGACTTGGGCAGTGTTCTACTGGGGCCTTCTACTCACCTCTAGCACTGATCCCAGACTTGGGCAGTGTTCTACTGGGGCCTTCTACTCACCTCTAGCACTGATCCCAGACTTGGGCAGTGTTCTACTGATGCCTTCTACTCACCTCTAGCACTGACCCCAGACTTGGGCAGTGTTCTACTGGGGCCTTCTACTCACCTCTAGCACTGATCCCAGACTTGGGAAGTGTTCTACTGGTGCCTTCTACTCACCTCTAGCACTGATCCCAGACTTGGGCAGTGTTCTACTGGTGCCTTCTACTCACCTCTAGAACTGATCCCAGACTAAGGCAGTGTTCTACAGGTGCCTTCTACTCACCTCTAGTACTGATCCCAGACTTGGGCAGTGTTCTACTGATGCCTTCTACTCACCTCTAGCACTGACCCCAGACTTGGGCAGTGTTCTACTGGTGCCTTCTACTCACCTCTAGCACTGATCCCAGACTTGGGCAGTGTTCTACTGGTGCCTTCTACTCACCTCTAGAACTGATCCCAGACTTGGGCAGTGTTCTACTGGTGCCTTCTTCTCACCTCTAGAACTGACCCCAGACTTGGGCAGTGTTCTACTGGTGCCTTCTACTCACCTCTAGCACTGATCCCAGACTTGGGCAGTGTTCTACTGGTGCCTTCTACTCACCTCTAGAACTGATCCCAGACTTGGGAAGTGTTCTACTGGTGCCTTCTACTCACCTCTAGCAGTGATCCCAGACTTGGGAAGTGTTCTACTGGTGCCTTCTACTCACCTCTAGAACTGACCCCAGACTTGGGCAGTGTTCTACTGGATGCCTTCTACTCACCTCTAGAACTGATCCCAGACTAAGGCAGTGTTCTACTGGTGCCTTCTACTAACCACTAGCACTGATCCCAGACTAAGGCAGTGTTCTTCTGGTGCCTTCTACTCACCTCTAGAACTGATCCCAGACTAAGGCAGTCTTCTACTGGTGCCTTCTACTCACCTCCAGAACTGACCCCAGACTTGGGCAGTGTTCTACTGGTGCCTTCTACTCACCTCTAGCACTGATCCCAGACTTGGGCAGTGTTCTACTGATGCCTTCTACTCACCTCTAGAACTGACCCCAGACTTGGGCAGTGTTCTACTGGTGACTTTTACTCACCTCTAGCACAGAAACCAGACTCGGGCAGTGTTCTACTGGTGCCTTCTACTCACCTCTAGAACTGACCCCAGACTTGGGCAGTGTTCTACTGGTGACTTTTACTCACCTCTAGCACAGAAACCAGACTCGGGCAGTGTTCTACTGGTGCCTTCTACTCACCTCTAGAACTGACCCCAGACTTGGGCAGTGTTCTACTGATACCTTCTACTCACCTCTAGCATTGATCCCAGACTTGGGCAGTGTTCTACTGGTGCCTTCTACTCACCTCTAGCACAGATACCAGACTTGGGCAGTGTTCTACTGGTGCCTTCTACTCACCTCTAGCACAGATACCAGACTTGGGCAGTGTTCTACTGATGCCTTCTACTCACCTCTAGCAATGATCCCAGACTTGGGCAGTGTTCTACTGGTGCCTTCTACTCACCTCTAGCACAGATACCAGACTTGGGAAGTGTTCTACTGGTGCCTTCTACTCACCTCTAGCACTGATCCCAGACTTGGGCAGTATTCTACTGGGGCCTTCTACTCACCTCTAGCACTGATCCCAGACTTGGGCAGTGTTCTACTGGTGCCTTCTACTCACCTCTAGCACTGATCCCAGACTTGGGCAGTGTTCTACTGGTGCCTTCTACTCACCTCTAGCACTGATCCCAGACTTGGGCAGTGTTCTACTGGTGCCTTCTCACCTCTAGAACTGACCCCCAGACTTGGGAAGTGTTCTACTGGTGCCTTCTACTCACCTCTAGCACTGATCCCAGACTTGGGCAGTGTTCTACTGGTGCCTTCTACTCACCTCTAGAACTGACCCCAGACTTGGGCAGTGTTCTACTGGTGACTTCTACTCACCTCTAGCAGTGATCCCAGACTTGGGCAGTGTTCTACTGGTGACTTCTACTCACCTCTAGCACTGATTCCAGACTTGTGTTTTTCTTCCAGCTTTAAAGTAGCGTTGATGGTGTCATTGACAAGGGTAGTGTTGATGACGAGATTGACGGCACTCTCCAGGCGCTGCAACCTCTCAAGCATACTCTCCAACAACACAGCCATGGTCTTCTTCAGATCTACAACACCAGTGTAAATGAGGGGTCAGTGAATGTATGCAAAAAGGAGTAGAACATCAAGGACAGAATGTTCCAGATATTACAGCTTTCATCAACAGATCATTCAGGAATACTAAGTGATACATTAACATGTAGAAGAGGACAGTTGTCATAGTGAGTGAGTGAGTATGGTTTTACGCCGCTTTTAGCAATATTCCAGCAATATCACAGCGGGGGACAACACAAATAGGCTTCACACATTGTGCCCATGTGGGGAATCGAACCTGGGTCTTCGGCGTGACCAGCGAACGCTTTAACCACTAGGCTAACCCACCATGTGTATCCCATGCACGACGAGATAGTGGCTGTTCCGTTTCTGCGGTTTCACCCCGCCACGACAGATAACAACTTTTGCGTTTTCAATGCTGATAGTTTCTTAAACAACTTTTTTGGTGGAGTCCGGAAAATTTTCAAATATAAGAAAGCTGTTGGGTATTAGTAAATGATAAACATGTGTACTACAGTGGAAACCTGATAATGTAAGGGGTATTGTTTACTTATCCGAGTTTAGTTAACCAGACTCTAATAGTGATAATTAATGAAGAAATTTGCCGGGACCAAAGAAAAGTGTTTACTTATCAGGTCTGTTTAGTTAAGTGGTCTTTACTTAGGCGGTTTCCACTGTATTTATATTTATATGCAGACCTTTAGCTTGTAATAGAGATAAGATGAAGCTGATGAGGCTAGCCTTAGCATGGTACGCATACCAGATGAAAGACTACACAACGCAGATGTGTGGATGACAATGAGCGCGGTGTGGATGGCGCCGACGGGACGGGACACATAGTTCAGCTTTTTGCGGCCCTCCGCCGTGGAAAAGCAGACGGGCAAAGCATAGGCAAGTTTGTACTTCCTCCCGCGGAGACAGCAGGCAGGTAAGGCATTGCAAACTTTGTACTTCCTCCCGCGGAGACAGCAGGCAGGAAAAGCAAGCTGGTAAGGCATTGTAAGCTTTGTACTTCCTCCAGCGGAGACAGCAGGCAGGAAAAGCAGGCTGCTAAGCGCGTGGAAACTTTGTACTCCTCTCCGCGGGCCAGCAGGCAGGAAGGTTTGGGCTGCCACTGTAAAAGTAGGAACCAAGTATCCATATTTTAAGCTGATTTGGTGTTAAGTCCGTCGGCACCATGCCCACCAGCAGCCTTTTATTCAGAAGGTGCAAAAATACAAAGGTTATGGTACAGGTTATACTTACTGTGCACTGTACAGTGAAGACTTAATATAAGTCGTGCATTTAACAACCTCAGCACTCCCCACCAGGATACTGAGCTGTAGAAGGGAAGGGTGGGTGGGAAATTATTTCGATGAGGCAAAATGGATAACCTGCCAGGAGAGCATGCAGAATAGAAAGGAAAACGGACGTGGCGTGTATGATCGCGGATGTGACATCACTCCGGAAGTGGCGTGGCTGCTATTCTGGAATGCGGAAATAATACACTGCCATCGCGTGCGTTGCTACACTTACTGTAGGCTAAGTGTATAAGTAATTGTAAATGTTGCCCACAACCAAATTAGTGAAATATGCTGCCTTCTTACCCGAAGTTGAGACAGATGCTTAATGAAATACACTGCATACCATGTTAGCTGCAGTGCCAAGCGAAGTTGATTAGAAATGACATAATTAGAATTGTAGTTACATGCAGTGTATTACACTTCGCCAGGGAAGTGTCAGGAACTGCATGAATTGAATAAGTAAATGCTGCCTATAAACCCATTTAGCAAATAATGCTAAATGTCATTATATGCAGACCTTTGGCTTGTAATAGAGATAAGATGAAGCTGATGAGGCTAGCCTTAGCATAGTAATGCGCATACCAGATGAAAAGACTACACAAGCCAGATGTGTGGATGACAATGTTGCTGGTGTGGATGGAAAGCCCGGGGCCCGGGACACATAGTTCAGCTTTTTGCTGACCCTCCGCCGCGTGGAAAAGCAGGCGGGCAAAAGCATAGGCAAGTTTGTACTTCCTCCAGCGGAGACAGCAGGCAGGTAAGGCATTGCAAACTTTGTACTTCCTCCAGCGGAGACAGCAGGCAGGAAAAAGCAAGCTGGTAAGGCATTATAAGCTTTGTACTTCCTCCTCGAGGAGACAGCAGGCAGGAAAAGCAGGCTGCTAGCGCATTGGAAACTTTGTGCTCTCTCTCCGAGCCAGCAGGCAGGAAGGTTTGGGCTGCCACTGTAAAAGTAGGAACCAAGTATCCATATTTTTTAAGCTGATTTGGTGTTAAGTCCCGCCGGCACCATGCCAACAGGCCCGCATGCTGCCCACTGCTGGGCAGCGGCGGGCTGCTACCATCCTAACGAAGTTAAATAGTTAAAGGGGAGTAGGGAGAGGGCTTTAAAAGAGGTTTACTAATACTTAATTGCTATGCAGTGCTGCCAGAATGGCCGATGTTGAGCGCCATGCCCAGCGGATAAGTGCACTAGCGAGGTACTGGGCAAAGCCAGAGCTACGTCACTGCAGCCGAGGTGTTATAACTGGAGCCAATCACCCCCGATGGCCCTGTAAGCCATAATTTCACATTAGATTTATTATTGCCTAACAAAGGCATACTGACGAATATCGCCATCCTGTAGGCATTAGATCTCCAGTGACCAAATTCCTGAATCTGAACTGCCGGAATTCCTTGTAACACTGCTGAGTTTGCTGCCCCTAAGCGAAATGAATCAGAAGAATAAAAGTTACTATTGATGGGTTGTTTTGCTGCCGTCAGCGTCTTCCTGAGCACTGCCTGAAACTGAAATCTTGTTAGAGGAGCCAAGTTAGTATGAGTAAAGAGATACCCGTCTGTACATGGTTGCACAGCCAAAATGCGGCTTTGACAGGGCATAGTATGGACTGAGGGACTGCTGTAATGGCAATCGTGTGCGGCGGCCCTGCTGGTCTAGTTTTGGAGGCCTGTAGGACCACCTCCACATAGGATTGGCGCTAGCAAAAGACATGTCCTTCAAGCAAAACAGCCCGCTGTGGCGAAGTAAGCCTATTGAGCGGGCGGCTACCTCCTTACCCTGAAAAACAAAACAAAACAAAACAACAAAACAAAGAATGTTAGTTGCTGATTGAGCGGGCCCGCGACCTGCTTACCCTGAAGAAAGAATGTTAGTAGGTGCGCTGCTGAAAGAGAAGTTTCATATGAAGACCTGCATACGTGGAAAGGAGTTGCTGTAGCGTTAGCAGATCAACTGGCTGCCTTGCTATCCTGGCCATACCTGCAATGGCTTACTGCCATATATGAGGGCTCATCCAGGATCTGTACCGGGACCTCTGCGCCTGAGTTGTGGTTTTGTTTGTTGTTTATTTTTGTTTAAAAATTACACAGAAATATAGAATATTAAATTTCCTATCCGTTGGTATAAATATAAGTGCAACCACCTCAGCGTTTTGGTTGAGGAACAGACCTTACCAAATGTTGTCCGCGATTTTGTTATGCGTTAAAAACAGCAAATTATTCCGCTTTTTATCGTTCCCGATAAAATACTGTGCTCACGATTTTTTTATTGGGCATCTTTACTGAAAGTGTGAGCTAAGAAAGTACAGCAAATATACAAGTGCATACCAACTGGGTTTATATGTGCTTACACAAAACGCAACACTCAACCAAAAACAACTCTTCGAATAAATGGGAAACTGGATTCTCTTCTATGGCGTCAAACAATCCGACAGAGAGGTCATACATGTATAATGATAAGGGGGCATAACTCTGTTATGCTTCACACTAGGGTCAATGTAACTCAGATCACATGTAGAGAACCTGCTGTGGATCACGGCCGCTGTTTTCTTTATCGTTTGCCCATGGCCGAACCAAACTATTCAATTACAATTTCCCAATGTGATCGGATACGCTTTAGCAGTTTCACAATTTACCAGAAAAGATGACAACGCACCACATGCGAGAAAGTACGTAACAGCCAACCGGATGGCCCTATCCGAAGTATATAAGTTAGTTCTTAGATTCCCATATTCTCCTGTGTGTATAGATGTATTTTGACTAATTTTTCAGCGTTATTACCAGAGTACTAGCCATATCTTCAAATGTAATGAAATTGCTGAAAATAATACCACATTTTAGTTGACATAATTGCTTGCTTCACGCACCCTGCGATGTCGGGAAAAAGGCGACCTTGGCTTGCGCTGATCAGCATACATCTCACCCAATTTCCATTAATTGTATGAAAGGTCACCGGCTTCTATGTCATAATTAAACACTCTTTAGATAAAACATAAAATGACTGATTTTCCCTTTAAATAGTGTCCTGAATATATCAACAATTAGACAGTTTGACTGTGTATCTTATTATGAGCAACACGCACACCTGTTTGGCATTAACTTAGCGTAAATGAAAAATTAATATTTGCATAGCAGCCCAATAGTTTGTTAGGATAAGAATTTTCTTTTCTTTATGATTATGTAGCTATTTCTCTTAATAAGTATGCAATGAAAGATGCAAAAAGATAGCCTTTATATATGGAACTATATATTAGAATATGGATGTAAGATTTGTCCAAATCAACACATGACTTGGTTTATATATCTCCAAACAATCTTCCTATAAAAGTCGTTAGAGAGTGATATCCTGTCATGCCAATATGAACTGAATATATTATCAAAAACAATGATAGTGAATCATAAAATGTTACCAACAAACGTGCACCTGGCCAATCAACATATGCCATTGTTTTGTATATAAAACGACACAAAAATATGCAATGAACAAGAAAATTCCTTTAAATATATGTCCATATACATTTCATAACATATGTAAGTCATTTTCATTAATTAGTATCAGTTTACTTATAAGGTTGAATTAAATCGCCGTTCATTAACCTGTCCATATGAAACTGCAATATTAGTCCAACATTACACATTGTACATCATAGGGACTAAAGTAAGTGCAGCTATGGCTCGCGTTTCATCTTCGAACACTTGTGTAAAGATTTAGAATATGGTGTACTGCACTAAAATGTGCCAACCTCCTATGTAAACATCACCCAAACAATCAAAACTTTCAAGGAATAAAACAGTAAACCCTACATGCACGCATGACACCGAGCAAGGCCAAATGTAGATACTGAAGTCAGTTTCATGAAAAATATCTGAGCTTTCATAAAATATACTATGCTGACAGTGTAATCGAAGTCGGGTTAAGGTGATTGTGTTTACTCCTGTTCAACCGACCTTCACCTCGAAGAAATTTCCCAATATGTACAACAATGTGGACATATGACATCACCACAGATGACCTATCTCTTTACAATATGGTGGCCTTGCTGACAAGGATACCGAGGATTCTGCGAGGACCTTTCCACTGATTAAGGGATTGTTTGTATATAAATATGACATGTAAGTAATCAGAATGACTCTGACTATCTGTATGTTGTTATATGTTTTTATCATTTTCACTGTAAGTAAGAGAAGACGCCAAAAATGCTGATAATTACAGTTGTCGTTCTGGGTGATAATGCGCAAGTTGCACCAACTTTGACAATTTCTTATGAATTAACGAATCATTGCATTGTATCTATTCATAATTTCCCATTTCTTTCTACAATACTCTTTCCATACCTAAGGCATTGAGCCATTGCAAGCAATGAATAGATGAATGTTGGAAGAATTCAGAAAATCCTACGCAGTGTGAATCGGAAATTATCTTTGTTTACATTTCAAGCGCTCAGTCTTTGAGCACTGCTCGCTCGTTTTCACGCTTAAAATGTTTCGCTTCCTTTTTCTAGACAGTTGGTATTGGTGACAAAGACCAGTTGCGAATTTGATACTCAATTGCATAGGAATTCAGAGATGCATTTTGAAGCTGAATATGAAACACCGTGATGTAATAGGGCGTCTCAATACCGGCCGGCTCATGCGAACGTGTCCTTGCAAAACACCATCCAACGTGGCGGATAGCGCTCTCGGCCTTCGTGTAAGTGTGTCCTCGAAAACATCCCAACCGATTCCTACAGATTCGCCGACAGCGTTTCAGAATTGTCACCAGCGACTCAATGCCAGAAACTGCTATCAGTGATCATGAATATGTTATTTTGAAGCTTCGATACTCCCAATAATTTAAGTGAATACAGAAAGAAAGAAAGGGCCGGAAAGCAGGCGACGAAATTAAATGTTAAGTTAATTCAGCATTTTTCAAGATACGAAAATTAAGCGAGAACCAAGAAATTATTTTGCGATGAGGCAAAATGGATAACCTGCCAGGAGAGCATGCAGAATAGAAAGGAACGCGGATGGCGTATGACTGCGGATGTGACATCACTCGAAGTAGTAGCTGCTATTCTGGAATCGCGGAAATAATACACTTCCATCGCGTGGTTGCTACACTTACTGTAGGCTAAGTGTATAAGTAATTGTAAATGTTGCCTACAACCAAACAGTGAAATATGCTGCCTTCTTACCGAAGTTGAGACAGATGTGTTAATGAAATACACTGCATACCATGTTAGCTGCAGTGCCAAAGCGAGAGTTGATTAGAAATGACATTTATGTGGCAATTTTGTACAATGATAAAATTTGCAATTCATCGGTCCGTTTCTGACTCAAACGGACTGTAGTTAGACATTATTTGTGAACAGCATATCAAAAATCCCCAACCATTGTAACTCTCAGTTGACTCGGTCACATTACATGTGAACTTTCCCCGCCAATATGATGTAGAAGAGATCTATCCTGCCCCGGCCCTCACTAGGCAGTACAGGGTACAGGATCAACATACCGTAAGCTGTAAACCTGCCGGCGTAGGGTCCATCCACCATGTCTCCATTTTCCCTCGACAGAGCCTTCACATATTCCTCACTCAAGCGGATGATCTCATTCTGGAGAAAATGTACACAATGGTCAATGGTCACCTTATAATGTAACTAATCAACTACAGTGTGGCCCCACTGGTCCAGACAGAAGAAATCAGGAAATAATGTCCTCTAGTCAGCTTGGACAATATTCATGACAATGCAAACTTATCACATGAGATTCAATATTTATCCTGGAAATTTGCTGTCTGGATCCAAACAGTATTATTTAGCGTCCACCTGGGTCAAACAGATAAAGTGGTTCACCAATCCACACCAAGCCAATGAGTTGCGTTTGTGTACCTCAGTTTCTGTACAGTCATATTTAGTATTGAGGATACAATGCAGTTACAGGGATCCATTCTCAGTTATATTTCTTTTCACTAAAAAGTAGTGTTGGGAATTGGTTAAAATCTCATAATTGATGATTGGTTTATTACAACCGATCAATCATCGAAAAAAATTGGTTAGCGTCATTAATAAAATTTGTTAATGCACATAAAAATAAGGAAAAAACATGTAGTTTTGGGGTTTTTTTTGGCAAAATTTCACATCTTTAAAGGATGACTAGTATGTCAGGAACAAAAATTTCTTGGAGTCTTTAAGATAAATTCAATCATGACTTGAAACGAACTTGTAGTGCTTATGAAATGTAACAGACAAAAACAAACCTTGTGAAAAATATTGTTTATGAAAACAAGTGTTCCAGAATTGTTTATGTTCGATTATGAGAAAACATGATCGATTGCTTGGTCGTTTAGTCACAGCGACCAATCTTCGATTATTTCAATTAATCGGACAACCACTACTAAAAAAGACATTCCACTGAGCTTGTGTCTGTTGTCTGGCCACAAGCACATGTAATGACAGGATTGAGTATCATTCTGAATACAAAGTGTCAGGAGGAGAGCTACACAAGGTTGCTGTCCCGTCAAGTGATGACCCATATGTATTGCTAGTCAAGTATTGAAATAAGGCTGGGTGTAACTCATGCATAATACATAAACCCATATGAATATAACCATTTACTGTAACTTATTTCCGTTTGAGTTCACAATGTATCACCACATAAAAGGTGAGTTTCTCCAACCCAGAATTAGAGGGGTTTGAAGGTGGGGTATGTCAGAAGATCTCACATAGTTTTTCGACTAGCAATGTCAGCTGATGTCCGATTACCACTGATGTTGTACAACAGTAAAATGTCTTTTGAAGTAACTGTTCCAAGAACTATTTTGGTACATAAGCTTCCATTGAATGTAAATATGTTGTTCATACTATCCTATTCTGCATCTAAAGTTCATGTGAATATTAGCTCCATTACAATTGCTAAACCAGCTGACACAGTGGGAAACATAAAGTCTCTGACATCGGCGAGAGGGAAGTGAGCATGAGCGGGATCAAAGTACTGTAACCAATACTGAAATTACACTTTCATGCACAAGGTCAACACACAAAGTGGCACCATGTGCTGGACTTCTCTACAACCAAGCATTGTATAAAAAAGATTGGGACACAAACACATATTTATTACAAATTAGGGATTGTGTATGCTCTGAGCATATGCTTCGTTCAGAGTCGAGTTATAGATGGGATATTTAAATTAGCATTGATTTTGAAGGCTTGTACATGTGGAATCCTTATTCACAGGGCCATTCTATATGCAGTGATATACAGTACTAGTATATAGCTCAGAGAGGTCGTAGTACCCTACAGATATAAGCATTCGATGGATTCAGTGTGTCAAGCCCATTCTTAATGTCCTTTATTATGATCAGACTGGCATATTGCCAAATGTAGCATAAAACAATACTCACTTACATTCCTCACAAAATTTGTTAAATAACAGAATTATGAAAACTGTTACTAGTCTAGTGCAGTGATTGACAAGCTTACTGGCCCTCGATAAAGGACTTGGAATCATGGAAAATGGGAATGTATCAATTTCCCTGAGGAGCCATGAACCAACAATCAAAACGATTTTCAGTACTGACAGAACATAAGAAAATCATTCTCAATTTGCCATTATTCAAATCCCTAGGGTTTCCCCAGTGGAAACTGTCCACCATATTACATACTGCTCCATAGATGATCAATAAGCTATAGGTGTTGAAGATCTGCTCCTGTTACAGTCAACATCACCCATTCATACTGCAGATTCAAATTACAAACCCATTAGCTGAAACATTGAATTTTCTCACTTCAAATTCATCAGAGAATCCTGAAGATGTGATTGCTCCATGGTAACCTACAGCTCTCCCTTCCTCGTTAAGGTAACAGTACCATGGTGAAATTTACTGCTCCCTGAAACTACATCCACTGAATATCGTTAATGCTTCACCAAGTCAGCTTGACACTGTCATGTAAACATGTGAATATCAATATTGACATGTATCATGTATAGTTATCAATAAATTGTGGTCATGGTAATAGTGATCAGAAAGATTGTGGGTTTTTTACCATGGATACTGATTTGAATTTTCATTATTTCAGTCCTCCAAACCTGGTATTTCCTTTGGATGACTGTTTTCTTCCCCCTAATGGCACTACTTTCACACCATTTACACCCACTTCCAATCTGAGACGATGGATGCCAAACCTCACTATATCTTTGGAGCAATCATGCAGTAGATATAAAAAGAATAATTTCGCATGACACAAGTAACAGCACCATGATACCTGTTTATACTTGAACAGTTTCATTAGTCCTAGGTGTATATGTAACATGAGTACACGGATGTTAGTTACACAGCCACATTGGACATCACATCTTGAAGGAGTGAGTTGGGTTCTACAATATTGCAGCAATATCATGGCGGGGGACACAGAAATGGGCTGCACACATTGTACTCATGTGGGTAATCGAACTGAACAAATGTCTTCGACATGATGAGTGAACGCTTTAACCACAAGGCTACCCGCCCTGATCAAACGTTTAAAAGAACTTGGAGCAGTTAAACTCACAAGACAATGTAGGGAAAAATCACTCTGCTTGTGCACAAATGATTTAACATGATCAATGTTTAACCATCAAATGTGAATATCAAAGCAATCCAAATGTGAATATCAAAGCAATCCATTGACATCGACAAAAAGGACATCAAAACTGAAAAAGCACTGGAAAATAGAAGTTTCATGACCACGTGGTACCCAAACCTAACCATGGCCATCTATTGGTGACAAATTTCAACAAACAGCCATTATGTATAACTTTGGTAATTAATAATTACATTAGTGTTGGGGAAACCAAATCCACTATCGATTATCGGAGGACTTGTGGTCAACGATTATCAATCATAATCGCAATATATACATTTTTAATGTAATCAGCAATTTTAATGGTTTTCACCAGGGTTTTTTCTAATTGGCAACATATTTTCATATCTAAATTTTTATGTGCAGTTATTTTACTTTCTACACACAATTTATTCTGTTTATGTATACAACAAATATTTATCAGTATATCTCATTACATTCAAGATAGATGTAAAATTTATTCAATCTGTTTAGTGAGGGGAAAGCCCCCTTATATTCGAGGATGATATACATAACACCGTAAATTCAGGCTACAGGTGGGCATCTCTGTAATACCCATATTACATATTCCCATCATCTGTCACACTTGTCATGAATCAAGTATTTCATGCTGCAGTACCAGGCTGCTCACTGATTTGTGAACAGCAATTCAAAGGATGTATTGTAAAGGGAACCTACTTGTAATTGACTATGAGAGGGTATTCAATTCAGTACTGAAACAAGTGTCAGCCACTGATATGGCAAAGTCCCCCTGCCGCTGAAGAATGGAATATTTATAAAACAATTACTACTTTTTATTTTTTGGTCACATACAAGATGCATGAAATGACTGATGTCTGCATAATCACCCAATGTAGGCTGTCGACATAATTGAAGACATTGGGTGCAATGTTTTATGAGATATCGCTTTAACAAGAGTTCGAAAAGTGGTCAAAATGTCGTGGTGACCTTGAAGATAAGGTCAAGGTCACCCAAATCAACTGGTATCTGCATAATCCCCCAATGTAGGCTGTCACCAAATTTGAAGACATTGGTACAACAGTGCATGAAATATCTCGTTAACAAGAATTTCAAAAGTGGTCAAAGTGTCGTGGTGACCTTGAAAATAAGGTCACGGTAACCAATATCAACTGGTGTCTGGGTAATCCCCCCAATGTAGGTTGTCACCAAATTTGAAGACATTGGATACAACAGTTCATGAGATATCTCATTAACAAGAATCGGGACGTACACAGGGATGCCGCTGAATACATAGTCACCCGTTCCATGTTGCGGCGTGGGACAACAACAATGCTGCTTTGTGCTGGACAGAATTACCCCACCCAGTGACTGCGCAGATACTCAGTGATAGGGAGAAGTGTAATTCTTCAGTAAATGATCACAACACTAGAGTTTGGACCATATTTGTAAGAAGTATTAGTTTTTCTGACCAGGGCCAAACTTCCTGTCTCACTGGTTCAAGCTGGCTCCATTATAATATTCATGATTCTATGTTTCAGATACGATAGCTTCGAGCATAGTGCACATTATTTTTCAAATAAAGAAAGTTGTGTAGAGGGTGGCATGCATTATACATGACCAATGAATTTTGATGAAACGTCTTGGAGCATGAAACACAAGAAATACCATGCCAGCAAATCCAAAGTTATATATACAATTTCATCATGTAATAACACTGTCTGGTTATTAAAAAGTATTCACTGTATATCTTTTAATCTTTTTGTATTAATATTACAAAATTCATTCAATATTTATTACAACCAAAGCATTCAACCAAAGACCTTATCCATTTGGAACCATGAAATAATTCTGTAATAGTAATGTAAATTAGATATTTACACATATAAGGTCTTTAGTTTAGTAGTACATCAACAAAAGTTATTTCTCCTGGTCTAATTGAATCAATTTATGCTAGTCCATTCGCTATGACTAATATCTATTGTAAACCATGTCATATACAGGTTCTGTAGACTTATTGGTGCCTCCTATCAACACCACAGCTTTCACAGCTAGGTTGATACACTACTGCCCACAAATAGAGTGTATAGAATGGACAGCAAAACTGATTCATATTCATCTGAACACATCCATACAGAAATATATTCAGACATATCAGTAATTATTTTCCTGAGCAGCCATGGCAAAGGCACCTTTCAGTACATCTAGTTGTCCATGTAATTACACACTCTCTATTTCATCGATTACTGGGATTCATTGAAATTAGAGTAATAGCTGAATACGTAAATTATAGAAATTAAATCCGATTTATTGATTTTGATGCTCTTCATAAAAACTCACATCCATTAACAAAAATCTAATAAAATTTCCTAAAATTCAATATTCTCAAACATTTGCTATTCACAAAACCACAACTGACACATACGACTGCCCCTATCATGAAATAGATTGTGATTATTTCACCTCATATTCTGACTTCATAAAGGACTGCCACATCACACATAATAACAAACAAACAGTGATACTCCGTACCTTCAATACTTCACTCTCTTTGGGTGGCTTGACACTGAAGATAAGTGTTATGTTGGCAAGAGTGGCACACCAGATGATCAGCAGGAGCACCAAGAACACCATCACCTTGCGGTAGACGTTGCGCGTCAGTCGACGCCATAGTGGCAGCCGCATCGTTCTCACACCAACATGACTACCTGAAAAATGACGAAGACTATGAAATAAGAAAACTATAAGAGACCATGTGTTAAGACTTCTCAACATGTTATGTTGAAATAATAGATGGTTCACTCTTACTGAAACCATACCATGATAAACAACCCGACATGGTGCTTACCAAAGCATCCTAGTCACATATGGTCCATAAACATCAAAACTTCTCAATATGCCATGCTGAAATAACAGACCATTAAACATGCTTACAGTAGCATTCTTGTCACATATGATCAAGGCACACCTGTTTTCTCTCAACATAAATACCTTCCATTTAAAATCTCTAAGTTTCTTCTGAGTCACTGTATCTTGGTCAAACTTTTCATGCTGATGTCTTTTTTAATCCTGCCATAAGCTCTCTACTCACAACTGAGTCATCCCACTGTAAGTTATCAGAGCAGCTCAAACATGTGACATAGTTGTGAACAGGAAGCTGTATAATGACTGCGTCCAATGACACAATACACACACTATTCCAGTCTCTGCCACATGAACACCACAATATAGTGGTGTCTATTGATGTAGTTGTGACTATGCATGCATGTGATTGGCTCCATGGAACTTCCTGAAGTAGAGAATATCGCATAGAGCCTATGAATAGAGATATTAGTGTTGCCACAAACAGAACTGCAAGGACCACCCGGCTGTGTGAGCTGTCTGGATGTATGCTGTCTGAAGCAGACGTCCCACAGCAGACAGTAGAGGCATCATCAGGTATCACAGATTGGGGCTGACTGTATAGCCAGGGTATCACTGTGGTCATCACAGACTCGGGCTGACTGTGTGGCCAGGGTATCACTGTGGTCATCACAGACTCGGGCTGACTGTGTGGCCAGGGTATCACTGTGGTCATCACAGACTGGGGCTGACTGTATGGCCAGGGTATCACTGTGGTCATCACAGACTGGGGATGACTGTATGGCCAGGTATCACTGTGGTCATCACAGACTGGGGCTGACCATATGGCCAGGGTATCACTGTGGTCATCATAGACTGGGGCTGACTGTATGGCCAGGGTATCACTGTGGTCATCACAGACTGGGGCTGACTGTATGGCCAGGGTATCACTGTGGTCATCACAGACTGGGTCTGACTGTATGGCCAGGTATCACTGTGGTCATCACAGACTGGGGCTGACTATATGGCCAGGGTATCACTGTGGTCATCATAGACTGGGGCTGACTGTATGGCCAGGGTATCACTGTGGTCATCACAGACTGGGGCTGACTGTATGGCCAGAGTATCACTGTGGACATCACAGACTGGGGCTGACTGTATGGCCAGGGTATCACTGTGGACATCACAGACTGGGGCCTGACTGTATGGCCAGGGTATCACTGTGCACACCACAGACTGGGGCTGACTGTATAGCCAGGGTATCACTGTGGACATCACAGACTGGGGCTGACTGTATGGCCAGGGTATCACTGTGGACATCACAGACTGGGGCAGACTGTATGGCCAGAGTATCACTGTGGACATCACAGAATGGGGCTGACTGTATGGCCAGGGTATCACTGTGGTCATCACAGACTGGGGGCACTGGCCACAGAAGGGTATGACTGTATGGCCAGGGTATCACTGTGGTCATCACAGAATGGGGCTGACTGTATGGCCAGGGTATCACTGTGGTCATCACAGACTGGGGCTGACTGTATGGCCCAGTGGTATCACTGTATGGACATATCACTGACTGACTGGGGCTGACTGTATGGCCAGGTATCACTGTGGACATCACAGACTGGGGACACTGTATGGCCAGACTGGGGATGACTGTATGGCCAGGGTATCACTGTGGTCATCACAGACTGGGGCTGACTGACTGTATCACTGTGGTCATCACAGACTGGGGCTGACTGTATGGCCAGGGTATCACTGTGGTCATCACAGACTGGGGCTGACTGTATGGCCAGGGTATCACTGTGGTGGTATCATCACAGACTGGGGACTGACATGGCCTGGGGTATCACAGTCATCACAGACTGGGGCTGACTGTATGGCCAGTATCACTGTGGTCATCACTACTGTATGGCCAGGGTATCACTGTAGTCACACAGACTGGGGCTATCACACTGTGGTCATCAGAGACTGGGGCTGACTGTATGGCCAGGGTATCACTGTGGTTATCACAGACTGGGGCTGACTGTATGACCAGGGTATCACTGTGGTCATCACAGACTTGGGCTGACTGTATGGCCAGGGTATCACTGTGGTCATCACAGATTGGGGCTGACTGTATGGCCAGGGTATCACTGTGGACATCACAGACTCGGGATGACTGTATGACCAGGGTATCACTGTGGTTATCACAGACTGGGGCTGACTGTATGGCCAGTCACTGTGGTCACCACAGACTGGGGCTGACTGTATGGCCAGAGTATCACTGTGGTCATCACAGATTAAGGCTGACTGTATGGCCAGTCACTGTGGTCACCACAGACTGGGGCTGACTGTATGGCCAGGGTATCACTGTGGTCATCACAGATTGGGGCTGACTGTATGGCCAGAGTATCACTGTGGTCATCACAGATTGGGGCTGACTGTATGGCCAGTCACTGTGGTCACCACAGACTGGGGCTGACTGTATGGCCAGGGTATCACTGTGGTCATCACAGATTGGGGCTGACTGTATGGCCAGTCACTGTGGTCACCACAGACTGGGGCTGACTGTATGGCCAGGGTATCACTGTGGTCATCACAGATTGGGGCTGACTGTATGGCCAGAGTATCACTGTGGTCATCACAGATTGGGGCTGACTGTATGGCCAGTCACTGTGGTCACCACAGACTGGGGCTGACTGTATGGCCAGGGTATCACTGTGGTCATCACAGATTGGGGCTGACTGTATGGCCAGTCACTGTGGTCACCACAGACTGGGGCTGACTGTATGGCCAGGGTATCACTGTGGTCTTACCAATCAGTTTAATGATAGCACTGGACATGGGTGACAATCCTGGCTACACTGATGGAAGAGCTGAGGAAATGACCTTGAATGTTGATCAGTGAAGGATGACCTGAAGAACCTTAAGCCATCAACTGTTCATGATCATTGTTTGTAACAAGCTTCAGTTATCTCTCATGTCCTAACACACTTGTCAATGGTTGAATTCAACAGGGCTCCAGATAACTTTTGGGGGTGCGAGTGTACTTACACATCATATTGCAAGTGGAGGTGTACTGAGAATTTTGAAGGAGTACTGACATGTTTTTGTGTGAGCGAGTTGGTGATGTGGTTTGTCTGGACGATTCATCGATCACTATTTCGAACCATGAATTTGTATTTGAAGACGTGTGAGAAATAACTGAGCGACCGTGTGATGCACGAAATGTCAGGTCCGACTGGATATAAATAGGAACAGTGTAGTTTTTAGCCAATTGAAAAATAGTGACGCATATCGTTGCATGGCAACGTAAGTGATTCCTACTGTCGGGGTTTCCTCATGTGTCAAATCATGTTTCGCAAAAGAAACTTGACAAGTATTTATCCGTAATAGATTTCCATTTGCACGATACTCACAGAAATTGAATGTTAGACGTACAAAGGTATTTCTGTGCGTATACGATACGCTTGAAACCTTATATTATGTCGCACTTCATTGATTTGGAGGCATACATTACGCCTGTACGCCCCTTATCTGTAGCTCTGTTCAAATCCCAAGAGGAGCTAATGTGTTATCAAGGCATAGTTTAATTGCAGTACCTTATACAAGTTTTAAGAACCCCTTTTACAAAGCTTTCTTGGATTTGTTTTGATGGCTATCAGGCTCCCACAGACTAGACTACTAACATAAGCCTACTGCCACTTGTACCTGAAGTATTTGTATCTCACCCTAAACTTGCACTATTTTCTAGAGAAACTTACTGAAAGATATAAAATTGGAATTGTAAAACCTGCTTGGAGGTTTCTGCATTTAAATTGTAACATCTTGTTTAAAGCTTGAATTGTAAAAACAGCCTTTCAATATGCATCTAAGTACTGTTGGAAAGGCTAGAATAATGCTTTTTGGCATCAATATTTTCATAAAGGTGATAAATGTACTAAGTTGTTGATATATCAACTCGCCTATAGTGTACCTAACTTTTATTTCAATTTAAAAGGGCAGTTTACAGGAGATAATTTAGTACCAAAACAACAACTCAAGATTTGTTCAGTTTAACAAGAGAAATGTGAAATAGGTTTTACATGGAAATCCTACAGTTGGTGTAAATAATTATCGTTTCTTTATTAATAAATATTCATATAAATGTTAGTCTTAACAAAAACGTTTCCCGTCATGCAATCACATGTTTACTACAGCATTCACTATGGCCAATGATTTGCAGTCGATTGTTGCAAATGTTTATAAGTTTTTTGTGCTTGAAAAAGACAGAGGTAAACCTTTCAATGGTTCAGAAAGGGTTTATTACAGAACTTGCAGAGCAGTTGGTATGCCTTACCAACAACTTTACAATATTGTAAACAAATCAGACAAGACAGGGACAGTTTCAAAAGCATCCTTGACAACTTTCACTGGGGAGTGATTAGACAGGCAGTCTACAAACTTTACGAGAAGATTCCACCTTCATGTAGGAGTATCGGAGAGGAAATTAAGGACAGTATCAATGTCTCCAGAGTCACCCTTATCATTGCCCTCCATGAGACGGGGTTCAAGTACATAGCCCGTGGTGATGACAGAGCTGTCTTCAGGGAGAAGTATTCTATTGTGTGGATGAGATCCTCTTACTTGAGAACTGTGGCAGAGTACCATGCCCTTGGCTTCCAGATAGTTTACCTGGATGAAACAAGAACTATTCTACAGACCATATGTGATGACCTACAGACTGACAGAGAGCTCCTCTTTTACCATCTAGGTAGGGCAACAGAGTGATTGTACTTTATGCAGGAAGCTGGGACAAAGGTTTGATCGAAAGTTGCTATTTGGTCTTTGAGGCAAAGAAATCAAGTGGAGATTACCATCAGTGTGTGGGAACCATGTAGCATCA